TTATTTATTGTTTTATTTCAACACTCAACCGTTATTTAGTAAAAGGACGTTTTTGCGTTTTTGACTAGTTACAGAAACAGGAAGGTTTTTGACTAGTTAAAGGGTCAGTTGGTAAGTCCATACATGAATCGTTTTCAATGTTTCATTTCATCACATCATGTTCATTTTGTTACTGAACATGCAAGGACGATGTAAAATTACATTTGCCTATCTTTTATTACCATAAAATTCGTCGACTAGATATAAAACCCTGTTAAATACGTTAATGACCATTAACAAGTTTGGGATAGCGATCCATTTACAAAATCGGTGTAAGAAATGTCACATATTTGTACCACCAAAAACAGTTTTAGGATAAAATTTATTTTCCTACTCAAGTTGCGTTTGACCTTGCAGTTTACAGACATGAAAATCAACCACAAAAAAATTACGAAATCAGAAGCTGACCTACTGACCAAAAACCTATTAACCACATTCAAGGATTACGTATTTACTTAGATCTAAGTTACATTACTTATATACGAGGAATCTTATCTTGAGGATAAAAGAGGATTATTTATAAATCAAATCTTATAAATAAACGGTAATTGTGCCCAGTGTGGCGTCGCGTATCGGCTCATTCATTCATGTCGGATGCCGCAGTTAATATTATCGCAATCTCTACTTACACCTTTAAAGACTAAGGCGTGATGTGTGTCTCTTCATGGTACCTACCATGAAGAGACTTTAAAAGAAAATTATTTTCATGTTTTCAGAAGTGATTATTACTTCACATGAAAATATCTGCGGACTGCGTTGCGAAAGGTGTTAACTAGTGTCCAAGAGGGACCCTGATTAGTGACGCGCTAAAAGCGAAAACATGTGAATTATATTGAAAATAGTAATATACTACGCAAGTACTGTGGTTACTTAATAATATAACAACGCGTAATAACTATTTTGAAATAACATATAACAGTAAATAACTTGCGAATCGTTTACTATATTAAGTCATTAGGTTTTTTTAGGTAACAATGGTCGATCTATATCAGTAAGTATAAAAATTGAAATAAAAAAGAAAATGTTTTTATAATAACCATCGTGAGACATACTAAATTAACTAAAATCGCGGGTTACTCACGTGAATATACTGAGAAAAGCTCTACTAGTTTCGAACCACAGAGGGGTTCTTCCTCATGAGCAGCAGTCTGATAGTCGCGGTACGAATTTAGTATAGAAATCTTCAAATGGGTAACTTATACCTACACGTGTGTATTACAGTCTCCGAGACTTTATAATTCTAATCCATGATTATGTAATAATCCTTCGTGATGAAATTATCTTCTAGTTCGATTCCTACGTTGAAAACAAAAACAACAAGGCCGCTAAAATTTATTTAGGTATACTTAGAATTTTCAGTACTTTTTACAGAGATATGTAGGTATAACTGTAATGTTAAATTGTTCTTTTTTGTTCACACATTTGCTAATCTCTTTTGGGAATAACTATGCATAATGGCATGTTATTTTATGTTATTATAATAAATTTAAAAAGGGCTCCCGTTTGCTAGTGTGCCGTGGGAACTTATTATAGATGTTCTATAAAGATAAGTTTTCACTGCTTCCTGTCATTGTTTGAACTTGAGACACATTCTGATGTTACACAATACCTACCTACTGTCAAATGCTGAATTGTCAACCTACTATTACTTACACACGTACTCACACGCACGTAACTTGTTTACTGCTTTTGTACGTACTGGGCTTACTTAATTATTATAATTTACTTATGTATTTTGGAGGATAATAAATAATAATTTGGAGTTTTTATAGAACAATGTCAGTTATTCCTACAAAAGATGTAGCTATATAGATAGATATATATATAGAAGGGGACTCATAATGCTGACAATGCTTATATGATTGATGATTCTCTCTTTGAAACCAATTTCAACGAGAGAATTTAAGTTCACCTTCGGCCATTTTCAGCCACTTGATTTACTAGGTAGTTATCTTGGAAATCATGATAATCGAAAGTCCAAAGTGAAAAAGTTTAGTTATATTTTCACTGAAAAATATTGAATTTTGGAGTGACTAAACCCGGTGTAGTTCAGAGCTGTCTTTATGTTTCTCACAACTATTGAATTTATATGACCACCAAACCACCATTCCTACACTAAGTGCACATTTTGCACTAGATTTATTCACATTAACGTATGTGGGTAGATTATGATGTAATATGAACAATCACTAGGTCTCTTCAATATACACAATAGAAGAAACGTCTCACGGCTCTATTATATGTCAGTAATTTTACATTTTCACTTTCTCGGGCGGTACGAATGTGGTCAATGGACGCTTCCGTGAACTAGGGTTGTCTTAACAATATATAGAGTATCAAATGTATGTCATTCGTGCATCATATAAAGGTTTCTTTATCTTTGTGTAGATGTGTAGGTACATACATATATGTATATCTGGCTACCACTGACCGTTATTTAATGGATTTTTAATTCTATTTTGAATTGGAAAAAGTGAAAATCTGTTTGAGAACTTCAAAAATTTGTGTAGTTCAATGTCTAGCAACAGCTAGCGTCTGCACATAACAACGCTGAATGGGCTCACGGTAATACTTAGTCCTTTTTATTGTTCTGACTTTTGGCACCGCGGTACTTATTACGCAACAATGATATCACATGTGGTTCCCGTAACATTACGTGGCGGTGCTACCTACCGAGGAATGCTAAATTAATATTACTTACTCGTTCGTGTGGTTTTATTACAACTGAAATTGGTATGGAGTCCTACTTTCCACCGGATAATGTTTGTCTATTTAATACTTCAATAAAAAATGTTTAACTATAAACTTAATGAGCGTAATTTTCCACCGCACGATGAGATGTTACATACATCTACTAAATATTACTAAACGTTGGAAATCTAAGTTACGGTTAGGCATTACAAGATCTGTATCTTTTATTACATCACCAGTATTACGATACAATTTAATGGGCGTGAAGTTTTTGTATTCAAGTTTAATCTTGACAGACAATATGAATGAGCTGTTAGTTGGTAGATCATTGATATTTCTATAAATAACTGTTTTAGTTTTTTCATAATCACCGACTTACTTATCTGATTACTTGGTTATTTTGTTAGTCATTTTGTCGACTTAGTAGGGCTGATGCCCGATACGGAGCCGCGGAAGGCCGGGGCTCCAGCTCGAAGGGCAGGAGTAGGAACGGGATGATTTTTAGTCAGTAAGAGTCTGACACTCCCTCTCGCCTAACCCAAGGCGGGAGAAGTCATTGGATAATTTTCCCCTCTCAAGAAAAAAGTAATTTTGTCGAAGTGTGATTACTAGAAAAGAGATTTCGTGAGTTTGAGTCTCGAGTCGAGGAACATAATTTCAAATTACGTGGTAGTAGGTATTGATATTTAAAATAATCAAATTTCGTCATTGACTTATTCACTCAACTAAATTATTTAATATATGTCTTCCCGAAGTTCTAGAAAGCTGTTTGTTAAGTACCTAAGTTAGTATAGTACAAACCATCGAATCCCTTGAACTATAGCCGTAAAAGTTTGTAGGTATGAAAAAAGCATTTTCATTTTACCTGCTAAAAATATTGCCAAAACGAAACTATTTTAAAGCTTGCACTGGTAAAAAGTAATTAAATCTCACGTATAGTCAAGTTTCTTACCCTTCATAATATACAGACCTAAATCTATAAGTCCTATTTTTATGAAATAAGAGGAACGCGAGCAGACGGATCACATGGTAAGCGATCAGCGCCGCGCAACACCAGAGGAATCACAGGTGCGTTGCCGTCTTGCCGTTGCTCATTTTACTTCAGTTGCTAAGAATAGGCGTAGCGCGCAGTTCGTAGCGCGTTGCGTGAATTCGTAGCGCGTAACTCATAGCGCATAATTCGTAATGCGTAGTTCGTAGCACGTGGCATGTAGCGCGTAACAGTCTTTTCCGCTATTAATCTTATAGGCGTGCAAATCGTGGGCTCAATTAGCTTATCGGCCACACGAAAGAGTTTCTAGAATTATCTTAGTCAAAGCTCGCCGTTTTGCAGTTCGTCATATTATTTCTTTTCTGATAAACAATAGTTTTCGTATTCACAAAATGACCAGACCATGACTTTTGGTTCAGATGTAGAATTGATAAACTCATTTCGTGCAGTCGACTCACTATTTTGCTACTAAATTAATAGCGGGAAAACGTTGTTACTTGCTACGAGCAGTAGTGTACCATAATATAAAAGACATATAAGTACTTATTTACAGTATGTATTGAACGCTGCATAGGCCTGTACCTACATTCGATATACTTACTCGTTACTCAGGTAATAATAAATATACTCAGTAATATACTTACTGAAAGATTACTGAGTACTTAAAGAGCAAAGCGAATAACTACAGACTACAGACTCAGAATATAGATCCAGGCTATCATTTTCATCGAATGACGAATATGCAAAGCGATGACCTTTGAGAATTCTTAAACTGATGCCAAAAAGTGCGTTGGTACTTGGGTTTCAAATTTGAGTCATATTCGAAAGCCTATTGAGGTTTGAGACTCTCGAATATTCGCGGTATTCTCTGACAAAATAAAGGTCTGTACCTACAATTTAAAACTCAAATGTAAAAGGAGCTCGTAAACAATTCTCGAAAAACAAGGTTCAGTTGTACCTATATTGAGCTGCGGCAGTAAAATTAGTTAAACAACTTTGGATCCGTGATATAATTTTTGTGTTCATAATAACATTACTTCCCACCTCTGCCATCACTAGATCTGTCTAGAATCGTTATTTCTGTACGGAAACTTCGCAAAGATCATTGGTCGCCAACGCCGCGCCGCTTTCGTTTATTTTGGTCACAAATAGCTTTGGAGTTGTCGGCGCTTGGAGCAGTATTCACAGATATTGAAAACAGACTGGACGCATTTATTATCACTCTTCAATTAATTATTGCAAAGTTTAGATATCTAGGTATAAAAGTATTTTGAAAACAATGTCTTTGAAAATTGAAGCTGAAACGAAACTTGGTTCAGAGCCGTGTGTGTTGACCTGGGGCAACAAATTATTTGTTGGCTCTGAAGACGGGTCGATTAAAGTAAGTAAATGGGTAACTTCTTATAGAATAATTATTTATTTATGAAGAGATTTTCATTCTTAATCCTACCTTAGCTCAAGTCCATTTTCACTAACTTTTTAAAAGCTGTCTTTTAATTAATAAGCACCTAATTGTTCATAAACGAAAGGGGAATTCAGACGTCTTTCATTTTTTATTAAACAATAAGCTTTCGTAGATTTACTATTATGACCCGTTATCACGATCGGTAGGTACCTACCAACTCATATCTCATTAATATTGTGGGAGCTTCCTTAGTCCCCTAAAGGAGCAAGGACTGACTATAGCGCTATGTATCTACTCAGACAGATTAGTTACTAAGATTCATACATCACACGTTTACTAGTAAATTTACATATTTACTATTAAATTCCTTAAAGGCGAATTGGATTTTCATTTTAGGCATTTGATGCTAATTTAACACCAAAAGAATCATGGACGGCGCATGCAGTGCAGCCATTTGCCTTGGCTACTGACGGTGACACCTTGTATTCATCATCAAATGACGGGGGAATTCGAGTGTGGTCCATGAAGGGCGACCAAGTCACCGAGCTACCTTCTACTGGAGCTGATGTGGGAGCCCTGCACGTGTTTGATAGACAACTTTACGCCGGCGATGAGGACGGCAACGTAAGTTATGTTATGGATAAAGGAAAAAAAATAAACTTAATTTTCTAGATGTTGGGTTAGTACAGACAATTCTGGCAAAGCCTCAATTTAAGTTAGCTGTAAGATTTTGTAGGTTAAAAATAGCTAATTGATGATTGTCTCTCAATTAAATTAGTTTAGTTCTTACTTAAGCTAGTGTAATTAAAACTAAGATGGTACGATGGGATTGGGTTATCCAGGGCCGTTTTTAAACTATTTGAGGCCCTGAGCACATTAGGATCATGGGGCCCCATGACCTTGAGAAAACACTATTTAGTTATAATAGATAGAAGAATAGCGAAAGAAAGTAGACAAACAGGGTTCCAAATTTATTTTTATTTAGTTACCTACTAACTATAAAAAATAATCGACAAAAGTAACTCGCTTAGCATAAAATTCTTAGATTAATTCTATGTTGATTGCAAAGAAAGAAGGGTACGTACCCTTCTTTCAAAATCTATAGTATCGAGTATACCTATCACATTCTATGGACTAGGTAATCTCTCTTCAAGCATTGTACTTCTTAATTCATTTTTAGGAGAAGGAGCGTTCTCTGCTACAGTTAGTTACCATCATGCTTAAAAATATTCTCAAATGCAATTTCTACGTTAGGAAATGTGTATTAAATTTTGTTTTGTTTTAATAGATTATACACTACACTGTTAGGTGCTTCATTTTCACTCTGAACATTATTTAAGTATTCTTTTAAATGTTGACATTCTATTTCTAACTCTTTTTCATTTACTCGTGATAGATTCTAGAAAATTATTTGCATCCTTGCCGTATCTGGCTTGGGGGCCCCATTCGATTCCGGGGCCCTGGGCACGTGCCCATAGTGCCCAGTGGGAAAGAGGGGCCTGGGGTTATCCATGTTGATAAAAACCCCAAAATACGTAAATAGAATTAAAATAAATATACGGTTTCAGTTAACTTTGTCTAATAGATAGTTTGTCAGATTTATAGAAACAAAAATGTAAATTGTAGGTACTTTGATGTAGGTAGTAAATAAGTAGGTAAATATAATTATAAACTTTGGCATAGCTATCTTCAATATTGAAGTCTGTAACTATACATTAGTACCTACGTTTTTTAAAATAAATTTCTGTATCTAAATTATAAAAGTACCTAACCGCAATGATTATTTAGATAATTATGCACTTATTCACTTGACATCGGTTAGGGTTTTTTTATTAAGGGGGGGAATCATCGAATGACTGCTGACTAAAAACCACCCCGTTCCTGCCCTAGCCCTGGTAACCCGTTAGGTTCTCAGCGACATTGGTTAGGGTTAGGACACCTACTTGAATAAGTTTTTAAATCATGTTTTACCCGATTGTAGGAAAGATATTGTTTATACCTAGGTACCTTCGTTTATTATAAAGTACTTTAAATAAACAAAGTATATAAAATTAAACTATCTAATGTAAATTTTATGTAACACATCATATTTCTTAATATTTCAGATTATTATCTACGAAAAGAATGCGATAAAGTCGAAATACAATGTTTTGGAAGAAGTTAAAGATCTTTGCTTCAGCCCTCCGTTCCTGTTTACAGTTCGGGATCTTTATGTTACTGCGACTGAAATAAAACCTGGTAACTTGTCCTCCCATCTACCTGTCTGTTAATAATTTTATGAAACGTTTACTGCAACAACAGTAAAATATAACAACACATTTTACCATTTAGTTTGACTAAACTACTAGGTAGGTACTTCTTATTCCTTCTAAAATACAAACCACAGAAAAATATCTTAAAATATATTACTTAATTCATTTAGCAAAATATCTACAGTAGTGTCTGGAATTATAGTAGACTCCTCCTTAATTTTAATAGCAAATGTTAAGTAATAAATAAACCAGTTATTAATAAGTGCAGGCGCTAATGTTTGTAATAATATTCTTACTTTTTTATTCTAGAGGAATCGAAGACACGTTTTATGACGCGACACACAATGGAAGGACGAGCTCCTTTACGGATATGTGGAAACAGACTCCTGTTCATGTCCAGAGATGGCAATAGCTTGCGGTTACACGATGCTTCCGTTGATACTACATTCAAATCACTCGATGAAGTCAAGGTTTGTGTCATTTTATGTACCTATCCGCCTAGATAATGTAAAACCTGGAAACAAAATTGAATAAATTACTGTTACACCTAAAACTTACTATAGCTATCTACAAAATTGTTCCTAGTACAAAATTGTATGTTTTTAAGTAATTACTACTAGGCGCTATACAATTACACTTTTCAGGTTAGCGACATGATCCTAACAAGTTTGTCCACAAGCGGGCAGTACGCATGGACCGGTGGTTGGGATGGCTTCGTGCACCGGTGGAAGATAGCTGGCGATAAACTGGAAGCAGCTGGAGATATCAATCTTGGTGGTTGTATCAATTCGCTAGTTGCCGCTGCTGGTGACTCCGCCTACGTAGCAGTGTCTGGTGGGAAAGTAGCTCACCTGCGCGCTGTATAGGAGATAAGAATATACCTACGATACATTATCTGTAGCATGGCGTGTGGGCGTCTTTTAACGTGCAGGGCGTGAGATGTAGCAACGGGCTAATAGTTGCTTAAGGCTCCTCATAGACTAGAGACACTCCTGACATAATATTCGTATATTTGTGTTACTTAGACATATTGTTGTGTTGAGTCCCAGTGTGAGTGCCAAGAGATTTTAGTATGAAATATCTGATGCAAATTATTTTATAACTTTAATATTATCATATAAATGTTTCTTAACTTCTTATAATTTTTACGAGTGGATTTAATAAAGAAAACTGAAAAAATGAATACTTTTTATTAGTGTGAGTGCTAAGAATGGTTTCTGTGGGTCTAATTTCAGATCTGGAAAAGTAACATAATATTACAGAAAAGCCAAAAAGTGTGTGATAATTATTAAATACTGCTTGCCAACTTCTTTTTAGAAGAATTATGTGATATTAAGTAGCAGTTAAATAATTTAATGGGCCGACATTTGACCACTATCTCGCCTGGTGGTAAGTGATAGCGTGGTTTGTGATGGAACACAAAAATATAGCACATACATTCAAAAAAGTAGAAATTTGTTAGAACTCATGATAGTTTTGGACCTGAACAAAAGATAAAAACTGTCTGTTAGCCACTGATTTTGTGTAGACTGAAACAAAGCATGATTTAGTATAAATAAAAATACATTACTATGGAAAACAAATCATGTATTTTTGCTAAATTTCTGTTATTTACAATCACAGAACAGTAAACTCACTGATCTTGTAGATTCATCATATGTGACTATTCACTTGAACCCAAACATTATAAACTGTGATAAATCTTTCAATTTAAATAGAAGAAAAGTACATGTTTAAAGTTTACTATTCATTACAGTAAAAATATCTACAATAAAATGATTACAAGTTGTAACATTTTAAAATCAAATTAAATAATGATCTCAACATCACAGATATCAGATTCCTTGGGAAGTTTTATCTGCTTTGGGTCAATAAAGTTAGGGTCAATAGGAGGAAGACCAGCTTTTTCACGATGACGTAGTTCTAAAAATGCTTCTCGCTGAGCCCAATCTCTTAAATGTGTATCAGGAGCGTAGGCCCAAGCAAATCCACCGAAAACCAAACACAATGTAACGGAGAAAAAGAAGGACGCATTATGTGCGTTTGTGTCTTCTTCTTTACTCTTGTAGTCGAACCCATAGCTCACCCAGTTTTTGTCTTCTGGTTTAGATGCAGTAGCAGTAGCAGCGCTATCACTATTCTTTTTCGAAGTGGATATTCCACGGCTTGTTTGACTTAGATGGTTCCAAACACATCTTTGGATTAGCGGCATTTGACGTAGTTTGATTAATGCAGCCATTGTATTAGTAATTATTTAGTTTTGAAACCAGTGAAATAGGTTTTCACAAGACAACCTGATTATGAAACCCAAAGAACATACGAAAATGGAGAATGTGACAGATGACAGTGACGGATACATCAGATGTCAAAAAATTTGGAATCATATAAATTGTGCTGCGACTTAATTTAATAATGGATTTTAATCCATTTATAGTTTAAAGTAAAAAAATCTGTGGATTTAATTCCATTTACTTTTTTGGCAATATCAAGAAATATCATTGTTGGGGCTATGGTTCTCCTAGTCCGCAAGAAGCCAGCTATTAACATCACTAGCTAATGTCAAATTGTCATTCTTATATACCGTCATTTTCTGACATTACTGATGTCACAGAAACGCTAATTGAGGTTTTAGATTGATTAGAATTTTACCATACCTTTCGAGTCGGTAACAACTTTTAACAGTTGAAATTCTTGAAAATACTACTCTTATATCCTTTCGTTAAACGTTAGTTTTGTAATTTGTATTTAGTCGCCAAAAGCCCCAAAATGGTTGTTCGCCAGTACAACGAGGAATTGAAGTATCTTGAAAAGATAAATCCATATTGTTGGAAAATCAAAATGGGTTTTCAGCCAAATATGAACGTAGAAGGCGTCTTTTATGTGAATTCTACACTCGAAAAATTAATGTTAGAAGAACTGAAGAACTCTTGTAGACCTGGAATGACGGGAGGGTTTCTTCCTGGAGTAAAACAAATAGCTAATGTTGCGGCATTGCCGGGTATCGTGGGCCGGTCTATTGGTTTACCAGATGTACATTCCGGATACGGATTCGCTATAGGTGAATATATTTTTTGAGACTTACGTTTCTTCTTTCATAAGTCTAAAATTGATATATTATATGGATATTGCTAGGAATAAAATAAATAAAAAAAAATATGTAGGAAAGTTGATTCAAACTAGATTTCACCTTTTTCCTTGACAACTTGTAATATTTATTTAAAAATTTAAAAACGTATCTAGACACTTCAAACAATTAATATTTGACTAATCTAATATACCTACATATTGCATTATTAGTCATTGGTATTTCATATTACTTGTGACAAAATAATAGCATCCGCTTTTAGTAATTTTATCCCATCAAAATTCTGGTCTCTTCTAACACTGTTGGAAAAGGATATTTATTTTTTATCAATAATTTTTATCTATATTCCTGTATATGTAGGGGAATTTAGATAAAAATATTACTTATTGTAAATATGTTTGTTTGTTTTCATTGTTACCATTTATGATGCAATACTTTGTTAAGTGGTGTTGAATACTCAAGTATGCGTTTTACTTGCAGGAAATATGGCAGCTTTTGACATGGGTAACCCTAAATCAATAGTGTCACCTGGAGGAGTGGGTTTTGATATAAACTGTGGTGTTCGCCTTTTGAGAACTAATCTTCATGAGAAAGATGTCCAGCCAATTAAGGTTAATTCACATTGCTTAGTTTTTAGTTTTCACAATTTTACATTGTCAATATATACTGTTAAGGTCATCACACACCTAACAAGCACAGCTCTGGCACAGCTCTAACCCAGCAATATCATTGTCATTTAACTATGAGCTTTAAATTGTATGTCATATGACATATTTTATAATGTCAAAATAAAAAAGCTATAGGAGCGCCGCCCGCGCGCCTGCAACCACTTACAACCGTTTCATATTGTTTCCAAAGCAAAAATCGCCGTGCCGCCGCCGTTAGGTGTGCAATGACCTTTTGTAAATAGTGTAATAATATCATTTACATTTATTAACAGGAACAACTTGCCCAGAGTTTGTTTGATCACATACCAGTGGGAGTAGGCTCTAAGGGTATAATCCCAATGAATGCCAGAGATCTGGAAGAAGCCCTAGAAATGGGAATGGACTGGTCTCTCAGGGAAGGTTATGTCTGGGCTGAAGATAAAGAGCATTGTGAAGAATATGGACGTATGCTGAATGCTGATCCTTCGAAAGTCAGTCTTCGAGCTAAGAAAAGAGGCTTGCCACAGCTGGGTACTTTAGGAGCTGGTAATCACTATGCCGAGATACAAGTTGTAGATGAAATATTTGATAAATATGCTGCAGGAAAAATGGGCATTGAAAGACTTGGTCAAGTCTGTGTTATGATTCATTCTGGAAGTAGAGGCTTTGGCCACCAAGTCGCTACTGATGCTTTAGTCCAAATGGAAAAAGCTATGAAAAGAGATGAAATTGATACAAATGATCGACAGTTGGCTTGTGCAAGAATAAATTCTGTAGAAGGTCAAGACTACTTAAAGGCAATGGCAGCAGCGGCCAACTTTGCATGGGTTAATAGAAGTTCAATGACATTTTTGACCCGCCAGGCATTTGCCAAACAATTTAAAATGGCACCTGATGATCTAGACATGCATGTCATATATGATGTGTCTCATAATATTGCAAAGGTTGAAGAGCATGTGGTAGATGGAAAAGTGAAGACCTTATTGGTACATAGAAAGGTAATATTTCTTTATGAACTGTATTCTTCAGTAAAAATTGTATTTTTTCTATTTTTTGCAATTAAAAATTAAAAAACATTATTTCAGGGTTCAACCAGAGCTTTTCCTCCGCATCATCCTCTGATACCAGTGGATTACCAGTTGACTGGGCAGCCTGTATTAATTGGTGGAACTATGGGTACTTGCAGTTATGTCTTAACTGGAACTCATCAAGGCATGACTGAGACCTTTGGGTCTACTTGCCATGGAGCTGTAAGTGACTTCATAAAAAAATATTTTTCATCTATTATAATGAGCTTAATTTTCTTTAACACTATTTATTTGTAATTATAATAATAACTGTCTTTTCAGGGTCGTGCACTATCCCGGGCAAAGTCAAGAAGGAATATAGATTATAAAGAAGTTTTGGAAAAACTGGAAAATATGGGAATCTCTATAAGAGTTGCTTCACCAAAGTTAGTGATGGAAGAAGCACCTGAGTCATATAAAAATGTTACAGATGTCGTAGATACTTGTCATGCGGCTGGCATAAGCAAGAAGACTGTTAAGTTGCGACCCATTGCTGTTATAAAAGGCTGAAGTTTATTTATTGTGTAGATTGATAACAACATTCTGCTGGACTAACATTTATATATAATTAGGGCTACATTATTTGTAATGCATCTCATATATAATGTAATTTATTATAAGCAATATTTCGAAGGTCCAGACATTTAACACTATTTAAACTGTCAAACACCAAGCGGTCACCGGTGACCGCAACCTATTGTTCTTTAATTGTGTCTATAAATACGGTACTCGACGAGTTAAATCATTTTAAAACTTGATTTTATTGTTTGCAGTCAGCAAACTAAATCAAATTTTTATTAAGATGATTAATGGATGAGTGCAGGTCATGTTAATTTACTCTCTAACTTACGGAAGTTTGTGATTTTTAATAAATAAATGATGTAATTTGTAACTGTATATATTATTAACAAACAACAATTCAGCTATAAATAAATTAATACTTTAAAACTAACTTTGGAGGTACATAGAGTTGTTCTACTAATGACTTGGTGATGGCACGGGTTTAACCCATAGATTAGATAGTTTTTAATTTATCTGCTATAATCACTAAAAGAGCTGTTCCGAGGAAAAACAAACCAGGAGGTATAACAGCAGTAGTGCGGTCTGTTTCATCTGAAATGAAGAAGATAAGTATTATTTGAACAGGTTGCAATAAGTCCTTTAAATAGATTATGTTTTAACTCAAGTATTTTGAATTTAAATATAAATTAACATTTATGAAAAATAGTAGATGTATAAAATTTACCAGGACATAACTCGTTTTTCTCTTCGTTACCATCGGTAGTCCACGCTAAGCATCTTTTGAGAGCTTTTTCCCATCGGACCCGTTTAATGTCGCGTTCTAGAATTGAACATGAGAACAAAGTTTATTGACAAAATATATATAGTTTGATGATACTTAAAATTCCGTAAAAATTTATTTCGAGTTTTGTCTTTAAACTCCAGTTGAAAGTGGTAGGTACTCGTATTTTACCTTCAGAACTAATAGTTGGTATGAATGTATCGGCTGGTGGACATGGAGTAGAAGTTGGCCACACTCGCAATGCTCGACCAGCTACAATCGCAGCCCCAAGAGCTGTGCTTTCCATCATAAGAGGTCGAATCTGAAAAACGTAATTAACTGATTAAGTCCAATAATAATTACCATGTTCACAAAAACCAGAAACTTGAAAGTCTTATTATCTATTCATACCACAGGAATTCCAAGAATATCTGCTTGCATTTGCATAAGAAGTGTATTCTGCGCCATACCACCGTCGGCAAGTAGTCGCCCTAATGGAGCACAATCGGTCGCCATAGCTGTGGCCACACTTCGTGTTTGATGGCACACTGATTCTAAAGCTGCTCTGACTATGTGCTCTCGGCGCGTCTTCTCACTAATTCCACATATTATGCTGGAAATATGAAATTATTGAATAATTCAAAATTAAAACAATGAACGTAAGGTATAATTATTTGGGTAGAGAAAGGAAAGAGCATTAATAATAATGGTTATTATAACATGTAAAACAGTATGGTACTAGGTACAAGTGTATCATAAACCTACCCTCGAGCATCTTTCCTCCAATAAGGGGAGTATAAACCATTAAATGCAGGTACAAAACAAATGCTTCCTTCGTCATCATCATTTACCTCAGATGCTAACGCCTCTGTATCTTGAATATCCGTTATAAGCTCCAATCCATCTCGTAGCCACTGTAATGTGTCACCTAGATAAAACATCAACATATAACATGAGATTATTTGAGTATCAGACTTGCTAATTAAATTGATGAAGAATATGACTTACCTGCAATGGCAACTGATCCTTCTAATGCATACACTGGTGGTGCATCTGGTCCTAATTTGTAAGCCACTGTAGTTAAAAGTCCTTGTTGTGAGTGGATGATCGAATCACCTACAAATAAGTTATTTTGTAATTATTGAAAGTATCTTAAACAATTTCGTCAATTTCGGGAGAAAATACTTACATACCTGTATTGTATAATAAGAAGCATCCAGTGCCAAAAGTACATTTGACCTGACCAAATCTCATGCATCCTTGTCCAACTAAAGCTGCTTGTTGATCACCTAAACACTGCAGAGTATGTATTGCTTTAAAATACATCATTATATTGCAATATCAGGCACGAATAGAAGCAAGTGCATATTACTTACTTATCACAGATAAACGAGTATACAAGTAGTTACCCACAATGTATGATAAGCTATTTTCATTTAAGTACATACAATCATATCTTAGGAGTTTGTATGGACCAATATATATATACTATGTATATAATAAATCTTGTAGTAACAAAAATGTTACCTTAGAATTTATTGCGTCAGAAGTTGCTAAATACGCAATTATATGTATACATTATATTTTAGCCAGGGTCAAATGAATGCATATGTGAATACTGTGATACAGTAACATTGAATATTAAAGAAAAGAAACAAAATAAACACTATCACGTAAATTGTTCGGACATAACACTTATTTTTGGAATAAATACTAAATAATCATACAAAACTTTGAAATATAAACGCAGGAAAAACATTAACCTCCTGTAGGCTTCGCTGTAGTTACTCGGGTAAAAATAATAGAAACTGACCCCAGCAATAGGTACGCCAAGTAAGGATCCTGTTGAAATGTAACCATATATTTCAGCTGAACTTTTAATCTTTGGTAGAATCTGTATTGGTATGTCAAAGAACCGCAACAGTCCTATATCCCACTGCAGACTACGTAGTGACATCAGCTGTGTCCGCGAGGCATTCGTGACATCTGTTACATGAGTTCCACCATTACAACCACCAGTAAGGTTCTGAAATGAAGAAGTTAGGTGTGTACTTTCTTGAGTATACAATCTTTTATAGATGATATTTCTATACTTGACAGCCTCGTTGGCCGAGTGGTGTCAAATGCGACTGCTGGGCAAAGGGTTCGGTTCTCGGGTCAGGCAAAGTAATACTGGGTTTTAAAAAAATTCTCAGTAGTAGCACTGACTCTAGAAATGTGCCCAGTACATGGCAATAGGCTCACCCCTTATTACATGGAACTCATAACATAAATGTGGGTGTTACATTGTACAGTGGCATTAAGTGCCGTAATGTGCAACTCTGGCAATAAAAGGCGTGATGTTATGTTATGTAAAGCATAATAGTAAAATATTTTACATACCCAAATCAACCAGGAATCCACAGTGCCTGCCATACATTCTCCCACTCTGACAGCATCCTTGACTGCAGGCACATTTAAAAGCAGCCATTTCAGTTTTACAGATGAGAAGTATGTGGATAATGGAAGCCCACTGGTCTGTGTCACAGCGTTTACACATTGTGGACTTTTGACTTTTGTTAGTTCATCTACAATGTTAGCTGTTCTCACATCTAACCATACTGGAATTATCAAGTTGATTGAAGAATATTTATACGATTTGAGATTCTAAGTAATTTAAATTGTGATATTCTCACCTACCTATGGCACTATACAAAGGCTGTCCAGTAACCGAATTCCATACAATTGTGGTTTCTCTTTGATTTGTAATACCAATGCCAACCACATCCTCTGGGTTGATATCTAATTTTCGGAGATTGTCAGTAGTCACCTGTAATTCATATCAAAGTTATAAATATATCAGCGAATAAAAATGTTTATTTAATTAATGGTTTTTTATTACTTACTGTTCACAATAATAAAAAAATTGGTGGTTTAGTTGTGAACAGGTTGCTTATGCATCGACATGCTCCATCATAGACCGTATCATCGCTTACCACCAGGCAAGATAGTGGTCAAACATCAGTCTATCAAATATATATATGTATAAAAAAATTGTACAATCAAAGTTCTAGTTATTTTGAATAAATATAATCAAAATATTGTAAATATAAATATTTGAACGTTTCTAACGTTCTAATCTAAATAATGTTTTTATATTTTTTATGGAAATTATTGATATGATTATGAGACTTACTTCAATGCATTCTAATACAGCATTTAAAATTTCTAGTGCATCTTGTTCAACCCAACCTTCTTGAGGGCTAAACCGTTTCAAGGTAATTTGATGATAAGTTAATACTTCGGATGTGTTTGCTGCAAATACCTGTAATAAATATTGATATGAAGTGTACTCCGTGTAACCACATGATTAGTAGTTTTATATTACTTATATTACCAGGAACTTAACATTCGACGTTCCTTCGTCTACAGCACCAATGAGTGGACCAAATTTGCCAAATTCCCGCATATTATCATAGTTTTTACATAATGATTGAGAAAACTTGATTCTAATGTAACTATACGGTGTTCAAAAAAACTAATCTATCAGCTGATAATGTCATGACATTTACAGACAACACCATAGAGACAGACACCATAGACAATACATTTAGCATATGGATGTAAACCTTGCATGAACTACAGATTTATTCATCATCAAAATCAACAGCTTCTTCTTATGTGAACAGGGGGACAAGTGGACATAGGCTGCTCCAATTGCAGATTCATTACAATTACAATATTACCATAGATAATAATTTTAACATAAAGATGCGATTCAATGTTTCAGTAGAAGCAGAAATAAATTAGGCATTAGAAGCAGTAGGCTCGTATCATAGATCAAACTACCATAAAGTCAAACGAAATAGACTCCACAACATAGACTTTAAACTAGACTACTTAGACTCTGCTACATACTTTTTGACAGCCCGATCAATAACACAAAAACACTACAATTCAAAGAGTATAATAAGTATTCTACAATTTCTTGTAGTTATTATCCGGATCTTTAAGCCGTAAAGACTAAATATAATCGAAATGACTAAAAAACTACCAGAAATTCAACTAACTGTCAATAAACATGGCCAGTTAGTTCAGACATTTGCTAAACCGATTCAAGATGGAAACTTGCCTATTACGCTGGAAGAATTTCAAGTTCAAGCAAATGCCGCACTAACCCAGATGATAGAAGATCTCGATGAATTGGGTCACATGTGTAAGTAAAATATTACTAGCGACCTACCCTGGCTTGTGCGTAGGTTATTATTGTTTCTCTACTAAAATAAATAATATGTATTATACTTAGAAACCATCGTCTTGAGACAAAAAAAAATGCAATAAAAGCCATTGTGTACTTTTAAAGATCTAACTGATCATAGGCAGGATTTTGAATTACACATCAAAATCTCCAGCCTTATGATTTACTCATTGATTAAGAACACTTAGTTCGTCCCCGAAGAGTTAGTCAAGGCACATGTATATCATATCACTAGTTATAATTGTAGGATGCGAGCCTATGCTATACATGGAGCATTATCCTGGCTTAGACAAGACACTGAATGTTACAACACATCTGTATTCTTTACATAAACAAGGTTTTATATCAAATTGAGATGAGAATGCTGTATATAATTTTTTTATACAATGCTAATCAATGTTTGGGTTTCTAACTTGTTGCTTTTATTTAAGTGGGTGATGGCAACATGCAGAATTTGGAAGCAGAGAACAGTGCAGATGAGGATGTTGATGAAGAAGAAGATGAGAGTGATGACAACACAGATGGTTATGATAGCGAGGAAGGTGAGGAGTCTGGCAATGAGGATTTGAATGAACAGAGTGGACCCAAAAAGAAGAAACATTATTAATATGATTTGATATAGCTGGTCAAGATTTTTTGATGTATGAAGTACTAGTTGTGGATGTAGGCACCATTATAAATGTAATAAGAAGAAATTATAGTCACAATGTTTCCTTTCCACACAAATATTATAACTTCTCCAACGCTTTCAATACGGTCGACCACGATGTCCTCCTAGCTATATTAACTCAGTCTGGATTCTCGTTGTCGTCTCGGGAGTGGTTTTCGGCTTATCTTCGTGGTCGCCAGCAGGCGGTTCGCATTGGTCAGGAACACTCTGACTGGTGCGGGCTGACGGCTGGTGTACCGCAAGGCGGTATACTATCTCCTCTGTTGTTTTCTTTATTCATAAATTCTATCACTAGTCGTCTCACGTGCTCTTATCATCTGTATGCGATGACTTGCAACTGTATGCTCAGGCTTGTGCTGCCGACTTGCGGATCTGTATTCAGCATCTTAATGCCAACTTGCTCAATATAGAAGAGTGGTCTAAGAAGTATGGGGTCACCGTTAATGCTGATAAGAGTCAGGCCATTGTGTTGGGTAGTTCCTCTTATTTAAACCGTTTGAATATGAATCACCTCGAACCAATAATATACAATAAAGTTGTCATACCGTTGTCTCCTTACGTAAAGAATTTGGGCCTATACCTGGATGGTAGCCTCAGCTGGAACCATCAGGTTGCGCAGGTTGGTAAGAGAGTTACTGCTACGCTGCGATCCCTCTATAGATTTAAAAACTTTCTGCCCCCAAATACAAAACAGTTACTGGTCCGGTCCCTTGTGCTTCCTGTTATCGATTATGCTGATGTTTGTTACTCTGACCTATCCCAAGACCTTCTGAACAAATTGGATCGAATGCTCAATAACTGTATCCGTTTTATCTTCGGTCTTCGTAAATACGACCACATTTCTTCTTTTCGCGATCAGCTGAAATGGCTTCCTATCCGTGAGAGAAGATCTCTTAGATCTCTCTGCATGCTTTTCACTATTCTGAATGATCCTTGTGCTCCTGAATACCTAAAGTCTTGCTTCCAGGTTCTGGGCAGTTCTCACAGCCGTAATCTCCGTTCTGCTGAAAATCTGCTTCTTGAGATTCCGTCCCACCGAACATCCTTCATTTCTAACTCTTTCACAGTTAGTGTAATTAAGTTATGGAACGCACTACCGCTTAACATAAAAAAGGCTCCAAATAAGATCACTTTCAAACGCGATGTTCACGATTTCTTTTTAAAGTCACTACAACGCTGAGTCTAGGTCTATTATTATTATATATGTATTATTATAGAATTTATTTATTTAGTATATATATATATGAGCATGCATATATATATACCTATATATTTATGTTGTATTTATATTGTAGTGTACATTTTAAATATTTTTTGTGCCTATCTATATTTATTAAAGTCTATTTATGTTATTTGTTTCTTATAATTACACATGCCTATTTTTTCGCCGTTTTTCAATTTAACCCTAAGGTTGACTGGGACAGAATGCCATATGGCATTAATGTCCGCCTTATGTACCATTACTTGATTCTGTGTACATTAAAGCTTAAATAAATAAATAAATAAAATATTTCAAGTGTTTATTGTATTTGCTCCTTGTAGATTTGTTAGGTTCTGGTACAAGCATTCCATTTCACAATATTTATTAGTGTAATGAGAATCTCAGTGTCAGTTTATTTTTGCTTATAGCAATTATGGGTCTCTAGACTTAAGTATTAAAGTAGCATTTAAAATGTGAAAAGGCTGGATTTACCCAGTAAGAAGATATTTATTGAGGAGTTCTACTTTTGAAAAGGTCTATTAGACTACATGATATTCAGGGCTATATATATTAGGATTTCTATTGATCCCTTCACACTCTCTAAAAAATGTTGGAATATAGACCTGAATATCGTATTACATAATAGACCGTTTGAAAGTTGAAATTGATTGTATATTAAGTATATTTTGGCTATTATTTTACCTTTCATTGTTAGTTTAAGTATAAAGTATATATTGTATCATGTCACATGTAGATTAGTAACCCTATTTAAAAATAGCTATTGAAAGTATTGTCACCTAATTACTGTTCCCATGTCTATTGAGGTTTATTTTGTAGAAGTGTTTAAAAGGTATGTATACCAATGTGATTGTATATTAAACTATATTTATTCAATATTCGTCTTATCATTTTGGTTGAATTTTGGCCCTTAGTTTCAAACTTCGAAAGGCAGTTGTTTTAATTCGCCTCTTTCATTTCCTATTAGACTTATAGTAATATAAAACTTACTAATACGAAGTGCCAAGCAGTTTTTGTTTCGATATTCGGGTCAGGCAGGGTTATCAGAATATTTTAAATATTTTTGGGATAGAAAATAGAATTGTAGTCGGTGCGTAGCGTCGTATTGTATAGCCAAAGACGCGTCCAGTGTGAACTAGTGTGAATGAGTACTTAAAGTTACTCATTTAAACACTGGACGCGTCAAGACGCTTAGCATAAGAAAAACTACAGGACACGATGGCTATGAATATTTTAATTTTGTAGGTACTGGTAGTTCGCATACCTACCTTAACTCGTCGAGTATCGGTTTTATAGACACAATTAAAGAACAATAGGTCGCGGTCACCGGTGACCGCTTGGTGTTTGACAGTTTAAAACTAAAAAGCTTTCATTTTCATTATTGGCAAAGTTTTTACAGTACCTATACACAAACTTGTCTACAATTCGTGATCATATAAAAAGCATTGCAATTGTCAAAATAAAACAAACCGTGAAAAAATATGATCTCAATAAAAAACACGAATCGTTATTCTGTGAAAGAGTACAACTTGGTAATCATAAAATCGTCGTTGAAAGTGGGTATTGGATAGCTACCTAAATTAAAAATTAAAAAGTTTAGGAGCACGGTCTCTGTAAAAAATGTGTTGAATAGGAGGCGCTACAGTAGAAGTAGCATAAAAGTTTGTATTTTTAAATTTACGCATATCTGCTTAGATAAAATTTGCACATTTGCCAATGGGTTCGTGGCATAATACGTAGTTACTATAGTTTATTATTTCAAAAAGATGCTTAATATTTACTTATTGAGAGTTTTAGCAGTCTGTCTATAATAGCGCCATCTATTCATTAAAAGTAGTTAGGTGGAAAGTTGTTACTGGTTCAAGATCGTAGGAACTTCTTCTTTTCTCTATGGTACGAATAAACACTGATTACGTTATTTTATATTTTTATTCAATAAAATCTTAAAAGCTAGAGTTAACAAGTTGGTCACTTGTTTATTTACAAATAGTTTCTTATTTACAATACGAAATATTTATTATGTTACATTGTACTTTGATTTTTTATCGTATGAAGGTATGTACCCACTGGAGATACATGCCTACCGATCCTTGTTTAAGGTAGTGCGTGTTTTTAATTCTCTACGTAAATGAAGTAGATGTGTAGGTACGTATGAAGGTATGTATACGTATCCGTATCACAAGATTAAAATATTTTTTGTGCCTACTAGACGTAATTTTATCAATATTGTGTAATGATGCCGCAATTGTGCGCCACTATCATAAAGTAGGTATGCAAATGGGTATGTATAGGTAGGACCTGTAGTTAGTACCTACCTAGGATTATATTTTTCTATTTGATGCAGTGAGATTGTTAACGTGGCAAATATTTTTTCATTCGAATATTTTTTATTAATTTCTAAATAAAAATGATTTATTACTAGGAATAAATAATAATCACTTACATCGAATACGACATCTAATGGAATGACTTTGATCACAAAAGTTTTAGGAAACATACTAAATACTTATGCTAATATTTGTATAAATACGACAAACTCAAATGTCACATTGTTTAACTTTAACTAAGTAGATACATAGAAAACTTAATACTGGTTCTGATGGGTTTTACCATCTACGGTTTGCTTACTTCTACAAAGACAAAGTAATAAGTTTACGCAGTAATTGAATAGAGTTCAAATTAAACATTCTAGTAACAAGGAAGTCGCCTAAAGACAAAGCGCGAAGGTAGCTACATAACCATGTCGTAGTGCTGCTAGTATAGTGGTGATATAAAACCTTTGGCAGTATAAGTAAAATCAAAGATAGTTTCGGTTAGCAAAAATCCAGATAGCGCTTCGCTCTCCAAGTGAACACAAAAGTGTGCCACTTCATTATTATAGTAGGTCGAGTGCAGTCCCGCCTCATTGTAAATTAATGATAATTATGATGGAATACCGTCTCGTTTCATTATCTTACTGTCTTGTTTATTCTTGATATCAAAGTATACTATTGTAGAGTAGAAAGTAGGTGTACGTTCTTATTTTCTAAGTTGTTTTCAGACTAGTTGATAGCAGGTTTATCGTCCGGTTGCTCGGAGTCCGAGTAACAAATGTCGCATCCAGTGACACCGCATTCACATAGAGATGTCGGACGAATGGAGTGACGGAATTTCTGAAAATTAAAGAAAAATAGATCATTAGTATCGGTACGGCTCGCTGCAGCTAGTGTTTTAGTATTTATTGTAAATAATAATTAGTGTTATTGTATAAGTAGACCGTATTATTTTACTGCGTAAGAAACTATGCATGTAATAAATCAGCTATTTGTGTTTCATAATAGACTTGATGTCATGAATAATTTTTATATCTATTATTTATTTATTTCTATTGCTAATTACGTAAGATACGTAGATGAGTACGTAGTTGTAGTTCCTTATTTTTATAAAACTGACTGATTTTGTTCAATCAAGGTCTTCTATTTAGCAATATATTCTAACTGCGACTTTAAATAAGTAACTGAAATATTTAATATTTGCGTATTTACGTACCTCTCTCCAGTTATTTCCCGGGGACTTGACTACGACAAATACAGCGTATACTGGAATGCATAGAAGTGAGAGAGAAGCGATGATCCAACCGAGCGCCTGCGCCCACGTCGGATACTGGTACTGTCGGTAGCTTGGCGGAGTGTAGTCCACCAGACTGGCCACCCACAGCGCGAGAAGTAGCGCCGGTGTCGCAACCAGCCAACACACTCGGAAATATAGCGAAGGACGACGACCTGAAACGAACAAAAAATATTTTAAAACATCATTCTGTTTGAGTTTAATTGGTAAAGTCTGCATCTTGTAAATAATCATTTTTAAGTTATGTAGGTACTAATAAAAGTGTAATATGAATGATTCAACGACAGGATTTCAGGTTTCTAAATGTAGAACACGTTAACGTATGAAATATTAGGTGAGTGGCATCGAGGCTAATATCATTGCTTTGTATCGTGTACGCCGTTCACCACACTTACTCATAATAGGAAGACTGACACATCAGATGATTTAGTTTAAAATACATCTGTTTGATTGTAGGAAATTATAATATTTAGTAGATACCTATCGAAAAATGGTTAGTCACCACTGTTACTCCGATTATGAAGTTTCAAAAATGATTATTATCTTATATAAATACAAACGGAAGTTGCATTGCGTTATAGGAAATAGCAGGACATCCCGTGTGACGTCACCATATAGGTATCTAGGCAGGTATTGTTCATTGCAGATATACCATGATACATATTAATTATTCATACTCAATACAATATTCATTTTTATATAGAAACACAAAATATAGTTTTTGCATGAACGTATACGTAGGATGGCAACTCAAAAAGTACATATAGGCCGGAATCGCAGCATTTGTCGATTTTTAGTTTCTGCTACCGTCAGTAGTCATGGGGTATGCGGCAAGGCATGAGTGTATACCTTAATCAGCTTAGGGCGTAATATTATAACTACCTATGAGATTATATAATTTATAGCCGTAAATATAATAAATAGTATGTAATTTAATCAAGTAGCTATAAAGTGTTTAATGCCATTAATTATTTCTACATCGCCAATGGTAGTACCTATATGTGAAACTAACTAACATTAAGATCTGTATGTACAGTGTACTAGGATAAATGATATTCTATTCTATTTTGCCATAAACATAATATGTATATATATATATGTCGTAGGATAATTTGATAATTCGAATCTTCGCGGAAATCCTAGGGATTTTGCGAAAACGCGAATAATTAGACATAGGCGAAAAATTATCAAATCTTACTGGACAAAGTCAGGATTTTTGCGAAAATACTCGTTACTATAGTAAGATTGCGAAACGAAACGCTGGCTGTTATGAAATAAGAACGCTGATTGGTCGGTCAGCGCGTTCAATAAGAGATCGTCTCTGATTGGTTGACGTCTTAAATGTTTTTTCGTCGTCTTAAACGACCAGTTTCATCCAATTTATGGATTACACCCTAAAATTGGATCATTTTTTTTACTACGACTGAGATCTCCTATTGTCTGTAGAAAACAACATACATACTAAAATTTTCAATAAAAAGTTTATTAAAATCAGTTTAGTGATTTTCCTTTCTCACCTATTCTAAACCTTCATAACTCTATGATACAATACTTGAAGTTAATCATCGGCAAACTAGGAACCAATTAGAAGTCAGCCAGCAAAATTGTAGCCAATCAGTGTTGAGCACATCAAATCTTACTATAGTAACGAGTATTTTCACAAAAATCCTGATTTTGTCCAGTAAGATTTGATAATTTTTCGCCTATGTCTAATTATCCGCGTTTTCGCAAAACCCCTAGGATTTCCGCGAAGATTCGAAGTATCAAATTATCCTACGACATATATACCTTATGACTATGTACCAACATGTACACTCTTTTCAAAGATTTAGTTTTTAAGCTAGGTACTGAAAATCATATTATTCTGTAAAATATACATACCCGTCATTTGTTTAATGTTTCTAGACAATCTGCCCACGCCGTAGAACCAAGCAATCCCCACGACTTCGAAGAAGGCTAGATATGTGATGCTGAGTGATGCGGCGTAGTAGTCCATCAGTTGGAACACATAAATGCCGCTGTGTATAATGTGTGGCAGCCCGAACACTAGCGACACTCCACACACACACAGCACTAACAACTCGTGGTACACGAGTCTTCTGCGTATCATGTCAGGGAACCCATCTTGAATTGACGTCACCACCACTTCAACGATTGCGAACTGAAATGTATTAATTGTCATTTGATTTTAGCATGCGTTTAATTCTGGATGTAATACTTTTGTTCAATACTTTTAGCAATATAGATATTCACCTGGCTGTTTAGTCCAAGACAAAGGAACATAAAGAAGAATAGCACTGCCCATAGTTGTGACGCGGGCATTTTTGCAATTGCTTGCGGATACACGACAAATAATAATCCAGGACCTGAAATAAAAATATAATAATTACATACAAATGTCTGATAAATTAATTGATGTGGTGAATATGTATAGATTAATGTATGATACTCACTGTCAGCGATGACATCTTTAACAGGAGTATTTTGTTCAAAGGCAATGTTTCCAATAGTGGCAAACGTGAAGATCCCCACGATGAGACTAGTGATTGCATTGATTAGTGAGACAGCCACAGTATCGTGGAGGAAATTATTATCGAATCGATTGTAAGAAGCGAACATTATCATCGATCCAAAAGCAACACCGATTGAGTTAAATATTTGTGAGGCTGCGTTAACCCATGGTCTTGACTGTTTTAATAGTTCCCATTCTGGCTTGAAGAAGAATCTCAGACCTTTATCAGCTCCGTCTAGCGTTAACGATCGTCCGAGGAAAACTATAATTAGCAGAAAGGGCAATGTGGTGGTGATATAGCGTACTTTGGCGGAAGATTTGATACTTTTCCACAGAGCGAAGTAAACTAGCACCCAAGCACAGACCAAGCAAGCCGCCAATTCCCACCGCATTCCATTTGGGTATTCTATACCGGCACTCATGCTCAGTACCTTTTTCCTGAAAATGTACAATATCATTAGTGTTTATTAAATTATTTTCATAATTCATCATAGTTATATGGTATATGTGCACCGCTGCCTATGGCTTTGAGAATTAAAAGACTTAATATTATGTCACGTGCATTCATCATTTCATTTCAGGCACCATAAGTTAATGTGTGCTTTTTAATGGACTGTAATACACAAATAAACAATATTTTCAGCATTACAATACAATATAAAAGATAAAATCGGTTAAACAATGATAACGTTTATTTTTCCAAAAAATATATCAGTTGCTAAATGTTGGTGTTTTATTAATAATCACCGGTAATTACGAATGCTAACCACATTTATCATTCAGACCGTACCACATGACTTGATCTTTGATAAATATTTATTACTTATCAATAACTACAGAGGTTCGGAGTAAGCAATCTTTAATGGCGCTATTGACGGACGACGACGAGACAAAGGTTGACGTAGATTACTAGGTGCGCTTAAGCATTATTCATATCCGGATCCTGAAGTAATCATATATTATGTACTATGTTGTAGTACCTATTTAAGACCTCGTCACGTCGTTTCAAACTTACGTCCAATATTTTTTTTAAGTGAGTATAGATAGTGAAACGAGTAATCAGATCCACGTGAATTGTTTACGGCATAATCCAATATTAATTGCAAGTGCTTCATCTTGATTAAGTAGTAGAAATATAATGTGATTGCATGAAAGGATTAAAATCTACGAACGTGACGTATAGATATGAAATAATAATATTGTAGATAGTACAAATTGTGGGTGTCCTTTGCACATATGTTATATCAGATCTTCACATAATATCAGCACATGGCCTGTATAACCAGGTTTTTGGTCAGCAGTAGGCACTTAAAGAGTGATGATGATGATGATAATAATTTAAACTCACTCGAAGAACTGTTCGGTGGGCGTCTGGGAGCCATTGGGTTTAGTCATGTTGTGATTGGGCACCCAGCACTGCGGCGTGTTCCATCGGTTCGAACAGCTCGCCCACGGGACCTCTGTCTTGAACGACGTGAAAAAGTAATAGATAGCCCACGCTATAATCACCGCGTAGTACGTGGACATTAGAAATGAGATCACTACGCTTGCTAAGCCCGCACCTGAAAATTGCCAAATATGACATAGTGTTACTAGTTTTTTAATAGATTTTTAAAATAGCAAGATTATTTAGCTTTCTTAGCTCACCTTTGAAGAGAGGGCAAATTTGTGACAAGGCACCAATGGGACCGTGAGCCGTGTACTGGCCCACGGCCAATTCCATGAAAAGCATTGGCACACCGCATACTAAGAGTATTATAAAATAAGGTATAAGGAACGCTCCTGAAACAAAAAATATCATTATAATATGGGTAGCATTGTTAAATATATTTTACTGAAATATTAAATGCAGAGAACCCTTGTTGTTATAACTCTTCATCAAATGATTGGTGGTTGATGTCTATGTATGTTACATATGTACTGTACAAGTGTACGTGTGAATGACCGACTTATTGCCGGCGAGGCGGACGAATCGAGGTGAATATACATAATATTGCGAGATAGGGGACCGAGACGAATGGGCCTTGGACCTCTTTGTATTGTTAAGAATTTCCTAAGTCGGACTATGTACTTATATCATGTTTGTTGATTTGAAGAATACTACAAGCACTTTTAGGGCGTAGAGCCAATATAGTACTCTATATTTTTTTTATAAAACATGATGCCTATGCATCGTTTCACAGTTTCCCACGTAAGAGTACGGAGGTGGGACGTCATTTTTGTAATGTCACATTCATTAGTATCCTTAGACCTCACGTGAGAACAGTGCGAAGCATGTGGGCCGCATGTGGTTGTAGAGGCACCAGCTAAAGAAAGAATTTAAATGGTATGTTTGAACTAAAATTAGTCATCGTATAGATAAGTGGGTCACTTATAAAGTTAAGATTAAAACCTTGTCATATTTGGATCGGACGGTCGTCTAGTGGTCAATTCTAGCGTCGCCAGTTTTATCCTTGATAGCAATGAGTTGACCTACAGGAACTGTCGTAATTAGTCTAGTCATTTGCTCATCCGATTATATAGGCGCAGGTAGGTACAGTCATTATGCTGCGCTGAGTTGTAAGTACCTAAACAGTTGTAATTCGTGTCTACAAGGTACCAATATTATCGTTTTAGTTTAAGCGAAGCTAGGAAGTAGCAAGTATGTTCTTACTTACTCTATTGTTTTAGAGGTGGAGTATGTTGGAATTTAGCACAAAAACTTATGTAGAATATAACAGATACCTACTTTTTGCAGAAAACTATTGAAATAAATACCATTGTTAGTTGAAGCACAAAACGTATTTCATGTCTATATTTAAATGTCTTGCAGAGCGTTTAGGTCACCGCACTTGTAATTCTACTATACCTATCTAGTGCGATACTTACATTTAAACAAATAAGCATATACATATTTGTTCCCACGTCGTATTTATTTAGTTTAGTTGACTATTTTTTGTTATCGCCTTCTAAGAAAGTATATTTAGTCATTCTGGTTTTATGTTTACATGTCTGTACCCGGTTGTAGGTAATATAGAAATATCAACATATCTAGGTATAGGCATATATTTAGTTGCGTAAAAATATCTGGTAGGTAAATAATTATGACGTCAGCCATTATTATATTTAACAACGTGAAATGGTTTATAAAGTAATAAAGCTACTGATCTATCATTATTCAACAACGGATTTTCCTAGATTGACATGATGACGAGACGTCAAGTTTAACTCCGACTTTGTGTAAATAAAAATCAAATGCCATTTAACGAAGCTTCACATAAAAAATAACGGTTTTTTTTAAGAAAAATCACCGAAGCCACCAGGAAACATTATTTGACACGTGTCAAGTTTAGCGGGTCACTAACTGATATAAACCTAAAGTTGAAGTTTAAGAAATTTCGTGCACTGTGCACAATTTATCAATCGAAACAATGTGACACATTGTGACGTGTGTAGTCCACATATCTAATACTTTAATGCAAAACTTTTCAATGTATAATCAAATCCATGTCATTTAAATATCTGCAGTGATTTCTATATATATCGGGCAATAAATCATTTGATATCTTGTAAATACGTCTAAGCGGTGTCAAGTGTTAGTTTACCGTAGGCATCAGCTGTAATTCACACCTTATTGTAGTGTCGTTGGATCGTGTTGGTGCCTCGGCGTCAACCAGCTCATTAGCGCGCCGCGACACAAACACACAAACATCTTGGACACGATCTCGCACTCGTGTGTACATTATATATTTTACCTTGGTGACTAACTTTTCCTGTTATTTGACAAAATTATTTTATGACCCATGTAAGGCGTTTTCGTTTTATTATGGTTAAATAACAATAGTGCAAGCGCAAATATACGTATTTGTCATTTACGTAGTTACACACAATATAAATGATAGGAATCAGTTCCAGTAATCGCTTTATAGTCTCTGTGCATAACTATGAATAATAGGCCAGGTGTTATATCTATTTGAAATAATTATGACGTACCAAGATATGATGCGTTAGTTAAATGATATCTAGATAACATTAACTATGTTTCGTATCAAAAGTCCACACACATTATTGAAAAATAATTGTGTTACTATTATTTAAATGTTTCTTTGATATAAAGTTAATCCATTCAAGTCAAAATTACACAGTTCTGTGTAAGTAATATTTATGATCACGCATAGAATCGTCATCGTAAACTCGATAAGAGTTAAATAGTTATATAATTATTAACACGTGATAAAAACATAATCGATGTCCTCACGGCCACTGAATTGTATCCACATTATACGTAATATCGTGCTTCGATCATTTTCAAGTGTAAAGTGCCGGCTATTAGTATAGACTTAATGCAATGTCACGCCGGACACGATCGTCTTTTTGTCGCCTTAATGAGTTAATTTGCGCTGCGACGATCTGTTATTAGCTCAATTACTGTGAAAATATGCTCGTACAAAATAAAATGATACGACCAAATAAGTTTGTCCTATCTTTCCGGCGATGAATTCCTAATCTTAACTTTGTAATCGAGTGGGTGTGACCTATTGTTAGTCATTAAGTATGTCCGTTGTATACGTACTTGCATCAATATAACGTTTACTGTTAATTTTTAAATTCAATAGCTTCCGCAATTTTATTTACTAATAAAAATGACATAATTTAGGCATAATACTTTCTACAACAGCTTAATGTTTATTTTGTAGTTGTGATAATAATAATAATATATTATAATCTCTTTACGTAACAAGATATAAAATTGATTGGTAATTGGTAGGTATATAACAAAACGACTTATGAGTGATAGTGAATTTTTATGGTATTGGTAATATTCCTGACGGACAGTGTCAGGCCTTGCTTTTTGGAAAAATGGTGAAAATACCAGTTATGAAGGATATGAGATAGAAGTAGAGTCGGAAGGTGCATGACGTCTCGTAGATGTAACGTATATATTGACTCCGAATCGTACGCAGGGACTACACATCAGCTACGCAGAGTCTAAGTATTTGCTACGCAAAGTCTACGTATTGCCTACGCAGGGTCTACGTATTGACTATGCGAGTATAAGTTTTGGCTACACAGTGTCTACGTATTGCCTACGCAGGATTACGTATTGGCTACGCAGGGTCTATGTATAGGCTACGTATTGGTTATGTGTCGACTGCGTACTACGTCGCGATTGTCTATTAGCAACAAATCTGTACACTTTTGCGAACCAATTGTTGTACTAGTATCGGGGGCATCCATAATAATAAGGTGCGTCTTTATTGAGGATTGATGATTTTAGTCTTAAATTAGTATTAAATTGTACCTATATTTTTGAAATCAAAAATGCTCTTAGTAATTTCATTCATATACATTATTGTACTACAGTACAAAATATATTATTATAATGATTATAATTTACCTCCTCCGCTTTTGTAGCACAGGTAAGGGAACCTCCACACATTGCCGAGACCAACAGAGTAGCCAACGCACGCCAATACAAATTGTATTTTGTTGGCCCAGAATGGTCGGCGGGGTTTTAGATGAGCTGTAGTGTCCTCCTCTTCCTCTTCGCAGTCACTCTCATGTGAGGCTGTATCTTCGTCGGGGGGCCTGTAAAAACAAATATTTAATAGTTTTAAATCAATCAACATTTACAGACAACACGATCCGCATAAAAGTGGAAAGATCATGAATATTTTTGGAATGGTAAATAAGATAAAGCTCTTTATGGCGGCATGTAGACGTAGACCATCATCTTAGAAATACTAAAATATATAATAAAAATCCGCAAATAATTGTAACTGTATAAAAGAGATTCAACATGTCTCAGATAATTTATGTAGATTAGGTGTGTGTAGAGTTTTAAATGAAATGACATGTTTGCACAACCAATGAAATACCAAACAGACGTAGATAACAAAGTTTACAAATGAAGGAAACAATGTCTGTTTAATACTCTTTCTTGTTACTTTTATTCAAGGTAGCCAAGGTCGTTCCTTTCGTAATTTTATTTAAGGAATATTAGGTCCTATGGTAAACACGAGCCACGCAGCGCCGTACTTGATAAACCGACTTGTTTGGATTAATGATGAATGATCTACAATGACGGTAGATTAGTGTGACGTCACACAGCTCAATGGCTTTACCTACTTTACTAATACTGAGTAAACGTAGGTTTATAATTTCGGAGACAACATTTTAAATCGTTGAAAGTCTCTCCTTACTATGATATTTTTCAAGAAAGTTATGCTGAAGGCTTTATGTGTCAGAAAAAAAATATTAACCTTTCATTATATTAGACAAACAGATACTAATAAACGCTTATTCTGTTCACATCGAAGGCATTTCTCTGCGGTTGCGGTTTAGAAATGGGGCATAAAACTAATTTATGAGAGAGAGAGATATTAATAATATGTACCAACTTGTTCACCTACTACTTACTTCTTAGATAAATGTAACTTTAAAGTATTTACACTTAATAATACACAAGTACTTGTGTAGTCCTTTAGAAAACGTATTTGTAAAAACTTGGTTGATGATTGCGAAATTAATTGTGACTGTTTTCGATAATATTGAATTGAATTGCCATTAATTATTTTCATTCTGACTTGATTACAACATTTTGTCCTCTAGGAAATGGTAAGCGGCTGTTCTAGTTGCAAGAAGTTACGCGTACCTAGTATTTGGAAGCAATATTTATCTTTGTAGCTGTATATAGCTATCAAACTAGGTATCTAGGTGGTTTTGCTAAAAGTAGGTTACAGTAATATATGTATTCCTATTGGCACTTGGCAACCACTAAGCTCAGTCAGTGATATTTAAAAAAAATCAGCGCCCAAAATTTATGATTCCGATATTTAAAATGAAAATTCAAATATAACTTAATTGTCTTGATTTAAAAAATACAAATAACGGTACACTTGTAAAAAGTAATTTATTGATTTATTATAGATCTTAAGTTATCTGTAAAAGACATATCCAGCTACTTATCTCTTTTTGGGACATGGTCATGGTTGAACACTTTTAGACGGTTGAACTCCCGTAATTTTCAAGAACAATTTAAAGAAATAATCCCTGGCTGTCAACGCGTAAGTAGGCAAACGTATTTTAAAATCATTATCAAGTAGGCAGTGATAAGACGAAGCGGCGCGGGCGCACGATCAATCGTTGTATCCACGTCGTATGCGAGATATGTGTGTGTGGAAAGATATGAGCATTGCAGTGTTATCGGCTCATGGCGTGAAGGTCAAGCGACCAAAACTCCATATAAACATAAGCCTGTTGGGATTTTGGGATTGTCTCAAGTAGTTCATGTCATAGTTTAATCGGACTCAAATCCTTCGTCTGTCAGTGAAAGTGCTGCACGTCGGCTGCACTTGCGTTTCATGACATTCACACGGTAGTTGCAGTTTTATCTTTTAGTTTATAGTTTAGTAACATGATCAATATTGTTAAGTTGAAGTGTGATAACATCCGACATGCAATTATGCATTTAAGACGTCATGGGAACCCGTTTTGTTTTTCTTAATGAGAGGCAATTCTTTGTATCTTAAGTGTAATCTTGCACCTACGGATATATGAGGAAATAGGAAAACTGTTGTATATTAATATATGGTTTGGTTTATATATCAACAGTATTTGTACAAGCTTCACCAGCGTGACATCATCAGATAGGTCTGACAAACAAAGCAACCTTTGTCATTTTATCATTGCGTTCGAAACCTGTGAAATAAATGGTCATTACCTGTTTCTAAAGCAATGAGAGGAGATACGCTCGAAAAATGCGTTTCCTTGCTGAACTCTGTTATTGTAATCAAAGGTACCTACAATACCGCTCATTGAAACACCATTTGGACAAACTATACTATATGTATTAAGTAACAATATATAATATTAATTTATTATATATAAGTCATCTCGTATATACTTTAAAAATGAGAGAATATTATATTAGTCATATACGTCTATTATTATCAAAGGGAGTAATCGTAAGTTTATAAGCTTGTGTTGCCATCCAGTTTCAAAGTTATACTATTATTCGTATACAAATATCACAATTTTCTTTATTATTATTATTAATTAACTCTTCAATTTAAATTATGAGATAATTAATATATACAACTTAAAATATAAATAATTATAAACATTTATTATATAGTATTGATCGAAAGAGTGATGGATGTAACTGAGCGTAAAATCTGGGATGTGCAAGCGGGATTTCGAAAGGGAATGGGGTGTACGGATCAAGTCTTTTCGTTACGGTGCATTTCAGAGAAAGTGTTATCAAAGCACCAAAAGGTATTTTGTGCCTTTATAGACCTAGAAAAGGCTTATGACAGAGTGGTGAGGGATGAACTGTGGTCAACTCTGTCCATGTATGGGGTGGATAGCCACCTGATTCGGGCACTTAAATCCTTATATAAGGACTCGAGTGCCTGTGTCAGAATAAATGGGGACTACACGGAGTGGTTTGACATTAATCGCGGTGTTAGGCAAGGCTGTGTAGCATCTCCTTGGCTGTTCAACCTATTTATGGACAGTTGTTTGAACGACCTGAAAGTAGGAGAGCCTGGATTAAGGATGAATGACACAGTGATTAAAACATTGTTGTATGCCGACGACCAGGTGCTTGTTGCCTCGTCGGCCCAAGAATTACAACAAATGGTCACTGCTATGAGTGATGCATTTGAAAGGAAAGGTATGAAAATAAATGTGAACAAGACGAAAGTGTTGGTGATAGAAAGAAATGAGGTGATAACAGAATGTCAGGTAATGATAGGTGATGAAAAATTGGAACAAGTGAATGAATTTGTGTATCTGGGATCACTATTTACGAGAGATGGAAAGTGTGACGGGGATATTGAAAGGAGAGTGAAAGCGGGAAATAGTGTTAATGGTGCTTTACACTCTGTAATGTCGAGTAAAATAATATCCAGCAAAGCTCGACTTGCTGTAATGCAGTGTGTATTGACACCAACGCTTATGTATGGTAGTGAATCATGGGTGTGGCAGAAGAAGCATGAAAGCAGGATTAATGCGGTGGAAATGAGAGCCCTGAGAAGTATGTGTGGACTAAAATTGAGTGATCGAGTGAAAAATAGTGTTATTAGAGAGAGGTGTGGATTGAAAGACGATGTAGTGACAAGGATTGAAAAGGGAATGTTACGCTGGTTTGGACATGTAGAAAGGATGGATGAAAGTAGAGTAACGAAAGAAGTATACAGAGCGGATATGAATGGAGCCGTCGGTAGAGGGCGCCCTAGACGGACATATAGTGACCAGATTGGCGATATATTAAAGAAGGGCCAAATTAAAAGTACCCTTAACCGACGAGCATGCATGAAAAGATTGATGACTGTTAATGAAGCGAAAGAGGTATGTAAGAATCGTAGTAATTGGCGTTCCTTAGTCTCTGCCTACCCCCATGGGAGACAGGCGTGAAGTTATGTATGTATGTATGTATTTATTATACATCCATTGTTATTTAATTATTTTTTATTTAAATGTTATTATTTTATACAAATATTGTTTTCCATATTTCATCAATGTTCTGTACTCAAGATATTTTAACAAAATTATAAAGTTGTCGTCTATGTTTTTGGGGTTTGTATTGTAAAATATCATATAACTATTGTATTTACAATATATGGCTTTATGAGTCAAACTGCACTCACGTAGCTGTTCGACAATTAATTTTCAAGTCGCACTAGGACATCACATCACCCTTTCCAATAACAAGACTAGAGAAGGCAATACTCGTAGAAAACACGCAAATCTTCATTTCAAATGAAAAAGAGTGATTCAACGTCACATGAATGTTAAGTTGCATACGATTAAGTAGTAGACGTGAAGCGGTATTTAGTTTTAAGTACCTATTTATCAATTGATATTGTATCACAATGCACTAGGTATTTTCATTTTTCAGCTACCAATATACTCAGTATGAAGAGATGCCGCCATTTTACGAATAAATAAGCAATAGATACCGCTGTAAGTACCCTGTGTGCTTGTTAGCATTTTAAGACTTGGTATCTTTCATAACGTTTAGGTGTCAGCCAAAACCTGTAACAACATCTATGCACCATCCACTATTTAATATCCATCTAGATTATGCATGGTATGTTATTGTAAAATTGTATATATATATATATATCATTGGATTATAATCTGTCTAACTAGATGATACACCGACTAAACCATTTATAATATACCTAACGCATTACTTTTCGTTAATTTATATTTTATATCAGGTACATAACTACTGTTTATACTTGATATAAATTAAAATACCTTCTAGTAGATCTGTGACCGAAAACATAATCAGACAGGTACACAGTGTGTAAAACAAAAAAATTAATAGAATTATTTCTCACAAAATCTGTGGGTTTCGATCGATTTTTATGAAAACTCCATAATAACTAATGTTAAAAATCTTTTCCAATCCGTAGATTTAGAATTGGTATAGGTAATTGGGATGATGACAGGGTATGAAAATTAAAAATCTAATTAGTCCGTAAGTTAGGTAATTAATAAATATTAGACACGTATTTTTTTATTTTGTCGTAATAAAACAATACTTAGATAAAACGAATCAAAGATAAGGAGTGGGGGCTAAAACGTCATTTCTACGTATAAAACGTACATAGAAGTGACGTCACGCGACATTTCAAATAAATATATCGTCGAAAGTAAGAAAATAAATAAAACGTGTCTAATGATTTTAAATAATCTACCAGACGGAAATAAAAATAAAAATTAACCATCTACTCCAATTAATTTCAGTAGTTAGACGATTACTCAATGGTTGCATTATTGGCTACTGCATCACCCAGATCGTATTAACGCTCTTTATTTCCTGTTCAAATTTAATGCTATTTAAGTTTTCGTTAGTCCAGATGAAGTGTGACAAAATATTATGTATGTATCAGTTATCAGTAGAATCAATAATAATAATTTTAAGTGTGGGAGAGCCATGCTTCTGCACGAATTGACCGGCTCGGTCGGAGTGATACCACGACTTTACAGAAAACTGACATAAAGCAACGCTTGCCTTGTGTTTCGTCATGTGAGTGAGGTTATCGGAGTCCTGATTACCCTCCCCCCTCCTTCCCTAATCTCTCCAATCCATGAATCAATCCTCAAACTCCTAATCCTCAAAAACTCCTAAATACCGGTACTACACTTCTAACGCCTCTGGCGTTTCAGGTGTCCATGGGCGACGGCGATTGCTTACAATCAGGTGATCCGTCTGCTCGTTTACCGGCTTATCCCATAAAAAAGTAATTATTAATTAAGATCAATTTATAAAATTAGTTGTATGGAATTTTTATCAAAAACTTAGATCGATCCACAGATTTAGCATTGATATTGGTTATTAATTTCGGACGTAAGCGTTAGCTTTAGCCTGTTTTGTTTGATTCTGTTAAGAAAATTCGAAGAATCAAACAGTTTTTGTTTGATTCTAATTCTTTTAGTGCTTCACGGCTGTCGTAGATTGAAATCGTAGAAGGGCATTACCTGGTTAAGTCTATAAAGTGATACATTGTTTCCTTTTTATTGTTTTCTTTAGTAAAAATAATACTTTAATTTTATTATTGGTCTTACACAGCTTTTGTATTTTCCTAAAAATATTGTTTAGCAAAGCTAAAAATTGTTTGTCAGATTTAACTTAGTACTAAGGATACAGGATTCCGCAGGATGTTAGTTTTTACGCGATCGTTCTCTTGGGATGAGAACAATGTCGGTGTTTTTACTTGCCTTTTTGAACTTAGAGACAAGTTTCTTCTATTCTAAGTTTATTTTTTACAAAAAATAAGTAAATACAGTTTTACTCTTGAACCTGACAATGTAAGACACGTTACATATGTATATAGGAAGGTACACATATATCGGTACATATGAAACTTGTATCCTATCGTAAATACCTAGGTAGATAAAAGGTAGGTAGTCTAAACATCGAAATGTTTTGTTGTTATAAGCTAGGTACTAACTAACTGTTTTCAATGCAGTCATAAAATACAGTTATTACCAATATAATTATTTGCAATTGTATTGAATGTCGAATTTGTACAATTAAGTTTCTGAAACTATTAGCTATCCAACATAAGTAATAACAAAATACCTTATCAATAATTGTTGTTTTCTTGTTACTACTTTAAAATTTAAACCCTCTCTTTTAATGGGACATGATTAAAGAAATTTGAATTGTCACTTACACTCAAATATTCAAACGCTATCCGATTTTAAATCGGGCTTAACGCTTAAGTATAGTTCTGTCACTACAAATTCTTTGTAAAATGACAGAGACGGCACGATTACAACTTTCAATTGAGAAGCCTATCAGTATTCCGGCGTTAGTCACTAATATTACTATGTCTTTAAAATGCAACGAAAACCTCTTTAAGTAAACTTATGTTTACCAGTCGACCTTGAAAAATGTCTGGGTCTAAAGTTTTTTACAATAAGTACAATATTTCATTTGTATATTATATTACTCATTATTTCCAATTAACTATAATGACGTAAAAATATTGGTAGGTAATTGTAAAATAATTATGCCGAATATATATTTTAATTTACCTAATTTAAATTTACTGATGGAAATTAGTGTAGGTAGTTGTGAAGATTTTGAGATTCCATAGTCAATTACCTTAAGTACGTTATTAAATAATAGGGGTACAATATATAAAATTATGCAAAATAACTTAAATTCCGGAATTTAATGCTTATGTATACCTATAAAGTTTGTAACCTGTCTGACACTTGACATTGAAGATTTCGTATCAATCAGATAAGCTATTTTTAGAAACAATCAAACAATATTACTGTTTACATAGCTACGATAATGTTATAAATGGGCCTATCATTGTGATACAAGCATACAGGCCGTTTTCTGCTATAATTTGTTAAGGCATAATTTACGCTACCAGAGTACCTACATGTTACAAGATGCGGAAACCTTTAATATGGGTAACCTCTGTACCCACTGTGAACGTTCTAACAGCCATTTATGATCAGTAATTGGATAACTTTGTTTTACAGCTAGTAAGTAAAATAGAAAATACTTATTTGTAAAAATCTATATCCAGTTAATTGTACTATTTACTTAATACTAAAATAAACTCTTAAAAAATATTTATTGAAATTCATCGAAATCGTGATTCAATTTAGAGCCGTTTTTATATATAGAACTTCGTATGGTAAAAGGATTTAGTATAGGTACATAGGTACATACTATAAAGTACAATTTCGAGGAAATAATTGTATTGTAAGATATAATAAAATCTTTATCAAAACCCAACCTCATGCTTGGAAAAAAAACCGTGAATCATCATTGATTCAGATAAATTAAATTTTTTACCACTTAGGTAAGTAGGTACCTATTTACCTATAGTGTAATGAAATAATCATAAAAATAGATATACGATATTTGACATTCAAATGTAAGCGAGTGTTATAGTTAATTATGTTCTAATCTAAGTAAACCAAGGTAAAACTTTCTCAATTATAATTTAATAGGCAGGTAACTATTAATTTATAAATATTGCACATATAAAACTTTGTCGATCTTTATTTACTGACTGTTTATTTAACAGTAAATTGTTTTTTCTTATTCATATAATACTAATCTAATAATTAATATTTAATTTATTGCCATGTGTTACTTTATTTTACTGTAGATATTATTTAATATCTTTACAGTATAAACAAACAACATGATTTGTTGTTGTTTGCCGTAGAAGACAAGACACCGCAAAAAATAATTAATTTTTAATTTAATTAATAAATTACAAGTGTTACAGTTACTTAGGCACGTACTATACACCAAATAAACTAAACGTTAAATGTAATTTGTACGTGTAAAGTTGCGAAGCTAGTTAATCAGGTCCTTATAGTATCACTGTTTTATTTGCGATTTACATAATATTTTGATATCGTCACATTGATTACAACCGTCCTTTAGAGAGTTTAGGCAATTTATTTATCTTCAATCACTTGATATATGTACCTACGTATACGCTGATCTATGGTAAATATATGGATATTACGTAGCTATATTTTATTATAATGCATTTATCCATAATGTTTGAGGACTAACTATTTCATACCAAAATATAAATAAAAATAAACAAGAATTTTTGCCCACAAAACCAGATCTCATCAGAAGTCCATATTTTTTATTTTGTAAATAAAAAATGTTACTTTTGGCACTACTATATATTAAACAACAATCGTTAAGATCTTATATTCATTGATAACTATCTGATATAAACGTTCAAATAAAAATAATTGCTAATATATTGAAATAAGCTTGACATGTGACTGTTATTTAACGTGTTGGTTCTGAATCAACTCTATAATAAGTAGCTATGTATATCACAGTGTAGTTACAAACAATCTGGTATGCTATTGATATTCAATAGATATGGTGGGAGCACTTTGTATGTATTTATTTATAAAGTTAGGTTATAATGTAAGACCTACAAACTATAAGCAACAGCGTACCTACGTTATTACAGAACAGAATGCATGGAGGATGGGGAGATGTGTAATTGATAGAAGTCAATTGAATAATGGCAAGCCAGAGGATGTATCATTCGCAGAGGTACTCACGTAGGAGGACGAACTAGATGAAACAATTCTGTGGGCGATGTTGGTACCCGTCTTATAACCATTTTGCGGCCATCCGTGCATCCCATGCCAATAGAGGCCAGGGACCGGACGGACGGAGCATAGTTGTTGGTGCCACTGTCAGATCCTTCAGGATAAGTGGCTACTTGTTCGTAAGGCCGCAGACACCGCGCGGATGCTGCACCCGAAGCTGTTGTTACATCACGAATTCTGTGTGTATCACTGAAGCTCTTCACTTTGCGCATTTGCCCAGAGGGCGTTATCATCGGCGCTGGAGCGTGTAGGTCGAGGAGTTTTGAGTTCTCCATGTCTTGGTTATCATATTGCTCCACGTGGATCGCCACGCTGGGCGCGGCGGCTTCCGACGAATTTTCGATTTTACTCATACTATCACGTCACAGGGTCATGACGCGGTGACTACCGTCGCGTGCGTCGCTGGCGACGCGCGACTGTGAATAATGACCGATCGCGAGAGCGAGCGAGGTCGGCTGAGCTGGCGGACCGACTGCTCTGACTGGTTCGTCAATCGCGGCAAGGCAATTGGTAAACAAAGTGCGACACTAGCATCATGTGGTGGGAGTATATCACAAAGAGGGGGGAGACCTGCGCATGCGCCGTGGCGGCCATGAGACATTGCGCTGCGCTTGCGTTTATGTCAGGGCTAGGCCTTAAAACTTAGTTTATTTATAATTATAGCAAAAGTGTTAATACTATAAGTTTTAATTAAATTATATTTAACCCAAAGTATTAAGTTCAAAGTACTAGGTGTTATTGCCAAAAATTTGGTTTCTGTTATAAAAAGACGATTAGGTTCCAATCCAATAAAATATTGGACTTTAGATTGACTCTAGATAAATTGATAATAACAAAACTAACTTATTTGAATTCGAAACGTTTTTGTAAGGCTACGAATGCTAGGGACAAATAGGGTTATTACATTGGACATTACGGTAGATTAAACATGACGTGACATGATCCGTCATAAAGAAATTCACAAAAGTACCAGGTACCGATATAAATCTTAAATTTATAATACATAGTTGCAATGGACCAAACACATCACTTAAATAAATGACGGTTTCCGACCAATTTTGACCCATATAAGGTCAAACTTGGTCGCTTTTCATCGTTGCTCAGCAAGCTAGGTCCGAAGATGAAGTATGAATGTCCTGAACTTCCGTTGACCGATAACTTCCATAGAATCGTGGGTCTATTTAATACAAGCGACAGATTGCCGTTGGGTTCGTTGCTTGCAAATTGTCAAAATATGCATTATACAAATAAATACTGGAATGTTTATTAGATTTGGCAAATAAGGTTTGTAATATGAATTTAATAACCATCAAAAAAATCAGAAATATATACCCTAAACGCAATCTTTGACGCACCAAAAGTATGCGCAACAAATATTTCCGCGTGCAAAACTAAAATGTTTGGCCCCATTCCTCCAGATAGATTGTCTCTACAAGGTTTAGTTCTCTACACGGTGGATTTCCGCCTATCCCTTTGTTTGACAAATATGTTGAAAATGATCTGTCTTATAACCCCATACGATATTATGGTATAATAGCAAATCACCCTTTATAATTAAACGAGATCCCAGAGACGGATTAAACCCAAATAGCACCTTTAAGGACCCCTCATTTTTTTGGGGCCACCGGCCGCCACTCTCCCCTCTTTAACATGTGCCCTAGGCCAATGCCTAATTTGCCTTAGGGATAATACTGATCTGCAAGTGTGCGTGTGTAGTTATTGTGAACTGTAAAAGCATGTAAAAAATTGAGAGTACAGATAAATAAATTGAGGGCTTCAACATTTATAATCGAGTGAAATTTGTAGTTTACAGTTCAAAGCGTATTAGAATTACTTATTTACTACTTGATAGGAGCAATAGGTATGACCCATTCAATAATGCAGGTATCCCAGATTTTTGTGAATAAATGAAATGGACTGATGAAGTATTTTATTAAACGACTTCAAAAAAAGAAGTTCAAGTTCTCTGTTTGACCTGTATGTATGTATGTATGTATGTACATACATATATACAATATAAAAAAATAATTGCGCATAATATAAAAGCTTTTATATTTTCTATCGGATTTTGGCGAGAAATGTCTTTGTAGTACCTATAGGAAAATGCGCTACTGCGAATAAAAAGAAATAGTTACAGAATGGGCACTATCACAATTGGTCGTAAAAGCAAAACAAAAAGGAATGAACAAGGCCTATACTTATAGGAAACGGTCGATGATGGAGGCCAGAAAGTTATAGTAAATTTTCCAGACTTACCAAATAGGTTCGTATTTTTTCTTCTCCATGGCTTGGAAAGTTTTGGACATAATTATTAGCACTTGTTATGCAACCAGATACAGATTTATTTTCAGCCCACCGATCAACGACCACGGTAAACGCTAAATGATGTCGCATCTCAAATAGTAGACCATGCCCCCTCTACGACGCTAATTTATATTTCATGCCTTACTGATTAACACTTTAATCTCTTTACACGTTAATTGCCACTAATTCATATCAACTAAGTAAACGTTTTCCGCAGCTTTTTACTATTAGTTTATACCTAGCACCTAATTATGTGTGACAACTTTATTATCCCCAAATATTATTTAACTCTCAGTGTCAGATGTTCTGTAAACTCAATTAGGTATATAGGCGTGACGTAGTATTTTTGTTGTTATATTCAAGGAAGGAATAATTTCTTACAAACACTTAGCTTGAGCTAACTGTTTAGCGCTGTAGTCTTTGAAAGAGTGAAGAGTAATACATATATACATCCACACAGACGTCCTCACAAACTTTCCATACATATAATATAACTAGCTGTTGCCCGCGACTTCGTCCGCGTAGATTAATGACTTCTGACAGAATTAACCAGAATCAATTCAGTGCCCAAGTAAGATTTACCTATTTTGAAATGATTTATCGTAATTTCAATAAATAAATAATCCCGCAGGGATCTTACCAGTACAGTGCCCGATCACGTAAGGTTTGAGTAATAAAAACTATTCTATCGACTATTGTTGTACCGAATCTCTCTATAATAAGTTCAGTGGTTAAGGGTTAGAGAGTCCTGGGGCATTGACGCATAGTTCCCGTTCTCGTGAGACATCTGTGAAAAAACTATCATACGTTACCCAGGTCCTAAATCATCGTTTTACCGAATGTAATTCAAAAAGATTCAATGATTCTAAATTCAACGGCTACGAAGATTTATATAAACTCTCATTCCCTATTTTATCCCCTTAGGGGTGGAATTTATCAAAATCCTTTCTAAAGAGATACCTATGTCATAGTAACTTTATGCATGCAAAGTCTCAGCCCGATCAATTTAAAACTGGCAAAGTATCATACAAACTTTCACCCCCTATTTTACCCACTTTGGGGTGAGAATATTCAAAAACCTTTCTAAAAGGACGTTTACGTCATAATATCCATCTGCACGCCGAATTTCAACCCGATCGGTCTAAAACTGGCAAAGCTTCATACAAACGTTCATCCCCTATTTTACCCCCTTAGGGGTGGAAATTATCAAAATCCTTTCTTAGCGTATGCCTATGTGATAACATCTATCTGCATGCCAAATTTCAACCCGATCGATTTAAAACTGACAAAGTCTCATACAAACTTTCATCCCCTATTTTACCCCCTTGGGGGTGGAAATTATCAATATCCTTTCACAGCGGATGCTTACGTCATAACATCTATCTGCATGCCAAATTTCAACCCGATCAGTTAAAAACTGACAAAGTTTCATACAAACTTTCATCCCCTTTTTTACCCCCTTAGGGGTGGAAATTATCAAAATCCTTTCTTAGCGGATGCCTACGTCATAACATCTATCTGTATGCCAAATTTTAGCCCAATCTGTCCAGCGGTTTGGGCTGTGCGTTGATAGATCACTATGTCAGTCAGTCAGTCAGTCAATCACCTTTGAATTTTATATATATAGACTAGCTGTTGCCTGCGACTTCATCCGCGTAGAATATGAATTAGAACATCACTTTTTATAGTTTCCATTTTCCAAAATAAAAGTAGCCTATGTTACTCCTTAGTTCATTAGCTGCCTGCCAATAAAAGTCTTGCAAAATCGTTTCAGCCGTACCAGAGATTAGATAGTACAGACAGACAAAAATTGTAAAAAAAATATTTTGGTATAATAATAATGTATAAAGATAATAATATACAATATACTACAGTAAATACAGTAATAAAGTAAATAGCGGTTGTTTTAATGTTACCCACAGACACTACAATTTAATTTATCTGTATAGATAAATTGGATAATTATACCACTGAGAAAAAAAATTACTTCTTTTTATTGATTCTACCTCTATATTCCAAATTATAGTCCGTAACTTCATTAAAAAACACTTATGTAGGTTCAACTACTCTTGAAGAACAAATAATACCCATGTGAGTGACTGTTCGAATGTGGTTCGAATAATAAAGGGAATCGACATCATAGTGTCAAGCAAGTTTTTAAATTCGGTTCCCTGGGTTGGGAAAAGTACCCATAAGTTTATTTTTATTTCTAACCAGTAGCCCGTTTCGCCTTTTCGCCTGCGACTTCGTCTGCGTGGATTAGTCAAGAAGTTTAGGTTGGTTGATATTTTATTTTAGATACTTATTGTGAAAAATGTTATCATTAGCAAGTGTTAATCGGGATTCGAATCTAAATCACCGGCATGGTTGATGGATAAGCTGAGCAATTCGCTGTTGCGCTCGCTTTAGGTGTTCCAGAAATTATTGTGCCGTGTCTGAGTGTGACGTAGCAGAAAATTCTAGTGTTTAATTTTTTTTAAGGGGGAAAATCATCAAATGACTGCTCACGCCTGAGTGAGGCGGGAGGGAGTGTCAGACTCTTACTGACTAAAAACCACCCTGTTCCTTCTCCTGCACGTGAAGCCCCGGTAACCCGTTAGGTTCTCTGCGACTCCGAATCGGCATCAGCCCTGTTGGGCCTCATCCGTGGTGGCTCTTTGAGGCGCGCGCGGAACGCAACGCGCCGTATGCTCGGGTCTGTTTCTGGTCGGGTGGGGAGCCACCAATGCTCGCCGTCCGTAGGCCCGCGCTTAAGGTGGCCGGATATCGTCACGCGATCCCCGACTCCCAGTGTGTCCTTTGCGATGGCTGGGTTGCGAGGAGGCAGCGCTTCTCTGCCTCACGCGTCCCGCCTCCTCCTTAGCTAGCATAACTGTTTCGCAAAAGGAGGAGACGGCATCCCAGTCCCCCTCGCTCCGTATCATGACCTGCTAGTGCAGGCCCGGACGCGAGAGGTCGCCATCGTCGATCACTTCCCTGAGGGCACGGCGGTGCTCAGCACACGCAGGGCATTCCGCTACAGTTTGTTCCACCGTGTCCTCAGGGCGGTCCTCGCAGTGTTTTCAGGGCGTTTTCTCCCGTCCCATCAGACACCCTCCCGAAACTTCCATGTCCAGTGAGTACCTGTGCCAGGCGGTAGGTGAGGACGCCGTAGCGTCTCTCAAGCCACTCCTCAAAGATTTTAGTGTGTAATAGCGTTTCTTTAATCTTAACTATCCCAGCAAGGATTAATAAAATAATTAGTTTGCTCGTTATCCTCCACTTGGATCATATTGATTTTCGCCACAAGCCACAACCCGATCTTGATAACGCGACATATAACTGGCCGTGCGAAAAACGGTCTTGGCGTAAATCGATCCCCACGTGTTTGAATGTTTGCCCCTGTGATTTATTTATTGTGACTGCGAAAGATAATTTAAGCGAAAATTGTATTCTTTTAAAATTGAAGGGTAAGTCGTTGGGTATCATTGGGATGCGGGGTATGAGGACTGTTTGACCAACTGCTGGACCAGTCAAAACTATTGCAACGATGACGTTATTGCGCAGAAATTTTACTTGAAGTCTGGTCCCGTTGCGTAAATTTGGTGGTTTGAGATTTCTTAGTAAAATTATTGGAGCACCTATTTTTAACTTAAGAGAATGCGGGGGAAGGCCGCTTGGGTTCAAGGAATTGAGGAACTCCTGTGGGTAATGAACTACATCTTCTTGATCCATCACGGTATCAATGGATGTGTAGGTCACAATATCTCCTGGGAGTTCAGGACTCAAAATGATATCATTTATTTCGTCAACGCTACTATTTCTTGCCGCCAATATTGCTCTTTGACACGTCCATTGATGGTCCTTGTTTTCTATTTGGCTGATGTCAGGGTATACCTTAGTTACTAATTCCTCGATGTTACCCACTTTTACTCCTAAATCGCAATCAATTTCAATTTTATTATTAGAATGAGGCATTTTCCCGTCTCCTACAGAAAGTAATTTTGAAGGGAAAGTTATACTACCTCCCCCCAAATGTGCTCTCATATTTGTCGATAATTTTTATTCACAATGAAGTACTCTTAACCAGCTACATATTTATTTGAATAAAGATTAATATTATTATGTTGATACAACTTAAACTAATTATTTCGACCAAATTAGGTACCATAAAACGGTTTTTGTGAGTTAATCTTAAAAGATAGACATACTGTCGCGGACTTTTTTTTAGATCATTAAAAGAGCAGAGAAAATTTTTTTTAGATCTTTAATACATATTTTTTGTGTATCTTGAACCTTTTTCACAGCGCACGCAATAGAAGGCTTCAAAGATGAAATAATTTCTCCCGTTTTTTACACATTTACCACTATATCTTTGCTCCTATTGGTCGTAGCGTGATGTTATATAGCCTATAGCCTTCCTCGATAAATGGACTATCCAACACAAAAAGAATTATTCAATTCGAACTAGTAGTTTCGGAGATTAGCACGTTCAAACAAACAAACAAACTCTTCAGCTTTATAATATTAGTATCTATAGATGGAAGAATAATTTGAATCACTCAAGTTAATGATAAATTAAACTAAAATAGTATTATTAATTATTTATTCTTAAAACTAGATATACTCGATATTTATTTTACATAAAATTATGGTGATTTCGAATATTTATATGAATATCACAAAATTCGAAGAGCGACGAATGCCACATTAGTAAAAGTAAAACGTAAAAATTAATATAAAATAAAGAATAGGGTGGGGCGCGGCGAGCGCGAGGGAGCGCCCGGCGCGCCCCCGGCCGGCGGTCCTCCGGCGGCAGCACAGAGATAAGGAGAGAGGAAGACCGACACCGCCCGGTGCCGGCGGAGGAGCGCGGCCGCGACTAGCGTACTCAGCGCTGGAACAGCGGGTTGGGGAAGTCAGCCGGGTGCGGCAGCGGCGCAGGCGGCGGACGCGCGCGTCGCCACGCCACCAGCCAGCACGCCACAGCCGCGGCCACTGCCACTAGCGCCAGCAGCGCCGTCAGCGCGAGCGCCACCGCCAACCCAGCCGCCGACACGCACACCTCGCCAGCGCCAGCGCCCGCGCCCGCCGCGCCGCCGGCGTCGCGTTGTCGTGCTACCTGCGACGGATCGCGTCGCTGTAGCGTTAGAATTTGGTTCGACTCGACGGTTACTTCCTCGCGGAACTGGCCTGCGGGGGAACCTGATGGTCTACTGTCGATAGCTTCTCGTTTACGTCGTTTGCCAAACGCATCAGCACCGCGACAATTTACCTGTGATAAATATTATTCGATTTAATTAATAAATTTATTAACTGGACAATAAATGTTTATTGACAAAAGTGAAATTACATATTACAAAGTACATAGGTACAATTATACATAAATGTATGGGTTTCTTACCGGTTGACATTTGCCGAAGCAGACTCGTATATTACATTGGAACCGTATGTTATCGCTACTGGGGAACTTGAAAGCGTTAAAAGCGACTCGCAGTACGCTGCCGTCTTCGCTTCGCTCCCATTCGCCAAAGATTGATGGATCCGTTGCACAACCGTCAGCATCTGTCACTGGATATTCATTCTCCACATTGGTAGCTACTTCGCTTGTCTTCGCTATACAGCTTCGTGCAAAACCACCATAAATATCTGTAAAAACATAGTTGTTGTTACCTTTATCTAGTATGCAGAAAACGGAAATATTGACTTCTTCACAAGGCGGCTGAAACTTTGCTTTGTTTATTAATTAAATAATATTGGTATGTATGATTATAAAAGTAGGTTGTGAAGGATAACATATTTTCTTACTTGACGGTTGTACATCAACTTGCAAGACTAGATGTTCTCCAATCTCTGCAGAGCTAACTTGGCTGCCAGAGCGAGATACGATTCTCATTGAGCACGTAGGCGGCGGTCCTGTATTAGCAATAGTGCCAGCAGTTGTCAGCATTGATACATTGAATGCAAGCGTCACATTCTGTTCGCCCGTCTGGTATATACACTTGATGTGGAATGCCTTGGCATTTGAAGTCACAAGTTTCGGATGTTTTTGCATGACAAGAACGAAGCTAGCAAGGCCCTGTCAAACACAAATGAATATGTTAGAGTTTTGTAAAAGTTTTGGTGGGTGTAAAAATTTTCATTTAGGTAATATAGGTAAAACTTACATTCACATGCACTAAGCCACATTCTCCGAAGTGCACGGTGAAGTCGACAATATTTTCCTCATCTTTAGGAGTATCTACAACTAGTCGGCAGCGTTCGTCCTTGCTATAGCTCTTAACATACAACACACCGTTAAAGTCCTTGATCTTCAGACTAACCCGGACGCCGTCGGCGAGACAGTGAACCTGACACAAAGAGTTAGAGAAATCTTTATTCAAATACTGTTCATGAATACATACATAAGAGAAAGTTTTTGTTTTTGAATCTTACCTGCATATCAGGTAGAGGGAAATCAGTACGGTAAACTGGTGGGTTCGTGGTATTGCAGTGTACGCGTGGGTTGCCGGTGTAGCCCGCAATACAGGTACAGTGTGAGCGATGACCAATCGCATCACAAGTGGCTGAGATACCACAAGGCTCGGCCATACATGCGTCCACACAAGCACCGTTAATGCAGCGCTCGCGGTCATCACACTGTGCGTCAGCGCGGCAGCCACGCGGTTCGCATCTGTCGCCGCGCGGCACGAATCCGCGGGTCGCATCGCACACGCAGCGACCGCGTGCGTCTAGCACGCGGCCATCACTAGCGTGGCACGGTATACATTCACCAGTAGAGTCAATTCCTTGTCCTTCAATACATTCTGGAATCGGTCCTAGATAATGGAAAATTTATATTATTCCTTGTAATAAAATAGGTATTAGCAGAGGTCGCATACAAGTTACACCACCAACTACATTTATATATTTTCATATAGGAATGGATTAATATCAAAATAATCTATATTTTGTATAGTTTGGGGTAAGTTGGTGCAACTCAGCCTAAGAATTTGTGTGGTAGATGTTATAATTATTTATGGTACAGGTTAAGTCGATCTCCACATAACATCTTTTACTTGTTTTTTGTATCTACAAATGGTTTATTTCTGCATTACCTAAAGATTTTTATGGTAGAGACTCAGGGAAATCAGTGTCATATGTGTTGATAAATAATTAAAATACTTACGTCTATTAGAAGTGCACTCAACCAGAGCATTTCCTTTGTATCCTGGAACGCATTCACATATCATAGTTCTAACTGGGAGGGTGTCCACAACCTTACACTCGGCGTTGATACCGCAAGGTTTTATTTCCAGACAAGGATTCATACATTTTGCGTTCAGGCAAGCAGTTCCAGGAGGACAGTCAATATCGGTGATGCATTGTGGCTGTTTAGTGCTTACACATCCATCTTCAGTGCTTTGGTAGCCAGGTGGACAAACACAGTGTAACTCGTGAAGATGTACTCTACATTCAGCAGGGTCGTTACAAGAGGTTGCATTACAAGGGTTTACACATTTGGTGTTGATACATGATTTATCTAATGGGCAGTCAGAGTCAGATCGGCAGCCAATAGGTGTGCATGCGATCGATGGGTTTCCTATAGTACCAATCTTGCACCTGCAGGAGGCGCGATGTTCAATGCCATAGCATTCAGCTGATTGTCCACATATATCGGAATCCACGGAACAGGCTGGGATACAACGGCTATTGAAACAAGTTTCATCATCTGCACATTGTGAATCAGATTGACAAAGAACCTTATAGCATCCAGTGCGAGCATCCCCGACGAAGCCGGGTTGGCATGCACAGACCGGTTTGTGGTCTTTTATTTGACAATCTGTATTAGGTCCACATTCGCAAGGATTTTTACACACCGATGTTACGCAGGCATGGTTAGCTGTGCAGTTATCGTCAGCGGTGCAAATGACATCAGCGATAGATGTTACTGGTCGACAGATACCTCCGCCGCTGCTCACATACCCAGGTGGACAAGTACACAACATAGTGCGCACTGGTAGTGTTGGTGATACTTCACATTGTGCTGGAGTGGCACAGGGTCGTAATTCTGTGCAGGGGTTGACACACCTTGATGATAAACAAGCCATTCTGGACGGACAATCAGCATCCACGTAACACTCTGCGGTAATTTGTGGTCTACATTCGATATAAGGGCTTCCTGTGTAACCTTGTTCACATTTACATACAGCGATATGGTTTCTGACCAAGCATGTAGCTGCTGTACCGCATATATTCTCGCTAAGGCACGGATTCACACATCTATGAGCCCGACATTGTTTGTCTTGAGGGCAGTCGCCATTACTTCTGCATTCGATTGCGTGGCAACCCGAATAAACGTCACCATCGAATCCGGGTCGGCATTTGCACAATGGTACATTCCTTTCTACGTAGCATTCTGAATTCGGTCCACAGGTGCTATTCAAGAGGCAAGGACTAATACAGTTACCATTGATACAAGCTTCGTGAGATTGACATTCCGAGTTACTACGGCATCCCACAATGTGGCACCGCCGGTATGGGTCGCCTTCGAATCCTTCGCGACACGAACATATAGGTCTATGGTTCCGAATGAAGCACTCTGCGTTGTCCCCACAATTGCAAGGGTTGCGGCAAATTCTATTGACACAAGATTCGTGGTCGCCACAGTCCTGATCCGATGAACAGCTTAGTGCAGGTAGTTGTGCAGGTTTACAGTTTCCTCCTTCTTCGGGAATATATCCGTCTGGACAGCGGCATATAAGAGTTCGGAACGGTACACTGTCAGAAACAGTACAACGGGCGTTGCCAGTACATGGTTTCAGTTCATTACAAGCTTCGCGACATTCATCTCGGAGGCAAGCATAGCCACTAGGACATTCACCATCTGCGCGGCATTCAGGTTCCCCGATAACGTCGACTTTCAGGCAGTGGACCAAAGGATCTCCTAGAGGTAGTGCAGATGGACATTTGCAAGACGCAGCGTGGTTTCGTGCGAAGCATTCAGCGTTATTGGCACAAGGGTTTCCACCGTAGTTCGAGCAAGCGTTGCGACATGTTCCCTTTACGCAAACGCTATCGTCATTACAATCATTATCAATCTCACATTCAGCAGCTTGACATCTAGTGTAGGGATTTCCAAACGTTCCAGCTGGGCAACGGCAGTTAGGCCTGTGTGCCTTACCGAAGCATTCTGCGCTAATAGCACATGGAGCTTCAACTACGCAAGGATTGACGCAAGCGCCGTTGTAACATGTATCACTATCAGGACACTCGGAATCAGAAGTACAACCAACTGTGGAGAGAAAAGCTTTATTTAATATTATTCAACAACTTAAATGAAACGGAAATAGATACGATAACATTTTATAAAACTTACCTTTACTGCAACCGATGTACGGGTTGCCTGAGTATCCACGCTCGCAGTAGCAGACAGGATGGTGCCGCACTACAGTGCACTCTGCGTTAGATCCGCAGGCGCACGGGTTTGCGCACGCTCCATTTACACAGGCTTGAGACAACGGGCATTCGTGATTTGCTTTACAGCCCACGGGGATAATCGATTTGTCAGAAGCTGAAAAATTTAATTAGTAGATATTTAGAATCTTCCGTTTTATTATTATAATACATAATCATATAATTATACTATAATATACATATATATTATATATATATATATTCATTTTAATTATAAGTAGGCAAATTTTTATTCCATCAAAAGTGGTTTTACATAAAAAAGCGTACGTATAATTTACGTATTAATTTAACCAAATTTTAAACTTACGTGGTGTGCATCGAATGTAGGCATCGCCCGAATATCCTTTCGGACAAGAGCATTGAGGTTTATGATCTATAACTCTACATAGAGCACCGAGGCCGCAAGCGTCATTACAAGGGTTTACACAAGCACGGTCGATACATGCCCGTTCCGAACCACATTCTTCATCGTTGTAACATTCAAAAATGGCCGGTTGTCGGGGTACTGTTGGAATAAATAGATAGATCATTAGATTTGGTAAAATTGATATTAGGGTGTTTTATTATTAATCAGATTATTAAAATTTTAAAGTACTTACTTGTGTTACATTCGATTCTTGCATTTCCTGTGTAACCCGGTGCACAAGTACAACGAGATATGTGGTCGATGGATTCGCAAAGAGCATTTTGTCCGCAAGGATCTGCCCTACAAGATTCGACACAGCTGCCACGCCGGCAAGTTTGACTGTTAGCACATTCAGAATCAACTGAGCATTCCGGTTCCGGTGGAGCTCGACAGCCATTGTCTGGTGCCACACGACCACCATCAGGACAAATACAAGCCACGGCGCGTAGCGGAAGCACGTCGACAATCTTACAAATTAGTCCGGTTTCGCAGGGATTTCCGAGACAGAGGTCTACGCAGCGGGTGTTTACACAGGCAAACGGTGCTGAACAATCAGAGTCTGTGGTGCACTCGGTGTCATCGTGCAGTGTGCTACAGCCACTGGCATACGGGTCGCCGCTGCGACCGGCGGGGCACGTACACACGGCGCGGTGGTTGCGTGCGGTGCAAAGGGCATCTGGGGCACAGGATTGTTCAGAACATGCCGGCTGGCATACGCGATTGAGTCGGTTGCAGATCTGTGTATCGTCGCAATCTTCATTGTAAAGACAGATAGCAGATACACAGGCACGTCTTGGGTCGCCCTGGGTGCCAGGTGGGCATCGACAGCTGGCAATGTGTGCTACCGCCACGCAGTTTGCGTCTCTTCCACATGGTGTACCGAGAGTGCATGGGTCTTGACAGTATCCATTGACACAAGTTTTGTCAAACGGACAGTTTTCATCTGAAGTACATTCGGCTGTAAAAATAATTCAATTTTGTCGAAAAATAAAAACATCCTATGTACGAGATAATAGTAGTATGAGATGACTAAACAAAATTAGGCTTACGGGTATAGCAGAGGCGGGCAGGGTCGCCGGCAGTGCCGGGAGGACAGTGGCAACGAGCACGATGCTGTGCGGCGTCGCACGAGGCGCTGGTGCCGCAAGCTCCCGCACACGCAGACACGCATCGTTGTCCGACACATGCTTCAGCGCTACCGCAATCTGAGTCTGATGTACATTGTACTCCAGGAACACCTAAACAAAAATAATAACAGGTAAGTAAATGTTGCTTCAAAGACTTAATTCAAATGTCACTAAGTTTATTTGTTCCGTACTAACCGAGTGTGCATGCGACTTCTGGGTTTCCTTGCAGAGGTGGTACACAGGCACAAGAAGCACGATGTTGATGGGCCCTACATTCAGCACCTGAACCACAGGTTATATCTGCGCATGCGCTAACGCACAAGCGATTATTGCAGCGCTCCTCAGAACTGCATTCGCTGTCTGCATTACATTCACCCCCTGGAAATAATTCTTAAATTAACCTTTTTTATATATTGTCTTGATGCGATTTATAAAATTCCTTCGTCCGCCGGTGGCCCGTGTTGCTCTATGGACATGTACGAGCATTTACAAATAAATCTAAATAAGATCTACAATATCAACTGTGTGCGTAGCTTTAAAAGATCGGTACCAATAATTTTATCGACATAAGTGCATTACTAAGTGTATAAGAAGTCATAATGCTGTATATATTTACATGCACAGGTGTAATGTACACAGTGATTTGACACAGATAGTGCAATTGTTGAATATTACACTCATCATTTGTACCACACCTACCGTTGCGACAGTAAATTCTTCACACAACTATATGTATAATTAAATATCTTCCTGGGACATCTGCAAATAAGCTTTCACACTGATAATATAAAGTATGAATTAGTTTTATGTTTTTAGCTAAGTATTGGTGTACTAGTTTATACTACTTACTTGTGTTGCATTGAACTGAGGCATCACCAATAAGAGGCTTTGGACATTCACAAACGAGCGTACGGAACGGCAATGTATTTGCAACCCTACATTCTGCTCGAACGCCACAAGATGTCGGTTCGCATGGGTTCCTGCATACACCTTGTAAGCATGCAAGGTTCGGTCCACATTCACCATCGATGACGCATTGACCTTCGTCTACAACTGAAAAAAATAAACGTTTGTTAGAAACTTATAATGCACGGATACAGTTTAACTACGCCTATAATAGATTAAAATGACATCTATTATGAAGCAAGCAATAACTGCTACGTACCTTGTCGGCATTCAATCTTAGGGTTGCCTTGAGTGCCTCTCGGGCACTCACACGTTGGGACATGTCGAACCACCGAGCAGATTGCACCTTGAGCGCATGCTCCGAGACATGGATCCTTACAAGTGCCGCGAGAGCAAGCTAACCACGCGGAACAATCATCATCTACAACACATTCGGCTCTACGACATCCAGTCCATGGGTTGCCTTGGGCGCCAGTATTACATTCACATGAAGCAGTGTGGCCGCGAGCAACACAATGCGCCTCTGTTCCGCAACGAATACGTAGGCAGACCTTCACACAAGAACCACTTTCGCAGCTCTCATCGTCCGGACAATCATTGTTGCTGTGGCATTGTACTAAAACAAAGTAAAATATGATATTTATCTTTACTTGATGTAAATATCTAACCGCTCTAACATAGCCGGCATCCAGTCAAATGTTTTATATTTTTGAGCACTTTTTGATGCATCAAAAAGTACTCAATTTTTAAAGTCTATAAAAAAGTTTAACTCAAACGCAAATTACTATAGGTATGCGTGGTACGATAACGACACACGGTTGTTGGTATGAAAGTCATGTATTGTAATATCTTTGTTATTTCTTTCTCTTAAATTCTTTGTTATACGATTGTGGCATGCAAGGTACTACTACTTTGTGACTCGTGGAAAACTAAATATTTATAAACTTTAAAAAAATACCTGAATAACATCCTGTGTATCCGTCGCCGTCATATCCCGGTAAGCACGTGCATAAAGCTCTATGTTGTTTTGCAATGCACCGAGCATTCAGTCCGCAGTTGTTAGGACCGCACACGGGTGAGCAGCGCGAGTCAACACACGCGGCGTTGTCAGCGCATTGTTCATCGGACTCGCATTCAGGTGCTGGCGGCTGTGATGCGATGAGGCTGCATCGTACCAGCGGTGAGCCTGTATACCCGGGTGGACATGAACAAACCGGGGAGTGTCGCACGCCTGTACAAATCGCGTTGAGACCACATGCATTAATACATGGGTCAGTACACTTTCTGTTGATACAAGCGCGGTCACCAGAGCAGTCATCATTGACGGTACATTCGTAATATGTGCATATTCCATTGCGGCAGGTAGCGTGCGGGCCACAAGGGTTGGGATCACAGGGATCATGGGCCTTTGTTGGTGTATCTAAAATATTAACAAACAATTACATATTAGACAGTAATAAATAAGAATATATTAAAAAAAAGTAAACAAGTTTTAAAAAGTTGCAAAATGTAATGATTTATTTCCCTAAATCGTGTCATATGACAAAAATTGTCAGCATAATACTAACCTATGCAAGCAACAAACGGATCGCCTGTAGTGGACGGTGGACACCAACAGATAGGTGCATGGTTGAAGACGCGGCACATGGCAGCGTTGCCACATGTTCCTGGGCATGGGTCTATGCACTTATTGCGCACGCAGGCGCGATCGCGGGGACACTCGGAGCTGACCACGCACTCGGGCCTGCATCCTGTGGTGGCTGCGTCACCGGTTGTGCCACTGGGGCACGTGCACATGGCACTGTTACCGACCACTGAGCACAACGCGCCGGGGCCACAGGGAGATGGTGTACACGGTGGTTCTGTTAAGCGTTTCATGTTTTATAAATATGATGTATAAAAAGGCAATTCGTTGAGTAAATGATGAAACTACATAATATAGTTTGCAGTTACTTACGGGTCATTTCTGTATAGCATCTTTCAAATGCGTTTCCTTTAGTTCCAAGTGGGCATGAACATAAAGGTATATGATTGACGGTTTCACAATCGGCTCCTACTCCACAAGTGCCCTGGCAAGGGTCACGGCAGTGAGATCGTATGCATGCTTTAGAAGGTGAGCAATCAGAGTCTGCGAGACATTCGGGTCGGCATCCAGTATACGGATCTCCACGTAATCCAGGCTCACATTCACAAGACGCGCTTATTCCTTTTACTCGGCACAAGGCACCAGGTCCACAGGGTGATGGCACACAGGGATCGTTTGGTTGTTTAGCTGTAATACGGAACAAGATAATTTTAATTTCTGCCTTAAATTTGTATATTGAAGCAAATAATGGAAAGCTCATTATTAAGCTAAAACCTTTTGTCACATAAAGAGGAAAACGGCGCACTTGGTTTCACTAGTAAAACCCATGCCTAAGCTTTAAAAGCGAAGACGCAAGATTGCCGAATCCTATCTCCCTATTTAATTTGATTGACATGTGTATTTAATTGATGCATAATAATTTAAAGCAATCTTCCGTTTGATCTAATCTGTCTTACGAATATTTTCGATGGGTCGACACGCTGTAAGAGGATTGCCGGTGGTGGAGGATGGACAAGTGCAGCGTGGCTCGTGAGCTACTGGCACACACTCAGCACCGTAGCCGCACGCTCCGGGACAGGGATCTATGCAACGTCTGTTAATGCAAGTTAGATGCCATTCGCAGTCATTAGATTCCAGACATTCGTAACGACAGAACGGAGGTGCCCCGAAGAAACCTGTACGGCAACGACAGCGGCTATCTACGCAGTCAGCATTTGGCCCACAATCGGGACATGGTGAATTCTTTTTAGGTTCAGACTCGAGTGCTGTAAAAATGAATACGTGCGTGAAATAACAAAATCATGTTAGGACACAGAGGTATATCAGAAACGATATTTGAAATCACATACCTGGTACACAACGAATAAACGGATCACCGACGTAACCAGGAGGACACGTGCAAATTGGAGAATGCATAGTTGTTCGGCAAAGAGCGTGAGCACCACATGCGCCAGGGCAAGGGTCACGGCACTTGCCAGCGCGACACGCAAGTGTGCTAGGACAGTCCGCCGAGCTGTGGCACTCAGGTCGGCAGCTGGGCGGCTCGTCCTGCATGGGCGGTCGGCACGAACAGTGAGCCACTGTACCTTGTGCACGACATACGCTGTTCGGGCCGCAAGGATTCGGTGAACATGGTTCTGTTTCCACCGGCGCTGCATATACAATTTACACATTAGATTAAGAGAAAACAAATAAACATAATTAACCTTAATCACGACATATCTGTTAAGTTGTACCTACATACAATGTTCGAATGAATAAGAATACATTTTTCTAATAACTATCGTGAGATATACTAAATTAACTAAAAATCGCGGGTTACTCATACAGTAGGCTGCGCGACATCGCCGCGACCGCGCACGCTGCTCATGAGAAAGAACCCCTCTGTGGTTCGAAAGTAGTAGAGCTTTTTTCAGTATATTCACGTGAGTAACCCGCGATTTTTAGTTAATAGATTTTTCATTTATCGCATATAAACATACCTATTACACGTCGGCAGGCGATAAAAGCGTCTCCTTGTAGCGGTGCGGGACACTCACATATAGCGATGTGATTGTACACATTACACACTGCATCAAGGCCGCATGCGTTTTTACATGGATCGACACATTTGTAGTTTACACAAGCTTGTCGTTTGTCACAATCACTATCAATAGTACACTCGGGCCGACATTCAATTGCAGGATTTCCATGATATCCCGGAATACAAGAACAAGTTCCATTGCTACAAATTGCATTACTTCCACAGGGATTTCGCGCACAAGGGTCTGTAAATATTGGTGTTTGTGGTTCTGAAATCATAAATGTATTGATTAAAAGATAATATCACACTATATCGTTTATTTCCCGACGGGTTAGAAGAGAGGTGCCTATTAAATCTTAATACAATATGTTGTTTTATCTTAATTCTATGTAATAACAAGTCCGCAAAAAAGGAATAATAATCTTATTAGAATAAAATAAACTTTTGGAAAAGATTTAACTGTTAATTATAAGATGTGTTCCTACGTACCATCAAATTGGTAACATCCGATAAAGGAATTCCCACGATAACCTCTTAAACAGGTGCAAATAGCAAGATGATTCATTGCACGGCACTCGGTATTTGACCCACATGATCCAATGCAAGGGTCAACACATCTCTCCCTGACACATGCTTTGTCATTAGGACAATCCTCGTTGATCGCACATTCTGGTGCACATCGAGGTGGAGCTCCGAAGTAACCCTCCTTGCAACTACAGATAGCCGAACCAGCTGAGTCTCTGCAAGTGGAGAATGGACCGCAAGGGTTGGGTTCGCAAGGAGATTTTATTTGTGGTGGTAGTACTTTTTCTTTCGAGCATCTAATGAAAGCATCTCCTTCGAAACCTGGTAAGCAAGTGCAGTACGGACTGTGGTGTAGGACCCGGCACTGTGCATTTTCTCCACATGCTCCAATGCATGGATCAATACATTTCTGCTTAACACATGCTTTGTTCAAAGGGCATTCTGAACTCATTAAACATTCTGGTCTACAGTTTGGAGGGTTGCCAACATACTCCTTAAGGCAAGTACATATTGCTTTGTTGTTAATAGCATTGCAGGTGCTGTATGGTCCACATGGTGATGGGTTACAAGGGTCCTTTGCTGGTTCTGAAAATTAAAATAATATTTATGGATACTGAGTATTTTCTCAATGAAAAACACGTACTACGTAACGTAACTACGTCTGGTCTATTTTTTCACGAAACGGTAAGTAGAGGTGTAATTACAAATGAATGTTTGGAAATTATAGAGAATAATTATAGTGTATAAAAACAAATTGCTGCACCCATAGAGGATCATATTAATACGATTGTTTTCATTAAACAGATTTATCGAGATGCGTAATAAATTAATTTTCTTACCATCTCTCAGAATGCACCTATCATGTGGGTCACCCACGTATCCAGATGTGCAAGCACAGTTAGGAATATGATTGATCATTTGACATTGAGCATTAATTCCACACAACCCAGGACATGGATCTTGACATCTGTTGTTAATACATGCGAGATTTTCGGGACAATCGGAATTGAGAACACATTCTGGTCTACAACCTTCGTAGGGGTTACCGAAATAGCCCGTAACGCATGTACAACTGCCGGCGTTATTACGTTCTTGACATACGGCGTTTGGTCCACAAGGATTTGGCAGGCATGGTGCGATTGGCTGCGATGGTACATCAGCTGGAACTGGTACTTTGATAAGAGTGCATTGATAGAATGAGTCTCCTTCATATCCTGATTTGCACGCACATTGCGGAGAATGGCTGATGACACGACATTCTGTGTTAAGTCCGCAGGCACCCACACATGGATCGGCGCATTTGTTGTTAATACATGCTCGATCAAAGTTACATTCACTGTTCGTAGTACATTCTGGGCGACAATATGGTGGTTGTCCCATGTATCCAGACTGACAAGAACACGTCGGTGCCTCGTTTACTGCTCGACACACAGAATTAGGACCACACGGCGATGGTTCACAAGGTGTTCTCTTTGACGGTGGTTCATCTAATAAAAAGCATTAAGACAAATAAAGTTACAAGTTACCGTTAAAATAAGTGCAATTGATGGTATTGTCGGTAAGTTTACACATTTGTAAATTATACATTATTTTACTAACAATAATTAATGGATACTTAAAATAAAGTAAATGTACAAACCTCGAACGACACATTGGGTAAATGGATCTCCAGTGTAGCCATTTCTACAGTAACAGATAGGCTTGTGGTTATGGACACGACATTCTGCATTTAATCCGCAAGATCCTTGACAAGGATTAGTACATTTTTGATTGGAACACGCCATAACACTGGTGCAGTCTGAATCGACCAGACATTCTGGCCTGCATGACGGGGGCACACCGATGTAGCCAATAAGACAAGAACATATTGCTTGTTCTTGTACCGCTCGACAGATGCTATATGGACCACATGGCGTTGGATGGCAAGGATCTCTCTCTATGTGTATTACTGAAAAATATATATTTACTTTCAGTTTATAAAATTTCAGAAACAATATACAAATTTTATTGAGCGGTTATTTTACTAGTGTTACCTGTTATTGGCGTGCATGAAAAGAATGCATTTCCACTGGTATTTGATGGACAGCTACACATTGGAATATGATTATACACTTCACATACTGCTCCCTGTCCGCATAGATTTGTGCAAGGGTTGACACATTTGTTATTGACACACGTCGCACTTGAAGGACAGTCAGCATTATTTGTACACTCCGGACGACAACTTAAGTATGGGTTTCCGAAGAAACTAGGCTTGCACGTACATTGTCCATCATTGCAATCAGCATTTGCTCCACAAGGGCTTGGGTTGCATTTATCGTAAACTGCAGGCATGGGTTCTAAAAAAAGTGGTTATTGATTTAATTAGAAATTAGTGTCAGGTAGGTACTTTACATACAAATAATACACATTTTTATTATTAAATTAAGTAATATTAAAACATACCAATTTTTTCTTTAACATGGCAACTTTCGAATGGATTTCCAGTGTAGCCTTCTCTGCAGCTGCAAATAGCAGCATGCTGATAAACTTGACATTCTGTTTGAAGACCACATGAGCCGAGGCATGGGTCGCGACATTTCTGGTTTATGCAGGCTTTAGTGCTTGGACAGTCCGAGTTGATAGTGCATTCTGCTCGACAGTTCGGTGGTGTACCAACATAGTTCTCTAAACAAGAACATGATGATATGCGATTCGTAACTTGGCATTGAGAATTTGGTCCGCACGGTGATGGTACACAAGGGTTCTGATCTTGTAGTGGCACTGATACTTCTTTAACAATAGCACATTTAACAAACGGATCTCCTTCAAATCCTCTTCTACAAGAACATATTGGTGCGTGGTTCACTACTCTACATTCCGCGTCTTGTCCACAAGAACCAATGCACGGGTCTACACACTTCTGTCTGATACAGCTCTTGGTGTTATCACACTCTGAGTTTACTGTACACTCAGGTCGGCAATTAGGTGGAGTTCCGTAGAATTCAGGCATACACGAGCATGTGGCGAGGCCATTATTGTCCTTACATATGGAATTGCTTCCACATGGATTAGGTACACATGGATTTTGTGGTACCGATGCTGTAAGAAAACGAAACGATAAAAATATTGTTTCCTACTATTGCTACATATTTATTACATAAATAATTATTTTATAACGCAACTAGATAAGAGAAGACAAAACACTACAATTGTATTATTATTTTAGAGAGATCTGATGAAACATAAAGGTGCAGCAAATAAACTTACTTGGCTCGTTAATAATTATGTGACAGAAGGTGTATGGATTTCCTGTGTATCCTGGAGCGCAGTTGCACGATGGAACATGATTTATTACTTGACATAATGCCGTAGAGCCGCAAACGCCTGGACAAGGATCTTCGCATTTGTTCCTTAGACATGCTTTATTGTAAGGACAGTCAGTATTAACCACACATTCTGGCCTACAAGATTCGTAGGGATTACCGAAATATCCAAGTTCGCATATGCAGGCTGCAGCACCGTTCCTCGAAACTTTACACTGAGCATTAGCTCCACAAGGTGTAGGATTACAAGGGTCTAACTTTTCTATTGCCAGTGGTATCAAGTAACAAGCTGTAAACGGATCACCAGTATAGCCTTCTTCACAAGAGCACATAGGACTGTGTAAACGTACGTTACATTGCGTGTTAGTCCCACAAGATCCAGGACATGGGTCTTTGCACTTGTGGTTGATACATGCTCTAATTGAAGGACATTCATCATTTGTCGTACACTCACGGCGACAGTGCGGTGGACTACCTTCAAATGTTGGTTCACATGAGCAAACATATGAATCGCCATTAGGAGTTGGATTACAAATGCTATGTGGTCCACATGGTGATGGTACGCACGGATTTGAAGGCTCCTCTTGAATTGGTTGCACTGAAAAAATAATATAGATATGTAATTACAACTAGGTAGGTCACCGTTCAAAATGATTATGTACATATTGTATTTTCGAATAAAAAATAACTAAAGGAATAATAATTTGAAAGTTTAATAATTACCATAACAGTGACTGAATGGGGAACCAGTATATCTTGGAGGGCATGTACATATTGGATTGTGATTATTAACATTACATATGGCGTTATGGCCACAGGATCCTGGACATGGATCTTGACATCTTCTATTAATGCAAGCAAGAGAAGGAGCACAGTCCGTGCTTTGGATACATTCTGGGCGACAATTAGGTGGATTTCCTATAAAACCTTGAATACAAGCACAGGTCGCTTGACCGTTTGCTTCTCTGCATAAACTATTTGGTCCACACGGAGAAGGTTCACATGGTCTACTGGTAGGTTCTGTAAAGTAAAATTATTTTTCATTGATCGATTTTGTTACTACATTCTAAATTCAAGGAATTTTACCTAAAAAATACATACTTTCTATACGGATACACCGTGTGAACGCGTCACCAGTCATACCACTTGGACAGCTACAGATAGCAACGTGATTATAGACATTGCACTCGGCGTTCTGACCGCACATATCGCGGCACGGGTCTACACATTTCGATCTAAAGCATGCCTTATCTAATGGGCAGTCGGTACTGAGAACGCATTCTGGTCGGCAACCGAAATATGGATCTCCTTGATACTCTGGCAAGCATCTACATTCACCATTATTACATACAGCATTGGGTCCGCAAGGTGATGGATGGCATGGATCAATCTTTTGAGGAAGATCTGTAAATATATAATTTATTGGTCAGATTCCACATTAAAGTGATTTTATTAATATTTTTATAACAGAAGAATATCTATAGATATGACACACTTACCCGCTGGTTTAACGTTGCATATTGCGAAGGGATCGCCCTCATATCCACTTGGACATGAACACACCGGTATATGATTAACAACATTGCAAATAGCATTCAGGCCACATGATCCTAGACAAGGGTTCTGGCATTTCATGTTTATACAGGTCTTATCATTGCTACAATCTGTATTTACTACGCATTCTGGTTTGCAGTTAGGGGGACTGCCAAAGAAACCAACAGTACATGAGCATGATGGAACTCCACCAATATCACGACATTCTGCATTCAATCCACAAGGAGAAGGAACGCAAGGGTTGATTGGTTCCATTAGAGAAGGTTGCTTCTCAGGAAGTAAGTAGCAGACCGAAAATGGATCACCAGTGTAACCTTGCTTGCAAGTACATATTGGATTGTGTTTTATCACTCTGCATTCTGTTTGTATACCGCAAGCCTTCTCACAAGGAGACACACATTTGAAGTTTTCACATACTTTGTCCAATGGACATTCCGAACTTATTACACATTCCGGTCGGCAATCTGGTGGAGTTCCTTGGTATCCATTTAGACATGTACAGATAGCAATGCCGTTTTGGGTTTTGCATTGACTGTTTGGACCGCATGGTGAAGGATTGCAAGGGTCTACTGGATCAGCTGCAACAAAAAATACACCTTTTAATATACAGGTCATTTTTTACTTAATAGCAAGCAACTCATGTTATAAATCAATGACGTAGTACTTACATTGGACCTTGAAAGTACATATTCTATATGGATCACCATAATGTTGTTCTGGACATGAACAACTTGGAATATGATTGATCACGTTACATAGCGCGTTTATGCCACACGTGCCTGGACAGGGATCGTGACACTTATTTTGATAACACGCCAAGTTTGATGGACAATCTGAATTTACCAAACATTCGGGCTTGCATGCTTCGTAGGGGTTACCAAAGTATCCAGGTAGACATGTACATGAGCCAGCATTGTTTTGTTCTCGACATTGTGCGTTTGCGCCACATGGCGAAGGCACACATGGAGTTGGTCGATCTTGTTCTGTAGCAGCTACTTCGATGTTACAGAAAAGGAATGGATCACCGGTGTAGCCGTTTTGACATAAGCAAATAGGTGTATGACTAACGACTCTACATTCAGCATTCACACCACACGAGCCTTGACAAGGGTCTTTACATTTCCTATTTATGCAAGCCATATTTAATGCACATTCGGTGTTACTGGTGCATTCTGGTCTACAATTAGGTGGAGCACCGATATACTCGGGTAAACATCTGCAATCAGCATTATTTCCATTTTCTGTGCACTGTGAGTTTGGTCCACATGGTGAAGGAAGGCAGGGGTTAACCTTTTCCGGTGGCTTGGAAGCTGAGGAAAAATAATGAAATTAAACTTGATATGTATCTATTTTAAGACTTGGGAGTCATGCAAATTGTGTGTTAGATGACTTACGGATAATTTGACAAGTAGAAAATGGATCTCCAGAATATCCTGACAAGCAAGTGCACACGGGATTGTGGTTGACCACTATACAATGTGTGTTACGTCCGCATGCACCAGGACAAGGATCTATGCACTTCTGATTAGAACAGGCTCGATTTAGATTACAATCCGAGCTGACTGTACACTCTGGCCGGCAGTTAGGTGGGCTGCCCACATAGCCTTGCACACAAACACACACAGCATGCCCACTCACTTCTCTACATTGACTGTAGGGACCGCATGGGGATGGTTCACATAAGTTGATCGGTGCTGCTGGTTCTAGAAAATAAAAATTATTATTAGGTTATCAACATAAGTACTTACAAATAAATATTGAAGAACACTGAACAAAATAAACTTACCCTTGAGTTCATTACAATAGTGGAATGGGGATCCAGTAGTGCCCACTGGGCATGAACACATAGGAATATGGTTTATAGTTTCACAAATGGCTGCATTTCCACAAGTTCCGATGCACGGATCTTTGCATTTGTTTCTAATACATGCTTTATCTCGTGAGCAGTCTGAGTTTAGTACACATTCTGGCTTACATGCGAAGTAAGGGTCACCGAAGTATTCTGGTAAGCAGGTGCATACACCATCATCACAAACGGCGTTGCTTCCGCACGGTGACGGCGAGCAAGGGTTTACTGGTTCGATTTCTAACAATAACAAAAAAATATTGAAATATTTGAACCACTGCTAAATTAATATCAAATTTGTTAAAAACTTGAATAAAAGATAATGGTTTAAATAAATAATATAATTAGATACCTTGATGCATAATTTCACAGTTAGTGAAGGGGTCACCACTGAAACCAGGCAAACACGAGCAAATCGGCAGATGATTATTGACGTTGCACTGTGCGTTGTTACCGCAGGCTCCAGGACATGGGTCTGAGCATCTATTATTTATACATGCCATGACCGCGTTACATTCCGAGTTGACAGTACACTCCGGTCTGCAGCGAGGTGGAGAGCTAATATAATTCGGCAGGCAAGTGCATCGTGCGTTTCCGTTAAACTCTTGGCACTGGGAATTTGGACCGCACGGGGATGGGATGCACGGATTTACTTGTTGCGGTAGTGTAGGAATCGAAAGTGGCACTGGAAATTAAGAAACAACGTTGTTAGTCGATACTTTCATGTTTAATCGAAATGACGTCAGTCATTATTAGGGAATGAGAAGACACTTACTGGGCACACAATTAGTAAACGGATCTCCGGTAAATCGGTCTTGACAAGAACAGATTGGGTTATGAGCAATTACTTTGCAGTTAGCATTTCTTGCACACTGACCGACGCAGGGATCTAGACATTTGCGGTTTAAGCAAGCTTTATCACTAGGACATTCACTGTTTATTGTACATTCTGGTCGGCAGTTTGGTGGAGTGCCCATAAAATTCGGTTGGCAACTACATATAGCTTGTGCATTTGCTTCTCTGCACTGACTATTAGGTCCACACGGCGATGGAGTGCAAGGTGTTGGCTTAATAACATCTGTAAGAAACGAATAAACAAATATGTAATAAATAATCACGAATTCCACATAATGATATTCACTACGCCATATTATTTGTCACCTACCTCTTATTATTTCAACACAATTAACGTATGCATTTCCAGTAAGTCCTGGCGGACAATAACAGGAAGGCAAGTGGTTTACCACTTGACAAATTCCATTTGGCGCACAAATACCAGGGCAAGGATCTTTACATTTGTTTTGAATACATGCTAACATAGGAGGGCAGTCAGTGTTAATGACGCATTCAGGTCGACACCCTTCGTACGGATTGCCGATGAACGTGTCAACACATCTACATGCTCCGACCCCATTCCTCTCTGTGCATTCTGCATTTAATCCACATGGTGACGGTTCACAAGGTGAGTTATATTCAATTTTGCTATCTGTAACGTTATTAAAAATTATATAGTGTCATTAATGATCTCAAATAACATAGGTATATTTTACATTATATTATAAAGACTTATTTGAATATGCAATTTTTAGTTTAATTACCTTTTACAGGAGCACATGATATTAGAGGGTCTCCCGTTTGGCCGAATGGACAGGAACACACAAGGGCATGGCTGATTACTTTACAGTCTGCGTTATATCCACAGCTGCCTGGACACGGGTCTTTGCACCTTTGGTTAACGCACGCCAAGTTGCTCGGACATTCTGAGTTGCTTATGCATTCTGGTCGACAATTTGGCGGAGCACCAATATATTCAGTTTGGCATGTGCATGATGGTGAATCACCAATAACTTTACATATTGAATAAGGACCACAAGGTGACGGTGTGCATGGATCCACTGGTGGCAGGGGAGTTGCGACTAAAATAAAACAAAAATGTTTATAAAAGTATGTACATACCTATAGTATTAACTTAATTATTATGTTCTCATTATCAAAATACCTAATTGTTATAACATAATTATTAGTAGAACTTGTGATAGACGTACCTATTAAAGTACACTGAGCAAATGGATCTCCCGTATATTGAGGTGGACATGAACATATTGGATTATGATTGACCACTTCACACTTCGCTGCATATCCACAACTACCAATGCAAGGATTTATACATTTGTGATTGTTACAGGCTTCGTTCAGAGGGCATTCAGCACTAATTGTACACTCTGGTCTACAAGATGGAGGAGCTCCTACAAACGCCGGTAGACACGAACAAACTGCTTGGTTGTTTATTGCACGGCACTGGCTGTTGGGGCCACAAGGACTTGGGTTACAAGGCTCGACATTCATAACTGAAAATAAAATATATTTTTATGATTTTTCTCTTTCTTTGATATCAGATATAGGAGGCATGTACCTTACTTAAGCACCTGCGATCTTTAGTTAGGTATCCTATCGAAAATTAAATTAGATATTCAAACTTACCTTCATACGTATGGCATTCCACGAATGCGTTGCCCGTGGTTCCTTCAGGGCATGTACAAATTGGAATATGGTTGTAAACATTACATTGTGCACTTGGAGCGCATGTTCCAGGGCAAGGATTTATACATTTATTTCCTGAGCAAACTTTGTCCAATGAACATTCCATGCTTGTTAAGCATTCAGGTTTGCAGCCGAAGTATGGATCACCTTGATAGTCACTTATGCACGTACAAACGCCGTCTCTGCATTGAGCGTTATACCCACAGGGCGAAGGGTTGCAGGGATCTGGCGTGGTGTCAACTAAAATAAAAAATAATCTATTATATAGTTCACTAATGTGATTTACACACTAGTTAATTACAAAACTTAAACAAGGTATAGTTAATTTTATTTAAATAAGTACCTATTGCTTGAGTAAAGTACTACTAACAACATAACAAAAATCTAGGTATAATATTTAATGTTATATGATAAACATTATTTCAATCACCGTTAAAATGATTAAATATTATTTTAGTTTACCTTCTATAGGATCTAGCATAATACAAGAGGTAAATGGATCTCCTGTAAATCCTTCACTGCAGGTACATGCCGGGACGTGAGTAAATACAGTGCATATTGCATTCCGGCCGCAACTACCCGGACATGGATCGCGACATTTTAGATTAATACATGCTTTGTCTGATGGACAGTCCTGGTTTATAGCACATTCTGGCCTACAGTTAGGAGGAAGCCCCTGGTAATCAGGCAAACATGTGCACGTCGGGGCATCATTGATATTGCGGCAAATTGCATTTTCTCCGCAAGGATTAGGTATGCAGGGATTCCCTATTGGTTCAGGAAGCTGTTGCATAGGTGCTGAAACAAATGATTAAATAGTGAAATTACGAGTGACACAAGACGAGAGACATTTTATAATGATTACAAACAAGTACAAAATCGTTTTGGAGACTCGTTTTCCAAAGAAGAAAAACAAAAGTACAAAATATGTATATTTAGGACATGTAACTTACGTTGTGGGTAACAGCGGGTAAATGGATCTCCAATATAGCCAGAATTACAAGAACATATAGGACTATGATTGATCACTTTACAGATTGTGTTTATTCCACAATGGCCAGGGCATGGGTCGGAACATTTTTGATTGATGCAAGCTTTCTCCTTGGAACATTCTGAACTAACTGTACATTCCGGTCTACAACCAGGAGGAGAGCCAACGTAGTTTGGCATACAAGAACATACACTTTGTCCATTGACAGCACGACATACACTATTTGGTCCGCAAGGATTTGGTACACAAGGAGTAGTTACTTCTGGAACAGGATCTGAAATAAAAATAATACGTGTGTCAACGATTTTCTTTCATCACCATTTTTTCTTATCACATTATTATACATTATATTGATCAATGAAAATTCTTACCTCTTAAGATACCACATCTTATGTATGGATCACCACTGTAGCCTCCTGGACAGCTACATGATGGGAGGTGATTAACAACCGTACATATTGCCATTGGGCCACACGTTCCTGGACATGGATCCTGACATTTATTACGTATACATGATTTACTTGGTATACAATCCGTGTTTACTACACATTCTGGTCTACACCCTTCGTAAGGGTTGCCTATGTAGTCACGTAAACAAGTACAAGAACCGGCTGCATTATGCTCTCTGCACTCAGCGTTAGGTCCGCAAGGTGATGGTTCACAGGGTGAAGTTTTCTCTGGGTAGATATTCTGTTGTAGATAGCAGTTACTGAACGGGTCACCAGTAAACCCATTTTCACAGAAACACATTGGAGAATGACTTATCGTTTTACATTGAGCATTGATACCACATGCGTTTATGCAGGGATCTTTGCATTTTTGATTGATACAGGCTTGGTTAGAAGGACATTCGCTGTTGCTCGTACATTCAGGTCTGCAATATGGCGGTGAACCGAAGTAGTTCGGCATACAAGTGCATGAGGGTGATCCCGAGAGCTCTTTACAAATCGAATTGGGTCCACAAGGTGATGGCACACATGGAGTTATATCTGCAGATGGAGCTCCTGCAATAAAATTATTATCTTAAAATATTCGAAAACAGATATTTTTAACTTTGTTATTATTTTAAATTAAAATACTTACTAAATGGTACACATCTTATAAATGGATCACCGGTGTATTTGGGTGGACAAGTGCAAATAGGATTATGTTTAACGACGTTACATTTTGCTTCCACACCACATGATCCAACACAAGGATCAATACACTTCTGATTACTACATGCTCTGTTGAGTGGGCAATCGGAACTGACTACACATTCCGGCCTACAAAGAGGTGGGCTTCCAAGGTATCCCACTACACATGAACACACTGCCTGCCCATTTATTTCTCTGCATTGACTGTTAGGTCCACAAGGAGATGGAATACATGGGTTCGTCACAATGGGTACTGCAAAAAATAATTAATAAGACGATTATACATTGAAAATCACTTCGCAAAACAAAAGATGAAGAAAATTATTATTATTAAAAAAAATATTGGACAAGCCCGCCATTACCTCCCAAAACCGCTGCAACTCCTGTAAGCCAGGATCTACTACTGTAGATCCATGTATCTACTGATAGTATCTACTGATACAACCATGAAAACACCGAAACACTGAAGTTCGGCGCGTCCCAGGGACATGAATAACTGTCTTGGTTCCCCCAACGAAGTAAATCAGAAGAAGAGAAAGAAAAAAACTATATTTTCCACTTATTAAAAATATGTTGAATTACGAAATTATTTCAGTATATTTTGTGCATTTAAACTCTTTTTAAAAATGCTCTTTGTTTACGTACCCTGAATAGGTTCACAATTGTAAAATGCGTTGCCAGTCATGCCTTGAGGACAACTACACATTGGTACGTGATTAATGACATCACAAATTGCATTAGAAGAACAGGTTCCTGGACAAGGATCAATACATTTGTTCCTGACGCAAGCTCTATCGTGCGAACAATCAGTGCTAAGCACGCATTCAGGTCGGCAACCAATATACGGGTCTCCTTGGTGTTCTTCTATACATGAGCATACACCATCCTTACATATGGCATTTGGACCACACGGAGACGGATTGCATTTATCAATAATTTCAGCCTCTGTAAAGATAACACAATCATATCAAAAAGTGTTCTTTAAAAGTTTACGAATCGTATTCAACACAGTTTTTCATACCCACTTACCTAGTGGCTTAGGAGAGCACACCGTGAAAGCATCGCCAGTGTATCCATCTGGACACGTACAAATAGGAGTATGACGAGACACTGTGCATAAAGCACCTACACCACAAGACCCTAAACACGGGTCCCGACATTTTTGCTGAATGCATGCTTGTAAAGTAGGACATTCTGAATTGATAGTACATTCTGGTCTGCAATTAGGTGGGCTTCCGACGAAATTAGGCATACATGTGCAAGAAGGTACATTACGGATCTCTTGGCATATAGAGTTAGGACCACATGGGGATGGCAGACATGGATTCCTGTATGGCTCCAATACAGAATTTGCTACAGGTGCTAAAAAGAAATAGTACTTATTAATATTTCTATAAAGTCAAATAATATTGTCATAAGCGATTCATTTTTAAGATTCTCAACTTACGTGGTATTGGGTTGCATCTAGTGAATGGATCTCCAGTGTATCGAACTATACATGTGCAAATAGGGCTGTGGTTAATTACTTTACATTCAGCGTTTGTACCACATACATTAGCTTGCAAACACGGGTTTACGCATTTCTGATTTATACAAGCATTCTCTCTAGGACACTCTGCACTTGTGACACATTCAGGGTGACAACCTGGTGGCACTCCTATATAACCTGCTTCACAAGAGCAAACTGCTTGTTTATTTACTTCTTGGCAACGACTGTTCGGTCCACAAGGTGAAGGTCGGCAGACATCAATTGGCGTTTCCAAAATTTCTAAAAAAATTAAAAATATGAATTATTTATTTATTTTATTTAAAAAGCTTTATGCACACAAACAAGCACATAGGTGGACTTAATGCCGCAGGCATTTTCTACCAGTCTGACCCTTGAATTATATTGTATTGATGAAGAATTGAAGACGTTTAAATTAACGGTTAAAATAGAAAGTAATGATAAAGACTTACGTTCTGGGGTGCAATATCTGAACGGGTCCCCTGTAAAGCCTCTTTGACAAGAACATGATGGAGCATGATTGACCACTTGGCACAAAGCATTTGGAGCACAAGCACCAGGACAAGGATCTTGACATTTTGATTGAAGACAAGCTTTGTTTGATGGACAATCTGTGTTAATTATGCACTCAGGTTTGCAACCTTCATATGGATTACCATAATAGTCAGGAAGACAAGTACATGATCCCGCACTATTGTATTCTTTGCAAACGGCATTAGCTCCACAAGGAGAAGGTTGGCACGGAGATGTTATTTCTTGTAAAATTTCAATTCTATGGCATTCTATAAATGGATTACCGGTATATTCAGCCAGGCAAGTACACGAAGGAGAATGGCTTATTACATGGCATTGGGCATTTGTACCACATGTATCAATACAAGGGTCAGTGCATTTTTGATTTATACAAGCAAGATTAAGAGAACATTCGGAATTGCTAATGCATTCTGGTTTGCAATATGGGGGTGATCCCACAAAACCACTCACGCATGAACATGACGGAGCACCTAATGTTTCCTTGCATACTGAATTTGGTCCACATGGTGATGGTTGACAGGGATTTATAGGCTCTGGATTAAATTCTTGAATGATACATCTAACGAAGGGATTTCCAGTGTACGATGGTGGGCATGAGCAAATGGGATTGTGGTTAATCACTTGGCATTTTGCTGCAACGCCACATGCTCCTTGGCATGGATCAACACATTTCATATTACTACACGCTTCATTCGGTAAACAATCTGTGCTGACAGTACATTCTGGTCTACAAGAAGGTGGACTTCCCTTGTATCCACTAAGACACGAACAAATTGCTTGGCTGTTTATTTCCCTACATTGGCTATTAGGTCCACACGGGCTTGGTTGACAAGGATGCGTAGGCATAACTGAAATAAAAAAAAACAATTACAATAATTACCAAACAGGGTCTACTCAATTTGCAAAATAATTATTTACAAGTTATTAAAAAAAAACCATTAAATTACCTTCCACTGGATAACATTGGACAAACGCATTGCCTGCCATACGTTCTGGACATCGGCACATCGGTATGTGGTTAGTAACTTCACATATTGCGTTTGTAGCGCACACACCACTATTGCATGGGTTTACACATTTATTCCGCAGACATGCTTTGTCATGAGGACAGTCAGAACTCAGCACACATTCTGGACGACATTCGTAGTATGGATCTCCTTGATATTCAGGTAAGCACGAGCATTCCCCGTTGTCGCAAACAGCATTTGCTCCACAAGGTGATGGATTACATAAATCAACTTCGTCATTTGGTATTTCTAAAAGTTTAATTGTGTTTTAGTTTAGCTGAAAACTTTGAAATGTATCAATTATGATAATAATTTCTTACAAAACATACCTTGAATTTTACATTCAGTAAAAGCATCGCCAGTGTAACCATCGCGACAGGTACAGATAGGCATGTTGTTCTTCACAGTACATTGAGCGTTTAATCCACAAGAACCTGGACAAGGGTCTTTGCATTTTTGATTGATGCAAGCTAAGTTGCTAGAGCAGTCAGCGTTAATAATGCACTCAGGACGACAACCTGGTGGAGCTCCTATATAATTTGGAAGACAGGTGCAAGATGGTATTCCTCCAATATCTCTACATTCACTGAACGGTCCACAAGGTGATGGCAAGCAAGGGTTTTTAGGCGCCTCTTGGATTTGAGGTATGGTCAATATTTGGTAGCACCTACTGAATGGATCTCCAGTATAGCCATTTTTGCAAGAGCATATAGGACTGTGATTGATGACAAGGCAGTTTGCATTAAAACCACACTGTCCAACACACGGGTCAATGCATTTCAGTCCGACACATGCTGAGTTGGAAGGACATTCTGCACTAACGACACATTCAGGTCTACAGTTTGGTGGAGCACCTCTGTAATTTGGTAAACAAGTACAAACTGCTTGATCATTTACTTCCTTACATGCACTATTGGGACCACATGGTGATGGCGTACAAGGATTTGTTGATGGTTCGATATCTGAAAATAACAAATGTTTTATTTACCTGAAATAATATGGAATGCGAAATATGTCTGAAGTATATAATATTATAATGTATTTCTGCTACTTACTTTGTACAATACTACAGTGATGGAATGGATTGCCAGTGTACCCACTATTGCATGTACATATGGGTGCGTGATTCACAGTTTGGCACTCAGCATTTGTACCACATGTGCCAGGACATGGATCCTGACACTTATTTTGCTGACACACTCGGTTTGAAGGACAATCTGTATTGACCGTACATTCAGGTCGACAGCCTTCATAAGGATTGCCAAAATAACCAGATGCGCAAACACAAGAGCCGGCGTTGTTACGTTCTTTACATATAGCATTGCTTCCGCATGGAGATGGAGTGCAAGGTGTAGGTCGTTCCACTGGAGCCACATCGTGTTGTACGTTACAAAAGACAAATGGATCTCCAATGTACCCTTGCGGACATACACAATTAGGAGTATGACTTACAACACGGCATTCTGCTAAGGAGCCACATGCACCTACGCAAGGATCACCACACTTGTTATTAATGCACGCTAAGTGATTCGCACATTCGCTGTTACTAGTACATTCTGGTCGGCAGTTCGGTGGCGCTCCAATAAACTCTGCCATACAAGTACAGGATGGTGATTCATTAATGGTTTGACAAATTGAATTTGGTCCACAAGGTGAAGGCAAACAAGGGTTTATTTGGGGTGGATTTTCCTGTGCTGTAAATTGAAACGTGCGACATATTAGAACATCAATAACTATAAGCATTACAGAAATGAGTCCCGTAAAATATATAGGTAAGTATTAATATTGACATAAATATTGCAGACGAAAAGGGTTCAGGTACTTAATAGGTATGGTAAACTTTACCTGATCTAATTTCAAAATAAATTAAATTCATTAATGTATTATTCAACATCTAACAGTCAAGAACTTATTATGGATTTATGATTTCATTTTACTTATAATAATATGCTAGTGCCATTATCACTGTTTGATAAAATCTTAATAAAAATACCTACATATGTCTGAAAAAAAGTAAGTGGTTTCAGTGTAATATTAAAATTTACTTACGTTTTGGTACACATCTGGTAAATGGATCACCAGTGAATTCATTTGGACACGAGCAAATAGGGTTGTGGTTTACGACCTCGCAATGTGCTGAGATTCCACATGCTCCAATGCATGGATCAATACACTTATAATTGTTACAAGCCTTATTAAGTGGACATTCTGCGCTAGTAGTGCATTCTGGGCGACATGTTGGAGGGTTTCCAGAGTAGCCGGGTATACAGGAACACACAGCCACTTTATTTATATCTCGACATTGACTGTTTGGACCACATGGACTTGGATTGCATGGGTTGGTCGGTAAAGGTGCTAAAATACCATTTACACGTAAATATTGGTTTCTTATTATTATATCTATTATTATGTTACTAACAAAAAAAAAATGTTTCAATTACCTTGTAATACGTTGCATGAAACAAAAGAATTTCCTGTGTAACCGGCTGGACAACTACACATTGGAATATGGTTGAAAACTTCGCATACAGCATTAGCACCGCATGTATCCGGGCATGGGTTCACACATTTTTTGCGTACACATATCTGATTCTTTTGACAATCTGCGCTGACAGTACATTCAGGACGACAACCCACGTACGGGTCTCCATGATACTCCGGCAAGCATGTACATTCTCCGTCGTGGCACTCTGTATTGGAGCCACATGGCGAAGGATTACACAGGTCGAGTGGACTGGGATCTGTAAATGATAGAAAATAATAGTTAATATTAAAGTGACTGTGTGCTAAAATATTGCTATAGATACTTTAGTTTAGTAATGACTAAAATGTGAATTACAACGTTGAATTAATGTCAAAATATGTAAGCAAATATGATTTATGTGCGGCCTGAAAATACTACAAACTACAAATGTTTTTGACGCCAATAATATAGAATTAGGCACTACTGTGCCTAATTAACTAAATAAAGTTTTTAAGCAAAAGGCAAAAATGCTTTTTGCATCATTTGTGGAAATAAATTTTAGTAGCCTATGCTTTAAAAATCTTCAAGTTTATGGGTAAACATTGTTTATCTTTCTACATACAAGTAAGTTAAGTCAAGCATTGTGTATCACCCACATACTGTTTTAATCTAACTCTCTGTATATTTTCTACCATTACTAGCTGAAAATAAGCCTGTCAGTCAAAAACATTCATTAATGTCATAATTCTCCCGATGGATTTGCATAATTGGATAAACACATAAATATAATTCAGTTTTCAGTTATAAGTACCTTTTAACGGTTCTACTGTACACGCAGTGAATGGGTCGCCTTTGTAACCTTCATGGCACGAGCAGATAGCTAAGTGATTCATCACAGAACAACGCGCATTTTGACCACATGAGCCGAGGCAAGGATCCCTGCACTTCTGGTTGATGCATGCTAATGAACTGATACAGTCTTGATTCGTAACACACTCGGGGCGACAGTTAGGTGGGCTACCGATGTACCCAGGCGAACAAGAGCATGAAGCTTGTCCGCCGAAGTTACGGCAAGTTGAAAAAGCACCGCACGGTGATGGTATACACGGGTCTTTAGCTTCATCTAAAACCGGCTGGGGTGCTGAAAGTAGTACATGAGTTAATATATATGATATTCAGGTGTATTACGAAAAATCTATTAATATTGTTATTAAATTATTTACCTGGCTTTGGATAACATCTAGTGAATGGATCACCTGTTAAACCTGAACCACAGCTACAAATAGGATTATGATTGAACACTCTACATTCAGATCTCTGACCGCAGGGGCCTGGACAAGGGTTCACACATTTTTGGTTGATACATGCTTTGTCTGAAGCACAGTCTGAGTTCATGACACATTCTAATCTGCAAGTGGGTGGTTCTCCGAGATAATTAGGTAAACAGCTGCATGTGGCCTGTCCGTTTATTTCCCGACATTGACTGTTTGGTCCACATGGGTTTGGATAACATACATTTATCGGAATTACATCTTGAGCTAAAACAATTAGAAGTATAATATTTTAGGTGAAGTTTGTTGCAACTATTTAAAAAAACAGACTACTGAAAATTTGATAATTTACCAGGAATAAGGTTGCATCGCCGGAATGCATCGCCTGTATAACCTGTTAAGCAAGTACATGTCGGAGCATGGTGTATCGTAGAACAATCGGCATTGATTCCACAAGTACCAGGACAAGGGTCTTGACATTTATTCCCAATACAAGCTCTGTTTCCTGGACAGTCCGAGTTGCTGACACATTCTGGTCGACATCCTTCGTATGGATTTCCAAAGTATCCTTCATTACAAATACAGGATCCAACCTTATTTTGTTCCCTGCATATAGCATTAGGTCCACAGGGTGATGGAGAACATGGAGTCAATAATTCATTTACGCTTTGCGGTGTACATTGTGAAAATGGATCTCCGAAATAACCTTGTGGACACACGCACATAGCTGAGTGGCTAACTACTCGGCACTCAGCATTTGCTCCACACGCCTGAATGCATGGATCTCGGCACTTTTGATTGACACATGCTAAATGGGGAGAACATTCGCTATTACTTATACATTCCGGTTTACAGTACGGTGGTTGACCTTTATATTCAGGCAAGCAAGTACACGACGGACTTCCATTAATTTCTTTACATATCGAGTTTGGTCCACATGGTGAAGGCTGACACGGGTTGATTTCTAAAGGTGGGGAATCTGAAAAAATAATAATATGTAAGTATACATATAATCATCGACAAGTTTATTTGAAATATAATTTCTGGTTTATCTATAAGTGGTAATAAATAATTATGCAATAAAATGAAATGTAAGTAATGTAAACAAGTTTAAAGATTTGAAGTTAATATTTACTTGAAATGAAAGTGCACTCGACGAATGGATCACCAGAATGTGCTGCAGGGCAAGCACAAATAGGATTGTGGTTAACCACTTCGCACGTAGCTCTTAATCCACAGGTTCCTATACAAGGGTTCACACATTTCTGTTTCATACAAGCTTCATTTTGTGGACACTCTGCACTAACGACACATTCTGGTCGACAAGCTGGTGGTATTCCCAAATATGTAGGCAAGCAAGAACACACGGCTTGGTTATTAACTTCCCGACATTGACTATTGGGGCCACAGATCGACGTGCTACATGGGTTTTGAGCAGGTAGTTCTATAAAATAATAAGATAAAATTAATAAAAAATGTTTTATGTAGTGTAATTCTACTCAATGTGTTTGTATTTTTGCTATAGTTTACCTCTTATAGGATTACATAACACGAATGCGTTTCCAGTAAAGCCACCATTGCAGCTGCACATGGGAATGTGATTAACAACTTGACACACAGCATTTTGCCCACATGCACCAATACACGGATCAACACATTTTCTTTGCACACAAGCTTTGGTTTGATCACAATCAGTACTAAAAACGCATTCTGGTCGGCAATTGAAGTATGGATCTCCATGGTATTCGGGTAGACATTGACACTGTCCATTTACACACTCAGCATTGGATCCACACCGTATATTTGTGCAAGCATCTATAACGGTTGGTTCAACTGAAACAAATAGTTCAATTATAGGCTAAGTATGTACCTACAGAAAACTTTAAATAATAATAATGTTGGGGTTATTACTTTTAGTAAACCTTCTAGAAAATATTTCAAATAATAATAAATACCTTCTAACGGTTTTGGTCTGCAGCTAGTGAATGGATCTCCAATATATCCGTCGATACATGAACATATAGGAATATGGTTAAGAACACTGCATATGGCTGACACACCACATGATCCGGGACACGGGTCTAAACACTTTGAATTAATGCATGCTCGATCACTTTGGCAATCAGAGTGTATTGTACATTCCGGTCGACAATTAGGTGGACTACCAATAAATGATGGCAAACACGAGCAGGACGGTGAGTTTCCAATTTCTCGGCATTCAGAATTTGGTCCACAGGGAGATGGAACACATGGTTTCCTTACATCAGGAACAGGATCGTCTAGAAAAATATTATCATTAAAAAAATTACATTTAATACTGGTTGAGAAGATTAGTATTTCGTCATTCTGTTTGTCAATTAACTTACATCTAATAGGTGTACATAAAGTAAATGGATCTCCAGTGAAAGTAGTCTTGCACGAGCATATCGGACTGTGGTTGATGACTTTGCAATTCGTATTTGTACCACAAGGCCCAGGACATGGGTTCACGCATTTTTGCTTAATACAGGCTTTGTCTTGCGAGCATTCAGAGCTTACAACGCATTCTGGCCGACAATTAGGTGGTGAACCTATGTACTCTGGCAAACATGAACACACTGCTTGGTTGCTAACAACTTTACATTGGCTGTTTGGTCCACATGGTGATGGATAGCATACATCGATTGGTGTAGAAACCGGAGTTGATTCTAAAATAAAAATTAAGATACATAAGTTATCGAAATTAATACGTCAGACAATTTGGTAAATAGACATTCATCAATAATAATAATACCTTGGTAGACACAATAGCGGAATGGATCTCCAGTGTAACCATTGACACATGTGCATAGTGGAGCATGATTGACAACTTGACATTCTGCATTGGTACCACAGCTGCCTGGACAAGGATCGCCGCATTTATTGTTGATGCAAGCTCTATTTGAAGGACAATCGGTGTTCACAACACACTCTGGTCGGCAACCTTCGTAAGGATTTCCAATGTAACCCTCCAAGCATGTACAAGATCCAGCGTTGTTTCTCTCTTTACAAATAGCGTTGGCTCCACATGGTGAAGGTGAACAAGGAGTAGAGACATAGTCTATGTGCAAAGGTTCGTGAACGCAGTTAAAGAATGGATCTCCAGTAAATCCATACGGGCAAAGGCAAATAGGTGAATGGCTAACCACTTTACACTCAGCATTACTAGCGCAGGCACCTTCACAAGGATTTTTACACTTATTGTTAATACACGACAAATGTGTAGAACATTCTTCATTACTTGTGCATTCTGGCCTACAGTAAGGAGCTTGACCATGGTAACCATCCAAGCAAGTGCAAGATGGAGCTTCATTTACTACTCTACAAAGGGAATTAGGTCCACAAGGTGTCGGTTGGCATGGGTTTACTGGCTCAGGTAAACGTTCCGCTGTAATAAAGAGTATTATTTCACTTTTGAACTTGTTTAACATTTACAATACTTTGTTTTTCTAATGTACAAGTATTAATGTATGACTATAATCATTACAATTATTTTACTTACGTAATCTAAAGCAACGTGTGAATGGGTCACCAGTATACGATACTGGACACGTGCATATTGGGTTGTGGTTGACTACTTTACATTCAGCGTTTACGCCGCAGGAACCAACACAAGGATCAACACAGCGTTGGTTGCTGCAGGCTTGATTGAGTGGACATTCAGCACTAATGGTGCACTCAGGCCTACATGCAGGAGGAGCTCCGATATTATTCGGAGCACATGAACAAGCTGCTTGACCGTTGACATCTCTACATTGACTGTTTGGTCCGCATGGAGATGGTTGACAGGGGTTTGATATTACTGGTTCTGTAAAAATGAAAAGAAATTCTTTTATTGTTCATATTAATAGATAAAGGTAGTTATTATCAAGATTGATTGAAAACAATCATACTTACCTAATACAGGACGACAATCAACAAAAGCATTTCCAGTCATGCGCTCGGGACAGCTACACATTGGAATATGGTTTACAACACTACAAGTAGCTGTGATCGCACACGTGCCAGGACAAGGGTCCACACATTTGTTTCTGATGCAAGCCTTATCACGAGAACATTCAGAACTCTGTACACATTCAGGTCGACATCCTGTGTATGGGTCCCCAAGGAATTCCGGGAGACATTTGCATTGCCCGTCATTACATTCCGCATTGTTTCCACACGGTGATGGATTGCACGGATCATCTTTTTCTATAATAAACATGCATAAAATATTATTAAATAATCAAAAAGAGACTTAGTATTAACACTATGTTGCATTAATAGTATATTATGTAACATTAATTAAGTTACCTTTTGGTGGAAGGAGATTGCATTGAGTAAATGCATTGCCAGTAAAACCTTCAGTGCAAGAACAAATTGAAACATGCTTTATGACTTGACAAATAGCGTTAATGCCACAGGAACCTGGACACGGGTCTCTACATTTCTGATTTATACAAGCTAGGTTACTAGCGCAATCTTCATTGATTGTACATTCTGGTCGACAATTTGGAGGACTGCCTTCAAAGTTTGGTAGACATGAACACGAAGGAATACTACGTAAGTTTTGACATTGCGAATTAGGTCCACATGGTGATGGCACACATGGATCGGCTTGAGGTGGTGGTTGTTCTTGAACTAAAAAGATAAAAATAAATATTAGAATTTATTTTATCGAAATTTATTTTGCCGTAATAAATGTATTGACTTACCTGTTACTATGTAGCAGCTCGAAAATGGATCACCGGTGTACCTATTTTGACAAGTACATATAGGACTGTGATTGATAACTCTACAGTCTGTGTTACGTCCGCATGGACCTGGGCATGGTGAAACACATTTTTGATTTTGACATATCTTGTCTGCTGAACATTCTGCACTTATAACACACTCAGGCCGACAGTTTGGAGGTGAACCATGGTACTCAGGTAAGCATGAGCATGTACTCTGTCCATTCGACACACGACACTGGCTATTGGGACCACACGGTGATGGTTGGCACGGATTTAAAGGAATGTCTTCTTGTGCTGTAAATGAAATGTAAATGGGCAAATGAATATCTTATATTTCCGACAAACATTGTTTTATTATATTGTCGATTTCACTTACGTTTTAAATTACACTGCGTGAAAGGATCTCCAACATATCCTTGCCGACATGTACATAAAGGCGAATGATTCACCACTTGACAATCAGCATTCACGGCACATGTACCAGGGCAAGGATCGATGCACTTATTTCGCGTACATGCTTTGTTACTTGGACAGTCGGAATTTACAAGGCATTCCGGATGACATGCTTCATAAGGATTGCCAAAGTATCCAGTAACACAAATACACGCTCCAGCTCCAGCTTGTTCCCTGCATTCAGCGTTCGATCCACATGGTGACGGTGTGCATGGCGATAGAGATTCAACAGGTATCATTGCTGTTATTGAGCAGTGGACTGCTGCGTCACCTGTGTATCCCTCCGGACAAATACAAATAGGTGTATGGCTGACGACTCTACAATCAGCGTTGATGCCACATGCCTGTGTGCATGGGTTTTGACACTTTCTATTTATACAAGCCATTTGAGGAGCACATTCACTGTTAGCCACACACTCCGGGCGACAGTTGGGTGGTGTTCCAATAAATTCGGGTTGGCATTGACATGAAGGTATAGCTCCACTTGTTTGTTCACAAATAGAATTGGGTCCACATGGAGATGGTAAACACGGATTTACCGGTATCAGAGGTTCATCAGCAGCTACAATAAAAGATATTTTTAAGCATACTAAAAGGTTATTAAACAATGCATTTCTTTTAAATGTAATTATTAAAAAATACTTACGCTTAATCATACATCTTGTAAATGGATCTCCAGTCATTCCCGAAGGACATGAACAAATTGGATTATGATTCACTACTTGACATTTGGCTGCTACACCACATGTTCCTTGACAAGGATCAACACACTTTTGATTGGTACATGCTTTATTGAGAGGGCAGTCAGAACTAGCAACACACTCTGGTCGACAAGAAGGAGGTGCTCCACGGAAGCCAAGTAAACAAGAGCATACAGCTTGTTCATTAAATTCTCGGCATTGACTGTGAGGGCCACATGGACTTGGTTGACACGGATTAGATGAAATCATTTCTGCAAAAGATAAAATATAAATCTATTGCTTTAGTTGTTATTTGCATTAAAATCTGAATTATTTCAAAGGAATGAATAACAAAAATAAATAGAGATTAGTCTAATACAACTCTGTCATTTAGATTTGGTTGTTTTTTTTCTTACCTCTCACGGGAGTACATTGTATAAAAGCGTTGCCTGTAGTCCTGGATGGGCAAGTGCAAACTGCCATGTGATTGACAACTTCACAGTTGGCGTTAATGCCACAGGTATTGCTAATGCAAGGATTGATGCATCGATTTTTGACACACGCCTTATCCATCGGGCATTCAGAACTTATTGTACATTCAGGACGACATTCAAAGTATGGATCACCGTTATATTCAGGTAAGCAAGTACAAACTCCATCGTTGCAGATTGCATTTGGCCCACACGGTGAAGGATTGCATAAATCTGCCTCTATAGGTTCTGTAAACAAACGAATAAATATATAACGACAATTAGTTTATGTAGGCAAGTGTGATTATTCAGAATAGTGTTACATGAATGATGCTTACCTATATTCGGTTTAAAAGAACAGCTTTGGAATGGATCACCAATGTAGCCATCAAAGCACGTGCATATAGACACATGCCCTTGTACTCTACAGTTAGCATTTACGCCACACGACCCTGGACAGGGATCTACACATTTTTCATTGATACAGGCCAACTCATTAGAACAGTCCGTGTTAATGGTACATTCTGGACGACAATTTGGTGGACTACCCGTATACTGTGGTAAACAGGAGCACGACGGGGTACCACCCATATCGCGACAATTCGAGAATGGACCGCATGGCGATGGCAGACAAGGATTTGTAGCCACCGGTGTAACATCCACAACTAAAATAATGAAATAACATTTGTAATCAACTTTATTTTGGTTATATAGATACAAATTGGTGAATGTTAAATACCTGGTGCTCTATAACATCTGCTAAATGGATCTCCTGTGTATTGTGGACGACACGAGCAAATAGGACTATGATTTATAACCTTGCACTCCGTATTCAGTCCACAAACGCCATCACAAGGATCTTTACATTTTCGTTGAATACATGCTTGTTGTTGGTTACATTCTGAGCTAACGATACACTCAGGTCTACATGCAGGCGGTATTCCCAAATATTCAGGTTCGCATGTACATACCGCTTGGTTATTCGCTACTTTGCAAATGCTATTTGGGCCGCAAGGCGACGGAGAACAAGGATCCTTATTAACTATTGGGGTATCTGCAAAGAAAAAAGTTAATGGATGAAATGAATTATTGACCTATAATAATACATTTTAATATTATTTTTGTTATAAAAGTAGATACGTAACTTACCTAGTATTTCTTCGTAGCAGTTTTGATAAGGACTTCCTGTTAAGCCAGGTGGACATACACACGTCGGGGTGTGATTGACAACATTACATACGGCATTGCGTCCACAAATGTTGTTACAAGGGTTTTTACATTTATTTTGGATACACGCCATGTTTGTAGGACAATCTGAATTGACAACGCATTCTGGGCGGCAACCTTCGTAAGGATTTCCGATATAATCTGGGAGGCACACACAAGCACCAGCATTTCTTTGTTCTTTACAAATAGCATTTGGACCACAAGGCGAAGGAGAGCAAGGAGCAAGCGGAACATCAATAATTTGACATCCTCTGAATGCATCACCAGTGTATCCTAGAGGACACAAACATTGGGGAGAATGGCTCACTACTCGACACTCAGCACCAGATCCGCAAGAACCTGGACAAGGATCTTGACATTTTTGATTAATACATGCTAGTTCATTTGAACATTCAGAATTAGAAATACATTCTGGGCGGCAGTTCGGAGGATTCCCCACATAATCAACTTGACAAGCACACGACGGAGAACCTCCTACTTCTCTACATACTGAGTTCGGACCACAAGGTGACGGTTCACATGGGTTAATGTAAGGTGGTGGTTGAATATCTGCAACAAAATTAAACAAATATTTAGTGAATAAAAATAATGAAACAACATTAATTAAATGCGAAAGTTAATGCGGCTGAACGGATCGGGATGTTTGGTACAGGGGTAGATTTTGCACTGAAATAACTACTTTTTGTCAATGTCAATAGCCAAAGTACTAATAGCAAAAATTTTACCTTCTATCACACATCTACTAAACGGATCCCCAGTATAGCCCGATGGACAGGAACATATAGGGTTGTGATTTATTACTTGACACTGAGCTCCTGATCCGCAATTTCCTTTACAAGGATCTATGCACCGTTGATTAGAACAAGCTCGACTGAGTGGACATTCTGCACTCGATGTGCATTCAGGTCTGCAAGTAGGTGGTGCACCCATATATCCAGAAAGGCAGGAGCAAATAGCTTGGCCATTAATTTCTCGGCATTGACTGTTGGGCCCACATGGTGTTGGGTTGCAAGGCTTTATAGCCTCAGTCACTCTGATAGGGCGACATTCAAGGAATGCGTTTCCTGTGTACCCTGTTGGACACGTGCACATGGGTACATGGTTGAAGACATTACAAACAGCTTCTCTGCCACATGTATTTAGACAAGGATCAATGCATTTATTTCTAACACAAGCCTTGTTATGGGGACAGTCTGTACTCATAAGACACTCTGGTCGACAACCGAAATAAGGATCCCCTTGATATTCTGGTAGGCATGTACAAATGCCGTCATTACATTGGGCATTTGCTCCGCAAGGTGAAGGATTGCATAAATCAGTTTCCATGAACGTTTCTGAAAAGAAAAAAATAATTTCTGTATCACTGAATTCACCATAAATAATTATAATTATGCCACGTTTAAATATTCAATATAATTAGTAATTTTATATATTTTTAATTCCTTACCATCATTGTCTGGTACTGGTAGACAACGCGTAAATGGATCTCCAGTGAACTGTTCAGAACAGCCACATTGGGCAATATGGTTAAACACAGTACATTGTGCATTTACACCACAAGCTCCCGGACAGGGGTCGCGACATTTTTCGTTGATACAAGCCTGATTGCTGGGGCATTCAGAGTTTATAGTACATTCTGGTCTGCAGTTAGGTGGACTTCCAATGTAATTAGGTTTGCAAGCACACGAAGGAGCATTTCCAATGTTCCGACACTCCGCATATAAACCGCATGGCGATGACAAACACGGATCTTGAGATAGTACATTTTGTGGCGGTTGTGAAACTAAAGAATACAGAAATCAATATATTGAACAATTTAAAAAGATTTTTTAACTCGTACCGTATTCAGTAATTTACTTACTTTTAATCGGATAACATTTTGTAAATGGATTCCCCGTTAGGCCCTGCTTACAAACACATATAGGGCTATGGTTGATCACATTACAATTAGCATATTCTCCGCACGTGTTTTCGCATGGATTTAAGCACCTTTGATTCGTACAAGCTAAATGTGATGGACATTCAGAGCTCACCACACATTCAGGGCGACAGTTGGGTGGTGAACCTATAAAACTAGGTAAACAAGAGCATACAGCTTGGCCTTTCACTTCCTTACATTGACTATTTGCTCCACATGGTGAAGGATTACACGGATTATTTTCCACTACTTGTGCTGAAAATAATAATTATCGCTTTAAGTTTTAATTATTTCACAGTATTTACAGCAAAAATTATAAAGATATTCTTACGTTCTTGCATGATATTGCAGTGGCTGAATGGATTTCCTGTGTATCCTTGCTGACATAAGCATGTCGGAACATGATTCTGCACTTGGCATATAGCATTTGAGCCACATGTACCAGGGCAAGGGTCAATACACTTCATTCTAGAACATGCTCTATTCAGAGGACAGTCAGAATTGACTATACACTCTGGCCGGCAGCCTTCATAAGGATTTCCCAAGTAACCCTCTAAACATTGACATGATCCAACACCTGTTTGTTCTTTGCACACAGCGTTGGATCCGCATGGGTTTGGATTGCATGGCGTTAAAACTTCAGTCTGTTCCACGATATTCATAGTACTGCAGTATGTAAATGGATCACCCGTATAACCAGCCTGACATAAGCACATAGGAGCATGACTAACAACTCTACACTCAGCATTAGAACCACAAGCGCCTAAGCAAGGGTCTACGCATTTCTGATTAAGGCATGCTAAGTTATAGTCACACTCGCTATTGCTAATGCACTCTGGCCGACAATTCGGTGGCGTTCCCTTGTAGGTTGGTAAACAAGCACAAATGGGACTCTCTCCACTTATTCTGCAAATAGAGTGTGGTCCACACGGTGATGGTTCACATGGGTTGACTTGTGGTTCCACAGCAACTGTAATATATAAATAACGTTTATAAAATTAAGTATATAAATAACGTTTATAAAATTAAGTCAAAACATCTAAAGTAAATTATTAGGATGTATTATAATTTGAAGTATTGAATAAAATGAAAAAAATACCTGTAACGATACATCTCACAAATGGATCTCCAGTAAATGAGGGTGGGCATGTACAAATTGGGTTGTGATTGATAACATCACAAATGGCTGCCGTACCACAGGCTCCTACACAAGGATTTATACACTTTTGGTTGTTGCAGGCTTCTTTTAGAGAACATTCCAGACTAACAACGCATTCTGGTCGACATGTCGGTGGACTACCGCGATATCCTGGTACGCAAGAACACACTGCTTGTCCATTTGATTCTTGACAACGGCTGTTCGGACCACATGGTGAGGGATTGCAGGGGTTGGTAATAGTTACTGTAAAAAAGGATTTATAAAATTAAATGTTTATATACAACGAATTAATTAACTAGTTCTAGAAACTAATAAGACAATTTTATTTATTTATTAATTTTACTTTCAGAAATAATCTAAGACTTTAAGTCAAAATACATACATACCTGCTGATACTCTGCATTCTATAAATGCGTTGCCGCTCATACCCTTAGGACAAGAACACATCGGCACATGGTTCATGACTTCACAGTTGGCATTCAATCCACAAGTTCCAATACAAGGATTTACACATTTATTTTGTAAGCAGCCCTTATCCAACGGACAATCTGTGTTATACACACATTCTGGTCGACAGCCAAGGTAAGGATCTCCGTGGTATTCAGCAACACATGAACAAACACCATTGTTGCAAACGCTGTTCGGCCCACAAGGGCTTGGGTGACAAGGATCACTTGGTGAAGTCACAGGTACATCTAGAATTAAAGATTACATTTTTGTTGAAAGTCCATTAATTAATGTCAATTTAAAATTTGTTAATATACTTTACCTTCAATGGGCTTAGGAGTACATTGTCTAAACGGATCTCCTGTAAAGCCATCTGGACAGAGGCAGACAGGCACATGATTATTAACAAAACATTTGGCGTATAAACCGCAAGAGCCTTCACAAGGGTTTCGACACTTCTCAGCTTCACATGCTTGATCACTCGGGCAGTCAGAGTGGACAACGCATTCAGGCTTACAGTATGGTGGTGAGCCAATGTAAGACGGCAAACATGAACATGAAGCTAATCCGTTGTTATCCCGACATTCGGAGTATGGACCACATGGTGATGGAACGCAAGGATTTGATGGCGCAGCTACACTTGGAGTTGTTTCTAAAGTTTAAGAGAAGATAAAATAATAATTAAAATTGTCTCACACTACTATCTTAGTATCACATGATCATTTGGAATCATATAACTTACGCATTATGAGACTACACATTGTAAATGCGTTTCCAGAATATCCCAGCCGGCAAGTACATACTGGACTGTGATTAATTACTTTACAATCCGTATTTTGACCACATGGCTTCGGGCAAGGATTAATGCATCGTTGATTAACGCAAGCTCTATTTGATTTGCATTCCGAATTTATCACGCATTCCGGCTTACAATTAGGTGGTGAGCCCATGTAATTTGGAAGACATGAACAAACTGGCTGATTATTTACTTCTCTACATACGGCGTTTGTTCCACAAGGCGAGGGATTACAAACATTTATAACCGCAATATCATTGTCTGAAAGAGTATAATTCAATTTAATTTTCAGAAAAAAATTCACACATTTCAATTATTGATAACAACTTCTTACCTCTAATGGGATGACAAATTGAGAGTGGCGTTCCTGTATATCCTGGTTTACAGTTACACATCGGTTTGTGGTTCGTGACATAGCAGTCTGCATTATATCCACAAACCCCAGGACAAGGATCTATGCATTTATTTCTGTTGCATGCAGAAACCAAAGGACAATCTGAATCAGCTAAGCATTCAGGTCTGCAACCTTGGTAAGGGTCACCAAAATAATCAGGTAAACATGAGCACGATCCCGCATTTCGTTGTACTTTACATTCGGCATTTGCACCACAGGGAGATGGTTCACAGGGATTTAGATATTCGACCTTTGAAGGAGCTGAAATGTTTTTCAAATAGAATAAATTCACTTACCGATAAATATGTCAGTCACCGTAGAAGCACGTCCTTGTTCCGAAGCGTTAGTTGAAGCTTGCTGGGCCTGGCGACGTTTAGTGACCTCCATTATCCGGTTTCCGCGTCACTATTTCAAGCAGCACCGTCCATAAGCGGCCGTCATGATGGACAGCCTAAGCTTTACTGTAAGTGCTATGTTATCTCCGCGTGCTCCGTAATCAAGCAAAAGGCATTATTTCACATTAACAGTTATTCATCAAGTTATATCCCTTCTGGAAGCGAACATCATTTCCTAATGTTCATTGTCTCGGTACCTACTACCTGATTCGAGGCTTATTTTCAAAGCATTTGCATAGATTCTGTATTTATGCAATTACCTTCAAACCATTTGGTGGGCATGGTCACCGCACAGTCACAAAGTAAAAACAACCATACAGTCCTATGTTCATTAGTAAACCGTGTGAGGCGTGTACGCTAACTATATTTTCTTACATGACAAGCACGTCATTTGAAGCATGAACAAATTATCACGCTTTGCAAAGCTGAATGGTTATATGCATCATAAATAGTTGATTTATCAGTCTCCCTATAGCATTATTGTACAAATTTCCGTTTACCTCACATTGTAAATATTATTTCAAATAGGTATAATTTGTACCTACCAAAACCGGTTATACTTTACATCATTGAATAAAGGTTTAAAACCGTTCAGATTTGATCTAAAGTCTCAAAAAAAACATCAAAATTGTACAGAAATAACTTCATATTTACCTTTTGGCTGTGAACAACCCTGGAAAGGGTCACCTTCTAGACCCGGTTCACAGGCGCAGATAGCTCGATGGTCGACTACAGAACATATTGCCCGTGGGCCGCAAGCTTGTTCGCACGGATCTTTACATTTCTGTGCAACACAAGCCAGGGCCGCAGGACATTCGGCGCTGATCGTACATTCCGGTCGACAATTAGGTGGTGCTCCTATAAATCCTGGCTGGCAGCTGCACGCTGGTGTATCTCCAGAGTTTATGCAAAGCGAATTAGGACCGCATGGTGAAGTCTCACAAGGATCAATTGGTTTTGATGGTGGTACTGCAAAAAGCAATTTGATTTAGTGCCAAACTTATAAAATAAATGTATAATACCTTATTTAAATATGAGGAAGGTAATTTTACCTGGTTTTGGATAACAATATGAGAATGGATCGCCAGTATAATCTTCATTACATGTGCAAATAGGTGAATGAGCGATAACTTGACAACGTGCGCCTCGACCACACGCTCCTTCGCAAGGGTCCCGACATCGGCGATCAATACAAGCCAATTGTAATTTACACTCAGCGCTGACTAGACATTCAGGGCGACACGATGGTGGCGATCCAACATGTCCAGCCTTGCACGAACAGGCAGCAGCCCCATTTTTACTCACTGAACATTCACTGTATGGGCCACATGGAGACGGCGAGCAAGGAGATGTTGAAGGAATTTCTACAACATTTTATACATAATTAAAATAGATCTGATCTGATAAAGGTACAAACTAGTTAACAGTAACTTAATTCTTTTTTTACCTTTTCTAATTTCTGTGCACAGATTGAAAGGATCGCCTGAGGTGGAAGGCGGACACGTACATGATGGTATATGGTTATTGACTGAACATATAGCATTCGTCCCACATGCACCTGGACAAGGATCTACACATTTGCCTCTTTGACATGTCCGTGTTGGGGAGCATTCGCCATTAGTACTACATTCAAGTCGACAGCCGGTGTAAGGATCTCCAAAATATCCGGGAGCACAAGAGCAAATTCCTGCATCACATATTGCATTGCTACCGCATGGCGATGGATTACAAGGATCTTGTGTGATCGGAGGAGTTTCTGTAAATTGGAAACAAATAAGTTAGATAAAATACTTAAAAGAAAAATATGCTAAAATGTAAGAAGATATGTAGTAGTAGGAAGACATTTACCTAACACTTCCGTGCATTGTATAAATGGATCGCCTGAAAAACCGGTCGGACAGCTACAAATCGGTATATGGTCATGTACACGACATTCTGCTCTGAATCCACATGAACCTTCACATGGGTTTCTACATCTTTCTGCGATACATGCCTGATGAGATGGACAATCTGTATTTACAAGACATTCTGGATGGCAGTTAGGCGGAGCTCCTATATATCCTTGTACACAAGAACATGACGGACTATTGTTAATCGGTCGACATTCACTGTACGCTCCACAAGGATTCGGCTGACATGGATGAGGTTGAGGTAGATCTGGTACGTATTCTGTCTTTTCAATTTCGAAACATTTCTTAAACGGATCGCCAGTCATACCCGCTGGGCAACTGCATAATGGACTATGATTAATAACTTGACAATGAGAGCCTATGCCACATGTGCCTCTGCAAGGATCTGCGCATTTCAATCTATGACAAGCCCTATCTGATGGGCATTCACTACTATCAGTACATTCAGGTCTACAATCAGGAGGAGCGCCTCTATAGTCTGGAAGGCATTCACATGATGCTAATCCACCGTTTTCTCTGCAAATACTGTTGGGACCACATGGTGATGGCTGGCATGGTTTAACTATTTCTATGGGCTGTTCCTTCATACACTGATCAAATGGATTTCCTGTGTACCCCTTGATACAGGCACAGCTTGGAACGTGGTTTATAACATTGCATTCAGCGTTCCTACCACATATTCCAGGGCAAGGGTCTACACATTTATTTCTAATACATGATTTATCGGCAGGACAATCGGAACTTAGTACACATTCAGGGCGACAACCGTCATAAGGATTTCCTAGGTATCCTTCTAGACAGGAACATGATCCAGCTCCATCCCTTTGAGTACAAATTGCATTTGCTCCACATGGCGACGGATCACAGGGCTGAACTGCATTTTCTGAAAACAAAAATATTATTAAACACGCGTACTAAGGAGTGTTATTTTTCACGAGCAATAAAATAATCAGACTACATACCTTCTTGAACAACACACTGCATAAATGGATTACCCGTAAACTTTTCTCTGCACATACAGGAAACAGTATGGCTCACCACGATGCAGTCAGCATTTACTCCACATGAACCAGGGCATGGATCTACACATTTATTCTTAATACATGCTTGATTTGAAGGGCAATCTGGATTTATCACACATTCTGGTCTACAATTTGGTGGTTGTCCGATGTAGTTTTCGATACATCTGCAATTAGCTTTTCCATTTCTTTCCATACATTGTGAATTAGGTCCACATGGAGATGGATTGCATGCATCTACTGGTGGAGACGGTGGAATTACTATATCGTAACAACTTTTAAATGGATCACCAGTTTGCCCTGAGTTACAGCTGCAAATTGGACTATGGTTTATTACTTCACAACGTGCTGATACTCCACAAGCGTTTATACAGGGATTAATACACTTTTGATTTACGCATGCTTTAGTTGACGGACATTCAGAGCTGACCACACATTCTGGCCGACAAGTTGGTGGTGATCCTTGGAATCCTTCAAGACAAGCACAAACTGCAGCATTGTCGACGTTTTTGCAAATACTGTTGGGTCCACAAGGAGAAGGATGACAAGGGTCCTTTGGTCTTGCTTTCTCTTGTTCCATACGACGACAATGAGTGAATGGGTTGCCAGTATATTCTGTCATACATGAACACGTCGGTATATGGTTAATGACGTCACATTTAGCATTTTGTCCACATGTGCCTGGACAAGGATCTCGGCATTTATTTCTGAAACAGGCCTTATCTCGGGGACATTCTTGGCTTCCAGTGCATTCTGGTCGGCAACTTTCGTAAGGATTTCCGCTGTAATCTGCTAGACAAGTACAGAATCCGTTGTCGCATACAGCATTAGCACCACATGGAGATGGATTGCATGGGTCTGTAGGGGCCGGTGTTGTTGAATCTAAAATCAACAATTAGTTTATAATCTTATTTAAAAATGTAATGTTAAAAACACTGTATTGTCGCGGTGGCCCGGAGGGTTCGAAACCTACAACGGCAAGTACCAGTGTGACTTTTACCGAGTATTATTACTTTCTAAAATCGTTTAGATACCACTGACAAACGGTGAAAGGAAACATCGTGAGCCCAGGGGCAATTGGCTCACCCTCTATTACGTAGGAGTGTTTAATGTATACACATTTGCTTAACTTTCGAGGAATAAATAATGTGATGTTATACTAAGTATATGTAAATTGAAATATTTTGATAGTAAATAACTTTTTTTTTTAAATTGATAGTACATACCTTCAACAATACGTAGACATCTTGCAAACGGATCACCAGTAAAACCTTCGTTACATACACACACGGCTACATGGTTCAATACATGACATGACGCATCTACTCCACACGAGCCCGGACACGGGTCCTCACATTTTTGTCGTACACATGCAAGTGAAGCCGGACATTCGGCGTTAATTGTACATTCTGGTCGACAAGATGGCGGAGAACCCACGTAACCAGGAAGACACGAGCATGCTGGTCCACTTGCTAATAGTTGACAACGTGAATGAGGACCACACGGTGAAGGAGTACAAGATGGGGGTCTTTCTGTTGTGGGTGGAATTCCTAAAATAACGAATAATATTGTAAATAATGAGAACATATATTTTTTGCTAAATTAAGTAGGAAATATTGTAATAATTTACTTAGTTACATTGAACTTACCATAACACTGAGTGAAAGGATCTCCAGTCATTCCCAACGGACATGTACATATAGGACTATGATTCTTTACAATGCAGTGTGCTCTCAAGCCACAGGAATGCGGACAAGGGTCATCACATTTTTGATTGATACAAGCCTTTGAAGTGTCACATTCACTATTAACAATACACTGTGGGCGGCAGGCTGGAGGTGAACCGATGTAATTCGGTAAACATGAACATACTGCTTGCATGTTTACTTGTCTGCACTGGCTGTTTGGTCCACATGGTGTGGGTTCACATGGATTTTGTGGTGGAGTAGCTGTAATGAAAATGTATATTTAACGTGAATTTCTTATTAAGAAGTAATGTATGGTTGCTTTTAAAATCGTTTAATCTTATAATTAAAAAATAAGTACAGTTAAACTTACGAGATATGGTAATTTCTTTACACTGGAAGAATGGATCACCAGTATATCCTCTAGGACAAGTACAAACAGGAATATGATTTTCCACAGTACATTGTGCCATTTGCCCACATGTTCTTGGGCAGGGATCGATACATTTAAATCGAGTACATGCTAAATTTGGTGCACAATCATCGTTACTTTCACATTCCCTTCTGCATCCCTGCGTACTGTATGGGTCACCCTCGTAGCCTTCCGAACACACACAAGCACCAGCTCCGTTGTATTCACGGCATTCTGCGTTAGGACCACATGGAGAAGGCGTGCATGGGCTTGATGTTGGAGTCATTTCAGTTGCTATAAAAATGTAAGAAACATTAAAAGAATTACCTTATTTTTAGGCTAAATGGCTATTTAAATTTCTAAATCCTATATTTAATTGATGTATATATACACAAACTTATACGTACATGATATAACGATTTGAATACAATTCTTTCCGGCGTCACCAGTAAATCCGTGCTGGCAAGAGCATACTGGTTTGTGATTAATAGTTAAACAAAGAGCATTTACACCGCACGCCCCTTGACAAGGGTCCTTACAACGCTCGTTTATACAAGCTGTGTTACTAGGACATTCTGGATCAATAGTACATTCCGGTCTACAATTCGGCACTCTGCCAATGTAGTTTGGCAAACAGGAACATGCAGCCTGATCTCCAATAACACGACATTCCGAATTAGGTCCACATGGAGAAGGTACACATGGGTTTGTGGTAGGAACGTCACCTAAAATAAAATTAAACGGCATTATGAAATTCGTGAAGTTAAACTACATTAAAAAAAGTAAGATGTACTATTCAACTCTAATATAAGCGGTCGCTAAATTACTTACGTTCTATCAGAGTGCACTGTGTAAATGGATCTCCAGTGTATCCGGGACTACAAGTACAAATGGGATTGTGTGTTATTACTTGGCATCTCGCGTTGACGCCGCAAGAGTTCTGGCATGGATCCTTGCACTTCTTTTTAATACAGGCTTTGTCTTGTGGACATTCCGAACTGACAATACACTCGGGTCGGCAGGAAGGTGGTGTGCCAATGTAGTCACTCTCACAAGTACATACACTGTGACCGTTTATCACTCGACATAAGCTGTTTGGCCCACAAGGTGATGGTTGACAAGGGTCTAATGGGGTCTTCGGATTTTCTGTAACAACTACAACCAGAATTTATTTTATTGATTACCTTGTTCTAGAATGTGCTCGTCCATCTATTATAATAAAATTTTTACAACATTAATAATTTAACAGCACTTACTTTCTATTTCGCATCTAACTAATGGGTTACCGGTGTAACCAGTGAGACACGTGCATGTTGGAGAATGGTTGACAGTTCGACATTCAGCATTAATGCCGCAAGCTCCTGGACAAGGATCTTTGCAGCGATTGTTTGAACACGCCTTGTTGCGATCACAGTCTGAATTTGAGACACATTCTGGTCGACATCCTGTGTAAGGATCACCAAAGTATTCCGGCAAGCATGAACAGGAGCCCACTCCGTTTCGTTCTTTACATAACGCGTTAGCGCCACAGGGCGATGGACTGCAAGGATTTGGCGGTGGCTCTGAATGTTCTGAAATTAAAACATGAAATATTTCTATAGCACAAAATGTACATGATAAAAATGATGCCAATGCTGCTGCTGCAATTTAAAACTTACGTTTGAACGGTGAACAGCCACTGAAAGGATCACCTGTATATCCCAACCAACAGCTACATAGTGCGACATGATTGGCTACAGAACATTCCGCATTAAAACCACAAGAGCCAGGACATGGATCCACACATTTCTCATTTTGGCATGCAAGATTACCAGGGCATTCCGCGTTTATAGAACATTCAGGTCTACAATTTGGTGCTACACCAATGTAATTCGGTAAGCATGAACATGCAGGCGCTTCGCCAACTACTTTACACTGAGAATATGGACCGCATGGTGATGGAACACATGGATTTCCTTTAGGCACGTCTAAGATAGGTTCTAAGAAAGACAGAAAAATAAGAAAGATTTAGAAAAATAGTACACAGGAAACATAAAAAAGCAGTTTATAGAGAAAAATGAAATATAAATGAAAAGAAAAATGAAAACAAAGAAAATAATAAATTATGAAACAATATATATTTACAGGGAAATTAAAACATGAACTGTTTAATTTGAGCCTCTTTTATTATTTTTCTAATATTCTTACTTTGTTCCAACTGGCAAGTTACGAACGGATCGCCAGTAAATCCAGCATTACAAGTACATATCGGATTATGGTTTATCACTTGGCATCTTGCGTTGACACCACAAGTTCCTGGGCATGGGTCCCGACATTTTTGTTTAATGCAAGCTTGATGTTGAGGACAATCTGTGCTTATAACGCATTCTGGTCTACAAGTGGGTGGTGTGCCCACAAATCCTTCCCGGCAAGAGCATACTCCGTGGTCATCCACAACTTTACAATTGCTATAAGGTCCACAAGGCGTTGGAATACAGGGGTTAACATCCGCGATAGGTGCTAAAATTAAATACATTCAGTTAAGATTTAGAAAGCAAAGAGTTTTAATTTATATTTTATTTTATTTTGGAATACTAACGTTTTCTTTGTAGATGACATGATACGACTGGATTTCCTTCATAACCATCAATACACAGGCATACTGGTGTATGATGCGCAACAGTACACTGTGCATTTAGACCACACGCGCCTTGACATATATCTACACATTTATTATTAGAACATGCTTTATCAAAAGGACAGTCGTTGTTTGTGACACATTCAGGACGACAACCCAAATATGGATCACCAAAGTATCCCGGCGCACATGTACAGGCTCCAACCGAATTCTTTTCAGTGCATATAGCGTTCGGACCACACGGAGATGGATTACATGGATTCGTTTCATCTTCACTTGGTACTGTGACTAAAATAAAAAAAGAAAAATTCGTTGGAGCTTTTAAAGATATTTTGTCAACTAAAATAAATATCTACTTATCACACAAACTTACCAATAAAGTAACAACCACTAAACGGATCACCAGTATAGCTTTCACGACAATGGCAAACAGCTTTATGGTTTATTACAACACATTCTGCATTTGAGCCACAAGATCCTTGGCAGGGATTTACACACTTTTCACGGATGCAAGCTAAGTTACTCGGACATTCTTCATCATATATACATTCAGGACGACAATTAGGTGCTCTTCCTATGTAACCAGGTTGACAAGAACAAGCCGGAGTCTCGCCAATTACCCGGCATTGTGAATTAGGTCCACATGGCGACGGTATACAAGGATTTCCAGAAGGCTTAGATTCCGGCCCTAAAATTATTTGAAATATTTATATTTCGAATCATGTTTAGTAAAAATTAGTCTGTTAGTTTAATATTTAACTGTAGTAACTCACGTTTTTCATATGAGCAATGTACGAATGGATCTCCAGCGTAATTTGGTGGACAACTACATAATGCATTGTGGTTGACTACAGTACATTTCGCATTGTTCCCACACGCTCCGATGCAGGGATCAACACATTTCTGATTGATACATGCTTTGTTGGGCATACATTCGCTGCTAACCATGCATTCCGGCCGACAGAAGGGCGGTGTCCCGAAATATAGCTCTTGACAGGAGCATATAGCGTGACCACTGGTAATACGACATAAACTGTATGGTCCACAAGGGGATGGTGAGCACGGATCAATTGGTATTTCATTTTGTCCTAAAACAGATTTTATTTTAGAGTACATCTATAAAATACGTTGGTATATTAACTGTTTATTCAGAATAACTAAGAATTCTTACGTATGTAACAAGACGTAAATGGATTTCCTTCGTAACCAGGCAAGCAGGCGCAAGAGGGCGCGTGATTGTTTACACGACATTCAGCGTTCATTCCACATACTCCAGGACAGGGATCTTTACATTTATTATTGATGCAAGCTCTGTCTCTTGGACAGTCTGAGTTTAAGACACATTCAGGACGGCATTCCACATATGGGTCTCCAAAATAATCAGGAAGGCAAGTACATGAACCGATTCCTTGTCTTTCTTTGCATATGGCATTTGCCCCACACGGTGATCGTGAGCATGGACTTTCAACTTGTGGTTCAATAGCTACAAGAATAAACAAATTGCTAGTAAACAATGCTCATTTACATTACAATGTTTTATTTCATTTGCAGTAAAACTTACATGGAATAGGAGAACAGCCAGAAAATGGATCTCCAGTATACCCTTGGTCACAAGAACATACTGGAACGTGTTTAACAACAGCACAACTTGCGTGGTATCCACATGATCCCGGACAAGGATCACTACACCTTTCAGAAATGCAGGCTAAGTTGCCTGGACATTCAACATTTATCATACATTCAGGCCTACAATTAGGGGGACGTCCAATATAATTTTCTAAACACGAACAAACTGCCAGTCCATTAATATCTTTGCATTGAGAATGTGGACCACACGGATTAGGTAAACAGTTATTTATTGGTTCCATTTGTTCTGTCAAATAAAAACATGTTTAAGAAATAGATAATAATAATGAATACGTTATTTGATATCAAATAAATGTCAGTATTACTTACTTTCCTCAAAGAAACATCTGATGAAAGGATCACCGGTGTAACCATTAAAACAGCTGCATATAGGGTTGTGGTTAACTACTTGACATTGAGCCTCAATACCGCACATACCAGGACACGGGTCTTGGCATTTTTGATTAATACATGCTTTATCCGGTCGACAATCGGAACTAACGATACATTCAGGCCTACAATTTGGCGGAGAGCCAACGCACAGATCAAGACATGTACAAACAGCATGCCCATTAAATACGCGACATTTACTGTACGGCCCACAGGGTGTTGGGTTGCATGGATCCACAGGTCCCGGTAGTGCTATATTTTATAGGAAAGAAAATAGACAGATAAGTAAAATAGTATGAAATTCAGAAATAGACATAAAGAAAGATCAAGAAAGATAGTCTTACATGAGACAGGAGTACATGCATGAAGAGGATTTCCTCTAAATCCAGGTAAGCAGTAACATGAAGGTGCATGGTTTGCGACTCTACATTCAGTATTTTGTCCACAAGCGCCAGAGCACGGGTCCACGCATTTGTTATTGAAACAAGACCTGTCTCTAGGACAGTCAGTGTTCATGACACATTCTGGACGACAGCCACGATATGGATCACCGTAAAATTCATCTACACATGTACAAGAACCAGCACCATTCCTTTCTCGACAAATGGCATTAGGTCCACAAGGTGATGGATTGCAAGGTTGATGAGGTACATCTTTCGAAGCTGCAAAATGGTATACATAAACATGCTATCACATACATTTACAATTATCATGCAAAATGATGGTGCATTTAAGGAATAAATAATATTTTCGCTTACCTTCAACAGGATTGCAGCCAGCAAACGGATCACCAGAAAATCCTTCGTCACATGAACATACTGGTTGGTGGTTTTGCACGATGCATCGCGCATTAAAGCCACAGGAGCCTACGCATGGGTTCACACAGTTGCCAGCTAGACAAGCAAGCGCCAGCGGGCAGTCTTGGTTTATAACACATTGTGGACGACAAGACGGTGGCGCCCCCAGCGTGCCTGGTTCGCATGCACAAACTGCACGGCCGGCTTCATTGCGGCAGGAAGAATGTGGGCCACATGGCGATGGTAGACATGGGTCCGGCGCTGGTTGAGTAATAGCTGACAAAAAAGCAATTATTAAATAAATTCATAACCGCAGTTATTTTTATGCAACAATTTCTTAATTGTACGTACATGATTAATCTATAAATTATGGTTATCAAACTTGACAAATTACACTGTTTCCAGCTTAAAATCGAAGTTTCTTTATTGTGACAAAACAACGCACAAATTAAGATATAAAACATTTTGTAAATACTTACTTTTCCTGTAACATCTGATAAATGGGTCACCTTCGGGTAGATTTTCTGGGCAAGTACAAATTGGATTATGTCCAACTACGTGACATCGTGCATCTAAACCGCAACTATGAAGACAAGGATCCTTGCACTTGTGATTGATGCAAGCTTTGTTTGTAGGACAATCAGAATTTACTGCGCACTCAGGACGGCAGGCAGGTGGTGCACCCAAGAAACCAGCGCGGCATGAACATGCGGCGCGGTCATTCACTACATGACATTCACTGTTTGCTCCACACGGCGATGGCTCACAGGGATTGAAAGGTGACGCTAGAATGTCAAATAAACAGAGTCATTTCATTTATACAGCAAAATAGATAGATTTTACTTGAATATTATTTACCTAACCCGAGAATATTTTACATAAATTAACTAGTAGGATGCGCAACATCGCGGCGACCGCGCACGCTGCTCATGAGGAATAACCCCTCTGTGGTTCGAAACTAGTAGAGCTTTTCTCAGTATATTCACGTGAGTAACCCGCGATTTTTAGTTAATTTAATATGTCTCAAGATAGTTATTATAAAAATATTTTACATAGTTATGAACCGAGAATCAAATTTAAATTGAAACTTAAACAAGGTAATTGCATAGAATAAAATGAAGTTGTACATACGTGCTTTCGGTTTCTGACGGCATGACGAGAATGGATTGCCTTCATACCCTTTGAAACATGTACATACTGGAACATGATTAGTGACAGAACATTCAGCGTTTACGCCACATAAATCTTTGCATGGATCTCTGCAGTGATTGGATAAGCATGCTAAGTGGTTCGGGCAATCGGAATTTATAGTACATTCTGGTCGGCAGCCTCCAGCGTACGGATTACCAATATTTGGAGGTATACATGAGCACCGTGCTACATTGTTCACAACTGTGCATACAGTATTGTCCCCACAAGGTGATGGGTTACATGGTGTTCGTGATTCATCTTTCGCAATTGCAACACAACCTACAAACGCATCACCTCTATATCCTTCAATGCAACTACAAAGAGGTGTGTGATTTACTACGTTACATCTGGCATTGTTACCGCAGGCACCAACACATGGATCGACACATTTCTCGTTGATGCATGCTTTGTTAGATGGACATTCTTGACTTATAACACATTCTGGTCTACAGTATGGAGGCGTGCCTGAATAATTTGGACGACACGAGCACACTGGATGGTTTGACTTAATTTCGCAAACAGAATTGGGGCCACACGGTGATGGTACACAAGGGTTTTTGTCCATAGGCACAGGTTCTATGACTTCAGCACAAGCTACAAATGGATCTCCTGTTTTTCCTGGGCTACAACTACATATTGGGTTATGATTAACTACAATACATTCGGCATTAACACCACAGCTGCCCTGACATGGATTAGTACACCGTTGATTTACACAAGTGTCCGTTTGGGAACAATCCGAATTACTGACACACTCAGGTTGGCACATTGGTGCTACTCCTCTATGGCCTGGTAAGCACGAGCATACTGCAAATCCTGAAGGTGATACAAGGCATCGACTGTATGGTCCACAAGGCGATGGGTCACACGTAGACCCTGTAGGTGGCAATGACACGGTTGGTTGGCACCTTACATAAGGATCTCCAGTATTGCCTACTTCACAATAACATACCGCGTGATGGTTGACGGTTTTACATAAAGCACCAATACCACATATGTCGGTACAAGGGTTTTCGCACTTATTATTCAAGCAGGCCAACTCTGGTGAGCAATCGCTATTGACGACACATTCAGGACGGCATGACATATAGGGATTTCCGTAAAAGTTTGGCAAACATTTACATGTTTGAGCACCATTTATATCTTCACAAATAGCATTAGCACCACATCTTACATTGTCGCACGTTTCGACCAAAACAGCTACAAAAAAGTAAAGGTATTTATTATTATTTATACTATGTTAATTAATTTCGAATATGAAGTTTTGAATACTTACGATTTCTTGTTGGCTTGCAATGTTCATAAGGATTTCCTTCGAAGCCTTCTTTGCAGTGACATATCGGATCATGGTGGTAAACTGAACACAATGCATTAATGCCACATGATCCTGGGCAGGGATCTACGCATTTATTTCTCAAGCAAGCCTTATTAAAGGCACATTCTGAATTAAACACGCATTCTGGTCTACACGCAGGATTATTTACTGCATTTGGTCCAACACAAGTGTCGCAAATTGCAAATTGATTTCCATAAGTATCACAAGGGGCGGTAGGATCGCAAGGATTAGGCGAGCATGGTTGAACAGTCGTATTATCAGATCCAATTATTATTGCTGAAATTATGAAAAGACATTTTAAATTATTTCGGCTATAATCTATTTGACTTGAGTTAGTAAAATTGAAATAAAATACTCACGTCGATAAAGACATTGAGTCAAAGGATCTCCGATATATCCATCTGGGCACAGGCAGGACACCGTGTGTTCGGAACACAAACACACTGCATGTATACCACACACGTTATTGAATGAACATGGATCTGTACACTTTTGGTTTATACAAGCTTCATTGGGTGAACAATCCGAATTCATAGTACATTGAGGTTTACATTCTACTGTTGGATCTCCAAGGAAATTAGGTGGACAAGAACATAGAGCTCTATCACCAACGTCTTGGCAAATTGCGTTTATACCACACCTTACCGTGTTACAAGGTTTTTTAGGATTAGATTTCTGATCCCCAGATGGCAAACAACTCATTAAAGGATTGCCGACAAATCCATCTGCACATACACAAACTGGTCTATGAAATTCAACACGACATTTAGCATTTATTCCACAAGCACCTGGACACGGGTCCCGACAAGTATATCCAATACAAGCTCGGTTAAGTTTACATTCATCATCTACTTCACATTCTCGAGAATGACAACCATCAACTCCATAAGCATCACCTATACTGCCTTCAGGACAAATACACAATGCTTGTCCTTCGTAGTTGACTTGACAGATGGCTTGAGGCCCACAAGGGTTGGGTGTACACGGACTTCTTTGAGGTTGGCAGCCAACATGTGGATCCCCAGTAAATCCAGTCTTACAGAAGCACATTTCCATATTGCCACTAACGTAACAATCTGCATTTGGACCACATGGGCCTGGTCGACAAAGTACGTCAGGTGGAAGGTAACCTTGTGTGTTGCACGATTTATACGGATTACCTATAGCGTTTTCAGGGCAATAACACGGTGGAGATCGGTTCGGGTCACATCGTGCTCCGATACCACAAGTATTTGGTTCACAAGGATTGCGTGATTCCACACATCCTCTAATTGTATTGGGACTTTCTATATAACCTGGTAAACATGTGCATTTTGCAAATCCATTTGATTGTATTGTGCATTGTGTGTTGGGCCCACAGGGAGACGGATTGCATGGATTATTTGGTAAGCGACATTGTTGACGAGGAGGATCTCCTTCGTAGTTGGGTAAACAGAAACAAGCAGGTTTGTTATCGATTAATCTGCATCCAGAATACGGGCCGCAAGGATTTGGTTCACATTCATTTCCTTCAGGTACTGAAATTAAAATTATGGATGGATTATGGTTAATAAGTACATTTCCAGTGTGTAATGGATCCGAAAACCTTAATAAACATTAAATCAAATCATTGGCTAATTATTCAATTACTATTGATACAATGTACATTTTTGGTATATATTAGATATACTTACTGCAATTTTTGAAAGGATTTCCTGTTAATCCTTTAGGACAGAAACAAATTGGATTGCCGTTATCACTTTCACACATTGCGTTGGTTCCACAAGGATTTGGAATACATGGATTTGTAGGTGGTTCACATCCATGTTGCGGATTTCCAGTGTAACCTGGTAGACATTTACATGATGCGCGGTGATTCAAAACGTCACATACAGCGTTTATTCCACATCGACATGGAGACCCACATTTGCCATTTATGCAGGCTTCAGAATTTGCGCATTCGTTATCTGAACGGCATCCTTGTACTGAAATAAACACAAGTATGTTACTAACAAATTATGTTAATATGCTTATTAAAATAAATCTGATTCTAAATTAACTAATCTAAAATGAAGTAATTTCATTTGTTATTAATTTTTAACTTAATTAAAAATATAATCTCACCTTGGAAACATTCAAGGAAAGGATTTCCGGTAAAACCAGCAGAGCATTTGCATTGTATACCATGATTTGCTGGGAAACATTCTGCGTTATCTCCACACTTATTTACAGCACAGGGGCTTATGCAAACTCTGTTCAATTTGTCACATAGCAGTTCTGGAGGACAGTCTTCATTGTATTGACATACTGAACCTGGTGGTATTACTAAAATAACAATATATATTACAAATTAAATAGCCCATAAATCTACACGTACTCATACGCTTGATCATTGTGATATTTACCTGGCACACATCCAACGTAGCCATTTCCTTGGTATCCTTCGACACAGCTACAGTCTGATCCATGGTTTGTGTTTATACAGACCGCATTTGGTACGCACGGATTGTGTATGGCACATGGGTGTTGACATGCATTATTTATACAAGCTTCAGTCAAGGGGCAGTCTTCATTTCGAGTGCAACCAACTGAGTAAAATGTAAGATACATATTTATAATATTGTACAAAGAGTGAACCTACAGAACCACATAGAAAGTAACAACGTGTAAAGTGATCTTAAAAAGAAATTTATAGTTAAACTTTATGTCGATATATACATACATTTAAACCAAAACCATAAAATTAATTTTAAATAGTATTTTAGTCTTTGCATTTTAGGAATGAGTATATTACAATACACCATAATAATTATTCTTAACACTAAATGTTGCTATGTAAGTAAATGACAAATTCAATGTATTTTCTATTAGTAGGTATCAGTTGAAGCTTACATATTTTAGGTGAACATTTAACAGCAGGATCTCCATCATGTCCGGCAGGGCACGAGCACATAGGCCTTTGCTTTACTGGTTGGCAATTGGCTCCTATGCCACATACGTTGTCGAACTCACAGGGATTTTGACACAATCCCATAAAACAGGCTTCGGTCTCTATACAGTCCCGATCAGAGTGACAAGGTTCTGGTACCTTGGGTGTTCCAGGTGATTCTAGTATTTTACAGTTAGATACAGAATTAGTATGTTACATTTAAAATAAAGTGCATATTAGTGTATTTACAAATTAATAACATGATTTTATTATGTCCGATCAAAGTAAGTATTCATCTGTCCGATAAAACGACCATAATATACTGGTACTGATAAAAATATAATAAATTGATAAAATGAGCTTTACACAGAAATATTGAAACCTCCTCAAGATATTCATTATTTTTAGAACCTAAAAAACAATACACCTGGTAAGCCTACCTTTGCGTGAGCAGTGGATCCCAGTGACGTCGTTACACACACAAATGGCGGCATGACCCACGACTATACATGATTCGTTCTTTGTACAACCATTGCCATCTATTTCACATGGATTCTGGCACACTTCGTTAAGGCAGGCTTTATTTGTCGGGCAATTCGAGTTTGTTTTACAGGTGTTAATATGTAAGTCAGTACTTTGTACAGTAGTCTCAGTCGAAGTCATGTCAGTTACAAGAGTTGTGTCAGTCCAAGCAGAAATATCAACAATTTTTCTACGAGATGATAAACTCTCAGTCGATGTACTTATAATTCCTGTCGACGTATGTTGTACTTTAGATGTAACGTAAATATTCGTGGATTGAGTATTTGAAGAAGCATTATCAGGCATCACTTGAGTGACCGATTCGTTTAACATACTATTATTTTGTTTAAAGTCAGTAATATTTTGTTGAAGGATAGATATTACGGTAGTATCTTCTTTATCTGGTGTGAATGTGGTGTTATCAGTATGTATGGAAGATGGTGTCATTATAATTATATCGCTTTTAGTTGTTACCGCTTCAGACGAAACATCAACATTATTTGTTACTAATGGTGATGTAATTAAGCTATTTGTCGTACTAGTGATATCGTCAGAAAATCGTGTGACTTGCGGTAAAGTTGTCGGAATGCCATGAGCGTTGGAGCTAAGCGTTGGAGTCGTGTCTCCAATAATGTTGGTAGAATCAAATGATTTAGAGGTATATGAAATAGTGCTTGTAAGGTAAGTTTCTGTCTCTAATTTGTTTTGATTTGAAACTTCATCACTTCCAAACGTCATCGTGCTTGTGTTATTTATCAAATATGAAGATGTGATAGATTTGGTGTTAAAATTTGCAGTATTATCTGATTCAGTTACCGTTTCATAATTATTGTCCAAGGTCGTTGTATCTAAATCTGTAGCAAATGGTGTTTTTTCGGGCAGCATATTGGCGGCTGTGTAAGAAATGTCTGTGGTACTAGGAATTTCCGTCCATGCCCGTTTACTGCTTGTGTCTAAAGAGGGTGTACTTGTCTGTAAATTATTATTTATTGTTGTTTTTTTCACTTCATTTTCCGTAATTTCAGTTGTTACCTTTTCTGTTTCCTTACTCGTTTCTTTGTCTAATTCGGTTGATAGAATCAATCCGTCAGTCACTATAGTTTGGGTACCTAGATCGTCCATTGTGATAGTATTTTTTGTCAAACTCTTGTAAGTTGTTGTATCTAACTTTATTTCATTTGTAAATTCTTCTTGTGTACTTTGAGTACCCAATTGTTTAGTATGTGTAATTAAATTACTGTACGTTGTAGAATCAATATTTGGTTTACTAGATTGATTCCATTCTTTTGTTACTTCTTTTTGAGCAGTTTGAGTATCAGAAGTTTCCATAATAACAAAATCTAAACTTTTACCCGTTGTTGTATCCATTTTCATATCAGTAGATCCAGTACTTGTTAATTCAGTCAATCCATCTACTACAATATTTTGTGTCCTTTCAGAGTCTAAGGTTCCTGTACTTTTTACTAAAATGTTGCTAATTGTTGTAGTGGTATCTGCATATATTTCAGTTAATTTATCTAACGTTTCTGTCGTTATTTCGTTTGTGGTTGGAGTGACTATATGGACAGTATTTTTAGCTAAGTTATTGTTGCTTGTAGTACCTAATATAAATTCAGTTGATTTAGATACTGCGCTTGTTATAATTTCTTGGGTATTTTGAGTACTAAATGTAGTTTCATCCATACTCTTATAAGTTGTCGTATCTATCATTACTTCGGTTGGTTCACTTATTCTGTCTGTTACTGTATACTGTGAGTTCAAATTTGTCGCAGTGACTGTGGATTCCACTAAATTTTTATTTGTTATAGTATGAATTTTAGATTCAGTCGATTTAAACATTCCGTTTGTTACTGTATCTTGTAGGCTTGGAGGTTCCATGGTGACAGTAGCTTCAATGTTTCTATAAGTTGTTAAGTGTATTTTGGATTCAGTTGATCCACCCGATCCATCTGTTACTATATTTCGTGGGCTCGTAGTTTCCGTCGTAATGCTTGTTTCAAAACTCTTACTCGTCGTTGTGTCTATTTTGAATTCTGTTGATTCAGTAAATCCATCAGTTACTGTTTCTGGTGGGCTAGCAGTTTCCATAGAACCTGTAGTTGCAAAGTCATTGTTAGTAATTGTGCTTATTTCAAATACAGGTGATCCATTTAATCCTTCCGTAACTGTTTCTCGTAGACTCGGAGTTTCCATAGCGACAGTAGTTTCAATATTCCTACTAGTTGTTGTGTGTATTTTAGATTCAGTTGATCCTTTCAATGCATTTGTTACTGTAATTCGTGGGTTTGTAGTTTCCGGACGCACACTAGTTTCATAATTCTTATTAGTCACCGTGCTCGTTTTAAATTCTGTTGATTCAGCTGATCCATCAGTTACTGTTATTTGTGGACTTGATGTTTCCATAGAGACAGTAGTTTCAAAATGTTTATTAGTTGTGTGTGTTTCAGATTCAGTTGATTCATCAGTTACTGTATCTCGTGGGATTGGACCTTCCATAGTTACAGTAGTTTCAAAATTCTTATTAGTTGTTTTAGTTGTTGTGCGTATTTTGGGTTCAGTTGACCCACCCAATTCGTCAATTACTGTTTCTTGTGGGCTAGATGTTTCCATAGAAACAGTAGTTTCAAAGTTCTTGTTAGTAATTGTGCTTATTTCAAATACAGTTGATCCATTTAATATTTCGTTGACTGTTTCTTGTGGAGTCGGAGTTTCCATAGCGATAGTAGTTTCAATGTTCCTATTAGTTGTTGTGTGTATTTTAGATTCAGCTAATCCGTCCAATGTATTTGTTACTGTAATTAGTGGGTTTGTAATATCCGTGCTCACAGTAGTCTCAAAATTTTTATTAGTTATTATGTGTGTTTTAGATTCAGTTGATCCACTTAATCCATCTGTTATTTTATCTCGTGGGCTCGGAGTTTCCGTAGTGACAGTAATTTCAGATGTAGATGTTAAAACGAACCCATGTACCTTGCCTGTGGTCATTATATCCGACCTATCATTTGGTTTCACTCGTTCAGTTGTATATAATCCATTATCAGTCATTCGGGTAAATCCTTTATCAAATATATTAATTTCTGATGGGATAGATCCATCCTCTGTAGTTACCAACGAAATGTCAATATCTGTTTTTTGAGCAGATTCGGTTGTAGCTAAACTAAAACTGTCAGTTTCTGAATACATATTTTCATTATTAATAAGTGTGGTTGTTGAACCAATTTCTCTACTAATAGTATCTGTGAATTGCGTATTTTCAAACGATTTTACCGTTACTGGTTCTATGCTTGCCACAGAAGTAAGATTAATTTTAAATTGCTTTATCGTTTCAGTGGTTGTAGGTTCTACTGCTGTATAAATTGACACATTTTTAACTTCGTTGGTTTTGATTTTATTAGAAGTAGTACTTGCCGTTTGACTAATATCAGTTTCTGGTAGCTCTGTAGTGGATTGAGGCTTTGTGGCAGTTTCAGCTGTAACAGCTACAACAGATATGCTCTCTGTTGACCCTAATTTATGTTCAATTCCTACATTTTTAGTTATAGTGGATGAATTAGTTGTTACGTGTGAAGAAACAGACTTATTTTCAACTTCAATAACCTCAGTCTGTACAAAATATGGTGTGTCCGTTGAAGTAACAAGATTTTGTTCAACTGTTTGCATTTTTGTTGTTTGCAAAGTAACTGTACTGTCATCTAACTTCGACGTCGAACTTTGAATGAGCGAAACGGTACATTTACTGATTGCAGGATCAAGACTACCATCTTTATCAGTTAAAATTGACCCAGTCATAGTAACAATTTCAGATTTAGTCAAATCAAATGCGTTCAAAGTAGATTTAGGGAGCATATCTGATGTTGTCACTTCTGTTGTTGATTTTAATAAATTAATATCGAATGTAGTCTTCAAGAAAGAACCAGTTTCAAGTGTAGTTGTTTCTATATTCGTCGTTTTTGAGCCCATATTATTTATTACATTGTTCTCAGCAGAAGTAATTTTCTGAGTAGAATCTGGTGTATATTCTGTCTTTTTGGAAGTTATATATTCAGATGTGTTAAGATCTGCGATATTTGGTATTGTTGTTGTAATATCTGACTTTTCAGGTTGACCTCGTGTAAATTCTGTGCTACTTAAATCCTCGAAGTTACTAACATATGGCCTAGTTACAATTTCTACCGGCAGAGCATTTTTTTCTGTCACTAGACTAATATTTTCTGATGAGTTTAAAACTGATAGTGTTCTACTAATGTCTATTGTGCTTTCAGTTACTACCGAAGTTGAGGCCGTTAATTCGAGTATGGTAGAGTGTTGATTTTTATCAACATTTTCATTTATTGATTTCAAAGTCGTAGTACCAGTATCACTTATAATGTCAGACTTTGTACTATCTATTTCAGAGACAACTGGCAAAGTTGTTTTATATTCAGTACTGGTTGCAGTAGTATGTTTTATTAAATCATAGCTGTTAGATAAAGTTGATGTAGATAAATTTTCTCGGGGTAGGTCTTCAATCAATGTAATACCTGTGTAGTTGCTATTCATCTTACGTTGATTTGTAGGAGTTTTTGTATTTTTATTTTCAATCGGTGCAACAGAAGAAGGATTACTTTCAATAATCTTTTCAGTAACTGGTTTCATTGTACTCTCGACATGAATAGTACTACTACTGGGAAGAAGAACGTCCGAATCGATTGATGAATAATTTTCTATATTGGTATAGGGTGTGGTCATTTGGGTTGTGAAATCATTGATATGGTGGCCAGTAGTAATGTCAGTTGATATACTGGCTTTATTACCCGTATCAATATTTGCATCATTTTTTGTAAATAATGTATTGGCTACTACATCAGAAGGACTTATAGTGTCTTGAACTAATGTAGCTCTGACAGTACTTTCTGTTGTACTCGCAGAATGTTTCACATCATCGATTCCAACTACTGTGACTAAATCTTTATCGGAGACAGAAGGACTTGTAATGTCATGAACGAATGTGGCTGTGACAGTACTTTCTGTTGTACTTGAAAAAGGTTTCATATCATCGATTGCAACTACTGTGAATAAATCCTTATCGAAAATAGAAGTACTTGTAGAATCGTGAACTAATGTACCTGTGACAGTACTTTCTATTGTATTTGGAGAATGTTTCATATCATCGATTCCACCTACTGTGACTAAACCTTTATCGGTAACAGAAGGACTTTTAGTGTCGTGAACTAATGTAGTTGTGACAGTGCTTTCTGTTGTACTTGCAGAATGTTTCATATCATCGATTTCAACTACTGTGGCTAGACCTTTATCGGAAACAAAAGGTCTTGTAATGTCATGAATGAATGTAGCTGTAACAGTACTTTCTGTTGTACTTGCAAAATGTTTCATATCATCGATTCCAACTACTGTGACTAAATCCTTATCGGAAACAGAAGGACTTGTAGAATCGTGAACTAATGTAGCTGTGACAGTAGTTTCTATTGTACTTTGAGAATGTTTCATATCATGAATTCCACCTACTGTGACTAAATCATTATCGGTAACAGAAGGACTTGTAGTGTCGTGAACTAATGTAGCTGTGACAGTGCTTTCTGTTGTCCTTGCAGAATTTTTCATGTCATCGATTCCAACTAATGTGGTTAGACCTTTATCGGAGACAGAAGGACTTGAAGTGTCGTGAACTAATGTAGCTGTGACAGTACTTTCTGTTGTACTCGCCGAATGGTTCATATCATCGATTCCACCTACTATGACTAAATCCTTATCGGAGACAGAAGGACTTAAAGTGTCGTGAACTAATGTAGCTGTGACAGTACTTTCTGTTGTACTCGCAGAATGTTTCGTATCATCGATTCTAACTACTGTGACTAAATCCTTATCGAAAACAGAAGGACTTGTAGAATCGTGAACTAATGTAGCTGTGACAGTACTTTTTATTGTACTTGGAGAATGTTTCATATCATCAATTCCACCTACTGTGACTAAATCTTTGTCGGTAACAGAAGGACTTGTAGTGTCGTGAACTAATGTAGCTGTGACAGTGCTTTCTGTTGTACTTGCAGAATGTTTCATATCATCGATTCCAACGACTGTGACTAAATCCTTATCGGAAACAGAAGGACTTATAGTGTCGTGAATTAATGTAGCTGTGACAGTACTTTCTGTTGTACTTGCAGAATGTTTCATATCATCGATTCCAACTACTGTCGTTAGACCTTTATTGGAGACAGAAGGACTTGAAGTGTCGTGAACTAATGTAGCTGTGACAGTAGCTTCTGTTGTACTCGCAGAATGTTTCATATCATCAATTTCAACGACTGTGACTAAATCCTTACCGGAAACAGAAGGACTTGACGTGTCGTGAACTAATGTAGCTGCGACAGTACTTTCTGTTGTACTTGCAGAATGTTTCATATCATCCATTCCAACTACTGTGGTTAGACTTTTATCGGAGACAGAAGGACTTGAAGTGTCGTGAACTAATGTAGCTGTGACAGTAGTTTCTGTTGTACTCGCAGAATGTTTCATATCAGCGATTCCAACGACTGTGACTAAATTCTTATCGGAAACAGAAGGACTTATAGTGTCCTGAACTAATGTAGCTGTGACAGTAGCTTCTGTTGTACTCGCAGAATGTTTCATATCATCAATTCCAACGACTGTGACTAAATCCTTATCGGAAACAGAAGGACTTGACGTGTCGTGAACTAATGTAGCTGCGAAAGTACTTTCTGTTGTACTTGCAGAATGTTTTATATCATCCATTCCAACTACTGTGGTTAGACGTTTATCGGAGACAGAAGGACTTGAAGTGTCGTCAACTAATGTAGCTGTGACAGTACTTTCTGTTGTACTCGCAGAATGTTTCATATCATCGATTTCAACTACTGTGGTTAGACCTTTATTAGAGACAGAAGGACTTGAAGTGTCGTGAACTAATGTAGCTGTGACAGTACTTTCTGTTGTACTCGCAGAATGTTTCATATCATCGATTCCAGCTACTGTGACTAAATTCTTATCGGAAACAGAAGGACTTATAGTGTCCTGAACTAATGTAGCTGTGACAGTACTTTCTGTTGTACTCGTAGAATGTTTCATATCATCGATTCCAGCTACTGTGACTAAATCTTTGTCGGTAACAGAAGGACTTGTAGTGTCGTGGATTAATGTAGCTGTGACAGTACTGTCTGTTGTACTTGCAGAATGTTTCATATCATCGATTCCACCTACTGTGACTAAATCTTTATCGGTAACAAAAGGACCTGTAGTGTCGTAAATTAATGTAGCTGCGACAGTACTTTCTGTTGTACTTGCAGAGAATTTAATATCATCGATTCCACCTACTGCGACTAAATCTTTATCGGTAACAGAAGGACTTGTAGTGTCGTAAATTAATGTAGCTGTGACAGTACTTTCTGTTGTTCTTGCAGAATGTTTCATATCATCGATTCCACCTACTGCGACTAAATCTTTATCGGTAACAGAAGGACTTGTAGTGTCGTGAATTAATGTAGCTGTGACAGTACTTTCTGTTGTACTTGCAGAGAATTTAATATCATCGATTCCACCTACTGTGACTAAATCTTTATCGGTAACAGAAGGACCTGTAATGTCGTGAATTAATGTAGCTGTGACAGTACTTTCTGTTGTACTTGCAGAGTATTTAATATCATCAATTCCAGCTATTGTAACTAAATCTTTATCTAAAACTGAAGGACTTGTGGTGTCGTGAACTACCGTAGCTGTTACGGCACTTTCTGTTGTACTTACAAAATATTTATTATCGTCGACTACTGTGACTAAATCTTTACCAGAAACAGTATGTGAGGTAGGAGTCATAGTATCATCAGATGTAAATGTTTCAGTATACGCTGTTATGTGTAATCCTTTTCCATCGCCAGATACTGTATTTGATACGTCATGGGAAATACTAGAGCCCCATGTAGACTCTGTAGTAGTAGATTCAAAAACCTTATATGTAATTGTTTGTGTGCTAGGTTCTTCATCTACTTTATCATCAAAAGTTGAATAAGTCGGCTTTTCAGTTAGTGTCGTTGATATTAAGCTTCTAACAGTAAGTGTATCGTCTGTGGTTGTATAATCGGTCATGATAGTATTAGAGGTTTTATGACGGAAGTTATTGGTATTTGCAAACTGTGGAATATTGTCAGTAGGTGTAGTCGAGTCTATAGTAGTGGCAGAATCACTGCTTCCTCCTGGTGTAGTAGTGTTTTCGGTTAGTGGGACAAAAGTTCCATCTGTTAATAGGAATTGACAATACCATTATTAATCGATTTTATATAAACAAACTACTTGTTCAAACACAATTTCTAAAATTTCAAAGAAGGTGGGAAATAGAATTATTGTGAAGTATAATATTTTACAAGTTAAAGCGTAATATTTATGAAAATCTAACTACGATAGTGCTCTAATGCGTGCTCTAAAGTACTAAACTACTACATATAGAAAGGTAAAGTGAGAAGAAGAACAATAAGAAGAGTGACGAGTTTAGGCTTAATAGACCAACTAAATAGTAAGAAAGTGTGCCAGTAGATAGTATTTAGCTGCAGTGTTATAATATCTTATAATTATAAGAAATTAAGAAACATAAACTTTGCGGAATGGTATTCTTGGAAGTAATTTATCATTTCGGTCTTTAAGCCTAAAGCCGTATCCGGACGTCAAACAAATAGTCCTGTGAAACTAACACCGTCTTAAAGTGTTTCGGAGTATGTAAGTACCGTACAAAGAATTGCCTGCCGGGTCTGCCGAGGTATCGTAGCCAGTATTTTGTGGCGTTTTATCGGACAAATGGTAGATAAAAAATTATAGCAATGACCAGTTCATCTGGAGTTAGTTTTGCTATTCACATAATAAATAATAGTAGTTGCAGACTTGCAAGTATTACAGCCAAAGTCCACGAAACATCAATTATGTGAAAATAGCATTACGATAGGTACAGAAGGCTCAATCGTAACGTAAATATTGTTTAAACACAGTTAGCTTAATTCAAATTAGCAATGTTAACGTCATAATTAGCATTATAAATGGTAGTTCATTATATACAATACATATCACTTACTTTCCATGCAGGCGCCAGAGAACGGATCGCAAGGTACTCCCGGCCGACAATGGGCACAGTTTGTGGGTGGGTGTCGTTCCTCTGCGCAACACAAAGGAGACTTAATGTAAGAGATGTAAGAGGTTATATATGTATCAACTTTTTATTTCGAAGGTAGAACGTTCTTAGAAGCATATTTTGGCTGGCGTCAGGTACGTGTTATGCAAATTTACAATGTCGTCACAGCGTCCCTCCGTATCAAATATAATCAATAGTTTCCCATAACAAATAGATAATACTTGTAAGTTAAAGATAAACTAACCTCGAATACAAGCACAGCCGTCACAGAAGGTATTGGGATATCTCGCGCAATCCGACGATGTTTGGCACTGACACACTGCACAAAAATACAAGTTAAGAATAGATATATACATATAGAATAGATATCTCTAGCACTTACTCAATCCAAATAATCGGATTATTTTCATTGGTTATATACCTGTAATATTGGGATGCAATTTGGATAAAGCCCAATGTGTAATGTAAACTAAAGATTTTAGGGGTAATCAGAATCTTACTAGAATAGTAGGTTTGATATGTTACCCTTCGAGCAAACAGGTTGGTGATCGAGCACGGCGCAGTGTTGGCCGTTGATACAAGGGCCACCGCGAGCGCATGGGTCTGCACAACGGCCGCCGATACACGCCAGCGTTGGAGCGCAGTGCTCGTGACCGCCGCACTCTGTCGCTGTACATATAAACTTTTATAAGTATATTTAACAATTTTATTCGGCTCAAACGTTTCTCTCGTTTTCTAAGTAAATATATACTTATTAATTGCTTTCTAAAAATACTACCACTAACAAAAAATTGGGAACTTTCAAAATTTTACTATATTTGTATTGTAACTTTCGTGAGACATACTAAATAAATTATTAATATTGATTTAATAATCAGGAGTTCAACGAATTATATATTATTATAAGACCCTGCTGAATAAAATATAGACAGGGTTGTAAAGAAAAAAATACTTAAAGTATAAAAATAAATAATACCGTGTAAATAAAAAGTAATTCCACAGTCAAATGCATACCAATTATGCATTACCATAATCGCAAACATTGAAAATCAAATGTTTTACCAATTACGCAAGTACGTAATGAAAAGTAGGAGGTACCGCAATAAATGGCTTTTTAAAAGGATTAATCATGAGAAACAGGGAAAATTGGCAATAAATATTTTTCCCTTTAAAGAAATTAAATAATTTAAGAGATAAAATAGCTGTCATCACACTATATATTTGTAATATATACGTACATATGTATTGTGTAGTAGTAGTAGGCATTCTTAATTATTCTGCAAACTCTGTCTCGTGGCGGTTTTTTGCATAACGTATTAATGCCAAAGCGTTAAAAGCATTAAGAGTAATTTTAATTAGGGCATCCGACACCATAATGAGCGTGAAATTAATTTAAAAGTGAATAATATGTACACTACAATAAAAATAACATGCAAGAAAATCTACCTGATGCAGAAAGAACTGACATACAGACAGACATACTGTGGAGTAAGATATATATGAACATGCTAGAAACAACAGAAAACAAAGATAGAAAAGAACCGCATGAGAGTAGAAACTATAAAAAAATCCTGTAATAATGAAGAACAACAAGATTATTAAGATCCATAAAAGACTCTAATATACTAATGGGTACACTAATATTTTAACTTTTTGCTCTCTATAGAATTACCTTTAACGCAGCCATGTTTCTCATCGTGTGTGAATCCTTTAGGACAAAACTTGCAAACGGGGTGGTGATCTTCTACTGAACATGGAGCACCACCACAAGCGCCTTTGCATGGATCCTTGCATTGAAAATCTCTGCATGCTAAGTTACTTGGGCAACCGCTGTCTCTCAAGCAAATTGATAATGATGGATTACATTCTTCAACACATACGCACATAGCTCGATGATCTACTACTTCACATTGCTTTCCTTTCGGGCACATTGGCTCGACAGATGCTTGGCAGGGATTCACACACTTGGAATTACGACAGGCCGCATTTGATGGACACTGTTCGTCTCTTGTACATTCTGCATGTTCTGGCGCACAAGTCAATTCTCCTCTTTCATTCAAAGCAAATCCATTCCGACATACACAAATAGGTCGGTGATCTCGTACTTCACATTTCTGATTTAGTCTACAGTTTTGATATCCAAGGCATGGGTTGCGGCACTGATTGGTGCTGAGATCACAAGCCAGTTTCGAAGGGCAAGATTTAGTTTCAGAACATGTGAATGTGGTATTGTTTTCGTTAGTGGATTTGCACGTAGGGTCGAGGCGGCACGCAACACGCGGTTGTCCGACATAGCACTGTGGGCAGGAGCACTGCGCTTTGTGCATCAGGGTCACACACAGGGCATCTTCTCCACATACACCTCGTACTGTGCAGGGGTCCACACAGTGTAAGCTGAGACACGCTCTGTCTACTGGGCAATCCTTGTCGCTCGTACATTCGATACCTAGGAAGATGTGAAAGAAGAAAGCAGAGTCGAAAGAGCGGTACCTTCAGCCGCGAAGAGGAAACTTTCTCACGAGACAGTGCATGCTTTTTGAAACTGATAGTTTATGACCAGAGATAATGTATATAACGGAATATTATAATACAAGCGATATGTACATGAAGCCGAACAAAATGTTACTGACGATTTGATAACTTAAGCACGAACGGTGAGAATGCTTCCACTAATTAAACATACCGTTACGTACAGATATGTTAAGGCATCAAAACTTAATGGCAAACATATTTGTACACAAAGTATTTTTCTATTAGCTTTAGGTAATTAGAATCATTCCTTCATAATAAGGGTTTCCTAAGGATGTTTGCATTGCTACGCAAAAATATATATAAATTTCAATATAAACTTCCTTTGGTACCCACGCCTATGTATCAGAGATGAACTTAGACCCATTAAAATACTATTTGTATTTACAAATATGTGGTAGAAGACCTATCACGGAAAGTTGGTATCATAAACCTATATTACATATTTGAAATTATTTATAATGTTCAAAAATAAGACCACGCTGATAACCTTAATTATGAATAGGCCTAAATCTTTAAAATGACAAAACTCAATTTAAGAAAGTACAGACAGACTGTACAGAGTGCGTTTATACATGGTGTCAAAACGATCGACAAAATCTATGGTATTTACTCACTGGTGTGACATTCGACATCAGCTTGTCCTTCTGTTCCGGGAATACAACGACATACAAATTCTGCACCTTCTCTTAAGCATTCACCATTAATTCCACAACCAGTCGTTCTACAATCAACTACACTGCGCTCCTGGGCACCTGAAATTGTTTAAACTGATTTTAAAATGGTTTCATATCTAGAATGTAGTTTAAGTTTTGTACTGCATACATGATAATTATAATCACACAATAAAGGATGAGTTTTACAACATACAAGCACATTACGTCCATATCGCATACTAAAAGCACATGCCAATTGTAAGGAAATTATATAGAAACAATTAGATACTTACATTCTATATTTGGATCACCATTAGGATAGTTTCGTGGACAGAAGCACTGTGCCTCTCCATGTGCACCGATATGACACTCCGCATTAGTGCCACATGATTTATATGCACACGGTTCCATTGCACCGCAGAAACATTGTTTGTGAGGATTGCCTGCACAGTTTGGTGGACACGTGCACTCATATTGGCCTTCCTCTAAGTCACGGCACCGTGCACTCACCCCACAAGGATTTCGTAAGCAGCTACCGGCCGGTGGCTTGGAACACTCAATCTTTGCATTTCCAATGTAATTTGGTGGACAAGTACATTGAGGATTTCCATCTACTGCTCGGCATATAGCATTGATACCACAGGCCCCTGTACATACATTTTTGCACATGCCATCCGCACATTTTTCGTCCGCATCACAATCGTCATTATTAGAACATTCGTATTGTTTACATTCTTCACTAGGATCACCGGTGTATCCGCTGGGGCACTTGCATATAGCGCGATGTTTAATGGCAAAACAAGCGGCATTCTCGCCACAAACGTCTTCTCGGCAAGCTTTCACGCAAAGTTTCGAAGAACATAACATATCATCACCACAATCTGCATCGTAATTACATCCCGGAATGCAAACATTTTCTTGGCAAATTTGTCTTTCTGGGCATTTATTCGGCACAGTACATGTAGATCTGCAAGCTCCATTGTAACACTTCTCTCCACATGAACACTCGGAATCGGTTTCACAAAGTGAGACACAATAACCACTGTCATCACATGGACAAAAGCCGTCACATAGCATTGTTTTCCTTTTACACTCAACAAGAGGATTGCCGGTGTAATTACTGGAGCAACTGCACTGAGCGCGGTGATTTTGGACTTTACAGTCGGAACAGATTCCACACACTGCCTTTTCACTACAGGGATCTACGAACAAGTGAAACATTATGCTGATTATTACATTTACTTAGTTTTAAATAAATTATTATTATTGCCAAAAATCGCAGTAATACCTTTGCATTGTCCATTTAAACATGCTTGATTAATGTCGCATTGGTTATCGTCTCGACAGCCCTGCTTACAAATCCTACCATCGCAAATGTAACCTTCGCTGCAGGCTTCATTGCTGTTACATACCACTCTGCATATACCACGAATACATTTTTCATTGGATAAACAAACGCTGTCACTGAAATTGTAATACACGATTAAAAAATGAAATAAATGGCCATTATAAACGTTATAGTTTATTTGTTTGGATGTTTGAACGTCGAACACGCTGAAACTACAGAACAGATTTCAATGCAATTTGGTATACAGGTAGGGTAAGGGCTGACTTAGCTGATAGGATACTTTAGGATTTTTATTCTGATTAAATGTGCCCATAGGATAAAACAGGAACACGCAGGCGAAGCCGCAGGTATAAGCTAGTTATTTATAGTGCAGACTTGTCAAACATCATGGGTCATTTATATTTTATCTTATATCTCTTACCTTCTACAAGATGGTTGACAAGTTCCTCCATAGCAATTGAAACCATCACGACAGTTCTCATTGTCCTTGCAAGGCGAAATTTTTCTCCGACAAACAGTTTTTGGATCTCCGAACAAACTCGGTGGGCATGTACACACAGGTTGATGATCTTTCGTCGTACAAAGGGCATTAGCTCCGCATGTAGCGGGTTCAGTACAAGGATCCACACATTGCCCTGATAAGCAAGCCAGCTGACTTGAGCAATCGGAATGTGAGCGACAACCAGTAACGCAAATGCGTCCGTCACAGACCTCTTCGTCAGAACACTGTTCATCTGAGGTACAGGCATATCGACAAACTCCGGCATCACACCGTTCGCCTTGAAGACATTGGGAGCCATCTGATGTGCAGGCAGGACGACAGCGATCATCTTCACATCGCCAGCCGGTAGAACAGTCAGTGTGCATTTGACATGATAACGAAGGAGCTCGTACACATCCGATGTTAGGTGTTGGGTTAGGTATTAAACCTTCTAGGCATGTACAAGAAGCTTTTCGTTCCACTACAGAGCAGGCTGCGTTCGGCCCACAAGGATTAACATCATTGTCACAAGGATTTTGGCAGACATTATTTTTGCAAAACTCCTCCGGTCCACAATCTTCATCGTGCCTACATCCATACTGACAACTGTTTCCTAAACATATATGTCCCAAGAAACAATCGTTGTCTACGCGACATGTTACTGTAAACAAATAAATTGATGTAAATGTTTGTTAAGACGACGATATTATGTAAAAATAGTATTCACTAAAACATTTGTGCATCTGTAAAATCTTAATATATAAAACTCGTGTCACAATGTTTGTCCTCAATGGACTCCTAAACCACTTAACCGATTATAATAAAATTCGCACACCATGTGTAGTTCGATCCAACTTGAAGGATAGGATAGTTTAAATCTCAAATTATAGTTGCAATTGTAATTTATTGCTAATTATTTGTCTGTTATTATTTGACAGTCACAATTATCTGTTAACTCCAAATGATTCTAACAGATGTCGATACCTTTCGACTGGGTTGAGTAAGTAATCAATAAATGACGCTGCTCTGGGTTTTTTTAATAGAAGGAGTGATTCTTAAGGAAGGTTTATATATATAATGCATGCATATTGCACCCGTGCGAAGCCGGGGTGGGTCGCTAGTTTACTAAGAAATTTACGAATAATATTTTATTAACTACTACACAATGGCCGAAGTGATCGAGCTTCTGCGTAACATGTCGTGGGTTTGATTGCCGCACGAAACAATCCTATTGCGATTCACAATTTTTTGATCTGGGTCTGACGTTAAATACTTACGAACTAATTGTTGAGCAAATAAATTTAAGTTAGACAATATTTAAACTTACACAAGCATGTCCCTTTAGAACATCTTTCATTCAAGGCACATTCTTCATCGGCTTTACATTTGGGCACACACATGGAATCTTGACACATATAACCATCTTCACATTCTCCTGCTGCTCCGCACAATCTCGGCACTAAAGAATAAACGCAAATAAATTAATAAATAAACTTATCGAATAATATTTACAAATTACGATGCGAAGGTTTTAATTTGACTTACTTCTAACACACTCCACGTCTTGATTTCCTGTAAAACTCTGGGGGCAACTACACTGAACTACATGATTATCAGTGCGGCAGAGAGCATTCAATCCACAAGCTTTTTCCATTTGGCATGGATTTACACATTGGCCATTGAAACACTTTTCAGTTGATCCACATTCTTCATCCACAAGACACAGACCTAAATAATATAAAATGCGAAATAAGTAATTATGTATGTTGTATAATCATTACAAATGTTTAAGATAATATTTTAAGAACTTACTTTTGCAAAGCCCATTGCGGCAGTATTGGTCTTCTCCACAATCGCTTCTTTGTTTACATGTCACTTCCTTAAGTTTACAACCTTTTTCACTAGATGCGTTACCAACATAACCGTTCTTACATTTGCACTGGCCAGTGTGTCTTGATGCAATGCATTCAGCGTTAGCACCACATTTGGTAGTTTCACAGGCATCTATAACACAACATGAATAGTTAAAACATTATACTCTTGCTTTCCTCCTTCCGGCAAAAAATCGCAAAGAATATCTCCAGTACAAAGATTGTGTTCAAATTGTTTCAGTACGGAAAACAAATAAAAAAACAAAAGAATGCACGTACTGAATATTTAACTAACCTGTACATTTACGAATCCCGTCGACAACCGTACAGCGAGCTACAGGGGGACAGTCTCTATTGAATCTGCACTCTTGAGCTTTGCGACAACCTTCTTCATAAGGATCTCCGACATATCCAGCGGGGCAAGCACATTGAGCTCGATCTCGTAGATTTTTGCATTCTGCACCATTGCCACAAGGATTAGAAGCGCATCTATTAATTTTAATGCAGCCAATTTTAGGGTCACCTGTATAACCGGGTTGACAGTAACACACGTGTTTATGTTTCTCCGAAGAACAGATGGTGTTGTCGCCACACGTATTTTCCACTAAACACGCGATTTTACACATATTTTGGTGGCATTGTTTATCATCAGTACATTGAACGTCACTTTCGCATTCTTTTCTTTTACATCCCTGTAGAGGATCTCCGAAGAAACCGGTTGCACACGAACATGTAGGTTGATGGTTTTTACCGACACAGATTGCCTGTCTTCCACATGGATGCCTTTCACATACTTTGATGCATTGTGGTACACCTTTTCTTCCCACAGTACATCGTTCGTCATCAGCACAATCTTCATTTGTTAAACACTGTACTTCCTTTGTACAAATTCTGTTTAAGCAAAATTGAAAATCTGGGCAGGTACTGTTCGAGTTACAAGTGACTCGACATGTATTTTGAATACAGAGTTGGTCATTCAAGCAATCTCTTGAATTTTTGCACATACCTAGAAAGATTACAGTTATCAATCATATTAAAGTCAATAACAAGTTTGATAACACAAGCAATAACACAAGCAATACAAAAAACTTACCAACACATAGATTGTCAACACACTTTGTTCCTGATGAGCACCTGCTGTCATCTGTGCAGTATTGAATAGGAACACAACCAAGAACAGGATCTCCCGTATAACCAGATGAGCAAGTGCAGTGCCCGATATGATTTCTTGAAAGACAGTCTGCATTTTTGCCGCACGCACGAGGTATACTACATGCATTTTTGCATTTGTAGTTAACACAGGCCTCTTCAGACGAGCAATCACTATCTTTGATACATTCAAATTTAGTACATTGCTTGTAAGGATCACCTTGACTGTCTGGTGGACATTCACATATTGGATCGTGTTTGGACACTATGCACTCAGCATTTTCACCACATGGTGAAGATTTTTCACAAGGATCGATGCAGTAATTATTAAAACATTTAGTTTTTTCCGAACAGTCTCCATCTGAGAAACATTCACCAGGAGATCTGCAGTTTCCGGTGCTTGTATCTAACACAGTTCCATTAACACAAGTACAACTATAGGAACCACGATTGTTCACACAGTGCGCGTTCAAAGGACATGGGTTACTCAAGCACTCATTTATATCTTGACAAACATTGTTTACTAAATCAAACCCAGTCTCACAAATGCACAAAGCTTTGTGGTCTTCTATTGTACATGTTCCGCCTTGGCAATAGGTTTCCTCACATTTGTCTGTAAACAAAATAATAACGTTAGGTATTATATATATGTTTTTAAAAAATGTATCAAAAAGAAATTATGTATATCTTTAAAACATTGTACATACCAGAACACTTATTATTTCTTGTATTGCAGAATTTATCGCTGGAACAACTAGAGTCATCTATACATTCCACCTTGAAACATCCGATTTTTTTATCGAGTGGATTCCCGAGAAAGCCTTTTTCACAAGCGCAAGCTACTCTATGTTTTACAACTGTGCACAATGCGTTTAAACCACAAGTCTTAATTTGACATGGATTAGAACATTTTCCTCTTATGCAAGCCAATGACTCTTCGCATTGATTATCACTTCTACATTGATTTGGTAATAAACAACCACTTGTATAGGGATCACCGATGGCACCAACTGAGCAAACACATGTGTAAGAACCTGGTGTATCGACACATTGTGCTGATGGATGACAGGGATTATTAACACATTCGTTTACGTTTGTACATTCGTCGCCTATTAGCTCAAATCCAGGAAGGCACTGGCACTTATCTGACTTACACAACTGATTATTTAAGCAGTCAGAATCGGTTTTACATCCTGGAATACATATGCCAGAACTGCAGTGTTCACCATGTAAACAGTTGCTACTTGAATGACAGATTTTGTGACATCTACTATCACTGCATTTTTCTCCAATAGCACAACCAGAATTATCTTGGCACGGTACTTGACAAAGGTATCCAATGCACATGTGGTCTGGCGGACACTCTGATGTTCTCGAGCATGAACTTGGTTTTCTAACACAACCCTGTTGAGGATTAGGTGTTCCTTGAAATCCAAGAGGGCATTCGCATTTGGTACTGTGATTAATTCTGGAACAAATTGCATTTGGACCGCATGCTCTGGTGGACAAGCATGGATTTACACACTTGTTGTTAACACAAGCTTCTTCGCTAGGACAGTCTTCTTGACTTCTACAGCCAATAAGACATTGTCCGCTTACACAGGCTTGTCCTATGCCACATTGGGAATGTTTAGAGCATTGTGTTATACATAAATTTTTAGCACAAGCTTCTCCTGGATCACATTGGCTGGAATTTTTACAAGCTGTGAAACATTGGCCACTAGAACAAACATCGCCATTGCACTCCTGTTCATTTGAGCAAACCAAAAGCTTTTTCTTACAAGTATTGCCTTTTATCATTTCATAACCATCAGGACAAACACAAATTGCTTTTCTGTCGACTACTTTACATAATGAGTTAATTCCACAAGCACCATCACAGGGATTGACACATCGGTTGTTAACGCATGTGGTTTCTAACGGACAGTCATCATCACCTTTAGTACATTGATCTTGTCTTCTACAACCTCCATTGCGACTATCTTCGACAAAACCTGTTGGGCACCTGCATACATATGATGAATGTCTTGGTTCACATATAGCAGTAGAATGGCAGGGATTGGGATTGCAAACTTCGATTTTTCGGCAGTTAACATCTGGTATAGGATCTGGTTTATAGCCATTAGGACACTGACAAGTAGCTTTATGGTTTTCAGCAATACAAACAGCATTATCACCGCATGAATCTTCTCCACAAGCATTCATACATGTATGTGTCATACGGTTGCATAATTCATTGGACAAGCAATCTGCATTATAAATGCAAGGTACCGACTGACATCCCTTTTCTAAATCATTTGGGTTTCCGGTAAATGGACCCGAGGGACACTGACATTTTGCAATGTGATTGTTGGTAACACAAATGGCATTGGGGCCGCATATTACTTGTTGACATGCAGACACACATTTTTTAACATCACCAATATGTTTACATACTTCATTTTCCCTGCACTGTACATCATCTGAGCATTGATTTTTGTCGATAGCTATACATCCATCGCGATTATTTGGATTACCAACAAAACCAGCCAAACATTCACATTTACTTTTGTGATTTCTCGTCAAACACTTTGAATTTTGTGGACAAGTAAATAGCAGACAGCTGTCTTCACATTTATTAACTCCAAGTACATCTTTTTGACAAGACTTATTATCATCGCAGTCATCGTCTGATACACAATTTGGAGTTGAGGGTTGTTCACAAATAGAACTGATGGGATTCCAAAGAAAACCATCTTTACATTCACAGCCGGGATTGTTATCTATAACTCGACAAACTTCGTTGGCACTACAGGCTATTGTTGAGCAAAGATCGAAACATTGCTTTGCAGTGCCGTCTACTGAAATGCAAACTTGAGGTTCGTTGCAATCGCTATTTGCGTTACATTTCATTTCGTGAGGTTCTTGAACAAGTAAATGGCAACCCGTTTTAACATCAGTAGGCTTTCCAACATATCCTTCTGCACAAACACAGTGAGCTTGATGGTTAGCTCCTATACATAGTGAGTTTGGACCGCATTGCAACTTACTACATGAGTCCACACACTTACGGACATTTTTAGCTACTTGGAAACATATCTCGGAATCTTTACAGTCCCCATCTACCATGCATTTATTTTCAGGCATGCAGCCTCTTTCAATGTCATTAGGATTGCCACTGTGGCCTGGAAGGCAATGACAACTTCCTTCTTCGCATATAGATTTAGGACCACACATCATCGTACGACAAACATCGACACATTTAGATTTTTCACAAATGTATCCTTCAGGACAGGTAGCGTTATGAGAGCAAGTACAAATGGCACCATCGACACATTTGGGAATAGTTACTTGTGAGCACAATTCGTAAGGATTTCCAACATATCGACTTTTGCATATACAACTGAAACTTCCGGGTGTGTTTATGCAAATAGCATTTTCTCCACATGGTTTACTATTGCATTCATCTATGTCAGTGCATTGTATATTAGGATTTCCTACGTAGCCTGGAGGACACAGACATTCAACATGAGATCTCGTTTGTTGGCAAACTGCATTAACACCACAGGAGGCTTTAGCACATGTTATTTGTCTGCGAGGTAGACATGTTTTATATGGGTTGCCGGTAAATCCTTTGTTACATTTACATGCATTGTTTTGTCCATAAACACAATGAGCATTTTGACCACACCCAGGTTCACAAGATGGAGGTGAAATAGCTGCAAAACAATAACGAAGTTAATTTTAAATCTCTATGCTGTTAAACGAAAAATATCAAAGGAAAATAAATGTGCTACTTACGAGGCATGCAGAGTAAGTCTGGATTACCAACGAAAAATGCATTACAAACACATTTGCCGCTCTGTTGGTCACATGAGGCGCCAACTCCACAAACAACACCATCACAACGTTGTCTGCAACGGCCAGCAACACACATCAAAGGCTGTTCACAAGGCACGCCAGGTCCACAAGTATCTCGTCTGCATGCTCCTCCGGGGAACGGATTGCCTACCATACCTTCAGGACAAACGCATGTTGGCCCAGTCTTTGATATGATGCATTGAGCACCAGAAGCGCATGAATATGTGTCACATCCTAAAAAATATATAAATTATTACTGAATATTCAATAACGTATGGACTAAGCCCTCTTTTGTAGAAGAAGTAATAGTTCAGCATTCATAATAAATTATACTTTCTTCATTATCAACAAAGTGATGAAGAAAACAAAGAAATAATTAAATAGAGCGTACCAGAAATGCATTTGCCACCTTCAGGTTTGGTGTAACCAGGATTACAACGACACCACGCCGCATGATTGTCCACTTCACAAAAGGCGTGTGATCCACACGAAACAGTTGTACAAGGAGATAAGCAAGAGCTATTCAGACACGCGAGCGTATTAGGACATTCCTCGTCTGAACTGCATAAACGTTTTTCTGATGGAATTTCTTCGGCCGCACCTAAACAAATAAATAAACTTATTATAACTCGATATTACGTACGATAAAATGCGCCAAAAGTTACTTTTATGTAATCATACTTACATCCCGATTTGTAGGGATCACCAACCATGTTAGCAGGGCATTCACAGCGATATCCACCTTTCTGGTCGTGGCAAATCGCACCAAAAGCACACGGTGCACTATGGCACTCATTAATATTTGTACATCCCGTGTAGGGGTCTCCTTCAAATCCGGTCATACACATGCATCGCGGAGGGTCACTTGGGGTACACTTAGAATTAATTCCGCAAGTAAATCTTTCACAGGGATTTTTACATTTTTGGCCATCTGATACATCTAAATAAAATGGTGGTGGACAAACACATTTTCCAGGTTGAATACATTTTTCATTCGGGAAACAATCTGAATCACTGATACATCTCTTTTGATTCAACGTGCAATGCCCAGTTATTGAATCTTGACTATAACCATTTGGACATTTACATGTAAAAGATCCAATTGTGTTTACACATTCTGCACCAAATCCACAAACTGATTGTCCTGATGTACACTCATCAATATCATCACATGACCCTTCAGCTGTTTGTGTAAAACCGATCGGGCAAGCGCAATAACTTACTCCGTCGGAAATTACAATACATTCTGCACCTTTTCCACATTTATTATCTTTTGTGCAGCCGGAAAGCACACAACTACCATCGATTACTTTGTAAGGTGGTTGGCACTGGCAAGTAATATCACTGCATAACTCACAAAGGTTGTAAGGGTTTCCGCTATATTCTGCAGGACATTTACATTCATAGCTGCCAGGTAAATTCTTACAAATAGCATTAAGGCCACATGGCGATCGACCGTGATGGGTACATTCATTAATATCTTCGCATATTCCAGTTTCTTTGCTTCGTGCAAATCCTTGTGTACAAACACAAACATTTTCTCCATCGTGTAAAATGCATTGTTCACCCTGAGGACACGGATTAGTGCTACTGCATTCAATCGGACGTATACTAGGTATGCAGCCATCCACATAAGGGTCCCCATTAAATGTACCCGGACACTCACATAAGAAACGTCCGGGGAGATTTTTACAAACTGCTCCAACACCACAAGGATTTTCAATACATTCATTAATATCTTGACAACCAGTTGGTGATAATGGATCGCCAGCAAAACCACTTTTACACGTACACTGAGCGACCTGGTCATTTAGTAAACATTCCGAATTACTTCCACATTGCAAAGCTTCACAGGGGTCTGTAAAAGAAAAATGTATCAGATTGTAAATTATATTTAAATAACATATATGTTATTGAATATGTTTGGACAATGATTACTTACGCCTGCATTCATTTCCAACATTCGGCTCTGGGCATAAACATCTCGAGTTAGGGTCGCACACTGCATTTCCGGGGCATTCATTATCAGATTTACAAGTAAGTATTTCGACACATCGTACTCTAGGGTCTGGATCTGGTATACTACCTTCAGGGCATTCACAAGAATACGATCCATCACGATTAATACAATCGGCTCCAATACCACAAGCACTCTCTATAACGCATTCGTCGATATCTGTGCACTGTTTATAAGCATCGCCGGTGTAGCCTTCTGGACATTGACAACTGAAACTGCCCGGTGTGTTACTGCAGCGAGCATTATTACCACAGCGACCCACCGGCCCAACCGACGTATCACATTCATTAATATCTATACAACCTGCTGCAATGTCTGTGGGGTCAAATGTCCAGCCATCTTCACACACACAATATGCTTCTATTCCATCTGGTTTGCAATACGAATGCTCGCCACATTTCACATCCTCACATGGAGCTCGGCAAGCTACTCGTGGAGGAGCACCAACAAATCCATTAGCACATTGACAATTAAATCCACCAGCTTTATTTATACATATTGAATTTTCTCCACATAAAGAAGAATTTTTAGCACATTCGTCAACGTCAATACAAATTGATCCTCGGGCGTCGAAACCTTCTTTACAAAAGCATTGGTTATCTATGCACTCCGCATTGTTGGTACAGTCGAAATTTGATTTACACAAAGTATTAACGTCGACCTGAAAAATCAAAGCTCATATTAAAAATAAAAAAAATATACCTGTGAACTCTAAAAATGTACTATCAACATTACCTGCTCGCATGCAATTTGTGGATCTGGTTGAGCTCGGTAGCCTTGTGGACAGATACAATTGTATCCTGGCGCAGTATTCTCACAGATGGCGTAAGTTCCACAGGGATGTTCAAGCGTCTCACATTCGTTGATATCACGGCAACCTCCGGTTACACGCGCGTCTCCTGTATATTCTGGCTTGCAGGTGCACACGAAGCTGCCGAGGGTGTTGGTACATACAGCGTGTTCACTGCACACTGCTTGACTAGCCTTACATTCATCCACGTCTGGTGTAACAAACAACGCAACCACTAATTACATCAGGCACGTGCCATTACCCGTTTATAAATATACGCACGCAGTAGGTACGCCGACAGCCACTACGAAGAGGAAGTGATAGACACATAGACGACTCAGAAGGCGACAGAGAAAACGACGAAAAAGAGAAGAAGATGGTATTGAAAGAATATTACACATCCTTCGATACACTGGAACACAAAAATGAACCCAATCGTCGTAAAGTATATGTTGTCGACGACGGATACGATAAATTTCTGAAAATTCGATTTATTTGTCTATAAAATATTTCGAATGTTATTACCGTCGAATTAGTAAAAGCGTGAAGCTACCGAGCGTCAAAGTTCGGTAGTTTTCAGCTCGATTCGTTAAACGCGATTAGGTTAGATTGTCACAAAGCGTTAGACCACAGAAAATGAAGGTTGGTTAGAATTAAGTCACACCTACTGGCGTTTCAGGTAAAGACTCACCAGTGCACAATACGTCTGGATTGCCTTCGAAACCTGGTGGGCACAGACAGCGATAAGCGCCTGGAAGATTTTCGCAAACTGCGGAAATTCCACATGTAGCGTGTGCACATTCATCCTGATCGCGACAGCCGACGCGGGGGTCACCCTCGTAGCCTGGTGGACAGCTGCACTCGTAGCCGCCTTCCACGTTGCGACAAACTGCGCCCGGACCGCAACTCCCCTCAATCGCGCACTCATCGATATCAATGCACTACATCAAACGAATTATTTGTATTTATTGCTCATGGACATACACTTCTTACTTTCTTTCTTTAAAAAACATTGCCCCACACTATGTTTTTCTTCTGTACTGTGGATGCGTGTAATGTACAAATACACTTACTTACACATTACACTCACACCCGGATTAACAATTTGCGCATCACACAAAAAGTTGTGCGGGAATCGGGAATCGAACCCGCAACGTGTGCCGCAGCAGCCAGTTGCCTAGCCACTACATCATCTGTATATATCTATATTCATCAGAAGTCATAGTAGAAAATCCCTAATAGTATTTTTAAACGGTCTTTGTACATTAGTATTGTTTCCAAAAATATGTCTACGTTGTCTACATTTTTCTACAGTTCTTATACTATTTTTTCAATAATGTCGAAAAATTCACTTACGCCATCGAATGCATTTCCAGTATAACCATCTTGACATGCACACGTATAGTTTCCTGGATAATTTTGACACACGGCGTTCACACCACAAGCACCAGGACGTCGACATTCGTCAATATCTGTGATTAGTAAGTAATGTTTACTCTTATTATAATTTTACTAAATATCATGTATTAATAATAAAAATGTCATTTTATATTAAATAGATCAATTCTCATTTATGAAAGACGACGTGTGCACTGTTTAATGGCATTTAAATTAAAAGAATATTAACTACCTCTGCACTCCTCTTCCCCATCACCTTCGAAACCTCGATTACATTTGCAAATAAAATGAGCCGGCAAGTTACAGCATTCTGCGTTTGCTACGCAACGCGATGCAACTGCTGGATCTTCGCACTCATTTATATCTGTAACGAAATATTGAAATTGTAGGTACCCATATTTTATTTTAGTGGAAGTTCGTTAACACATTACTAAATGAAAATAGTTATATAAATATTTAAATAATACGTATTTATGACAAATCACGAGTTTTCAATAGAATATATACATTGATTACCTCTGCAAGTGAAACCGTCGCCTTCGTAGCCTGGGAAACACGAACATTGGAAACTACCGACCGTGTTCGTACAGTGAGCAAAAACATCGCATGGTCTTTCTTTGCATTCATTAACATCTAAAACAGACAAGAAAATAAAGTAATGTGTACGTTCGCTGCAATAATACATAATAATAACACATAATGTAATAACAATATACCTGGTTCCTGGCAGTTGCAGCCGCCGAAACCATCATTACAATGGCACACCCCGTTTAGACAACGTCCGTTTATACATTGGGCGCCATCTTCTTTGGTACAATCATCTACAAAATTAAATATATACACGTAACCAGTGCCTTTAGCCAAACGCCACTTTAGCGCTTGTCTACAGAGAGAGTAGAAAACTAAATGTATGGGGATGACACTGACAAGTGTCAAAATTTACGTCAATTCCATATAATTTAGTTTTCTATTCTACATGTAGACAAGCGCTAAATGGAATTTGGCTACAGCTGCAGATATGAAATGATGTTTAGTGCCAAACGTACGTGCAGAATAAAAATAAGAATTAATGTAAGAAATTCTAATTAATTCTGATATAGAATAACGGATGGCATGTATATTAATAATGAACTCACCTGTACATTTCAATTCTTTCGCGAGTTCGTCGGATCCCTTATAGCAATCCTTGACACCGTCGCATAATTTTGATAATTCATATAATTGTAATATTTGTGTCGATTCGTTTACTTGACAGCCAAAATAGCCGTCTTCTAAATTTAAGAAAAATACTTCTCGTTTTATTCCTAAACCTATTCCATATTGGCTTTGTGTCGCTACCTGTGAAAAAAAGGAATCAATGTTTCGACAAATTGACCTTGAAATATCTTTGTAATAATTATTGATAAATACCAACTTATTGTCTACAAAATGTTATATTTTTTATAGATCTATTACTTACATTTGTCGTTGTGACTAAGAGCGTCCAAACCACGAGCGGTAAGGTGTCTATATACATTGTCTCTGTAACAAAACAATACATCATTAAAAACACAATATTTTTTGTTTAATAAAAATCTTTAGCCCTGTGAACCTCTGAATTCCCTGTGACCCCACTATATGTTGCCTTATTTCTAATGTGAATCATATCATGAGGAAGATTTGTCAATATCAGCTGATTACATTTTGGTCACTCAAAAAAGTGTGGTGGCATCTTATAAAGTCAAACCCACAGGTCAAACCCACCTTTCAAAAAGTGCGATCATGCAAGGACGTTGAAAAAAAGGCGGACATAATCTCACTTAGAAATGACTGAAGCACCAAACTGCCAGTGGTTTTTATGTGTGAGTGTGTGTGTGTGTGTATAATGGGCTACTATACATTACCAGGCTTAAAAAAAAAATCTGTATTTTTTTAAGGATATCTGTATATCCTTCGTGTCAATGTGTTTATGTTCTGCATGTAACTTTATAATGGCCTGGTACCATTGGTAATAAAACAAGACACGATAATTCTGGCTGGATTTATTTAATGCTCAAAAAAGTAGCGCGAAGTTTTGACTTTTTCTTTCCATAATAACTTTTTATCTACATTTTAGTTTTAAAGCTAGAAAAAGTGGTTAGTAAATTTTAAACTTGTGTAAAACATGGTCAGTACATGTCCAAAGCGTTCACTTTCAAAGTAGCAATTATTGTTTTTATCAGTAAGTTCAAATAATAGCGTACCTACTTACAAATGACGAGTGCAGTGGCTGTGACAACTGGCACAACGACATTTGCGGTGAGACTCACGCTTAGGTGAAGTGCAAACGCACTTGTAAATCGGCATGCAATCAGTAAAACACGCAACGTCGTTAACACAAACGCCAAATTACTTGCATTTTGTATTTACAATGTTTAGACTTATTCTTGGCTATTTTAAATTGGTCGACGTAATGCAGACAAGTAGGTAAACGACAATACTCCGCTCACACAGTTACATGACCTCGCGCTACAGCCTTCGCCTTTGTCGCTGTTGTAAATAATTATCGACGAAAACTTACTCCTAATGGTATCTATAAATATCCAGGTTTGGAGTAGATTGTTTATTTGGATACTCAAAGATGGTATTCAATCAAAATAGACATTTATATTTTCAAAGTAAGTTGAGCAGTACCGCTAATAAAATTAATAGATCAGTCAGTTTTATTTCTTGTAGTCTAAAGGCCGAAATTATTAACGGATCTCAATTCAAAATTATGTTAAAATAAACGATTATCTCATCAAAAAACAGTCAAGGGATTCGTTGGCTGATCATTTCTGTTTTATTTTGGTACAGAAAAAATAATATCATATTATTTTACGAAGTATCACAAATCAACATGTCTCTCCTTTTCATTAAAAAAAGCATATATACGGTCGAATTGAGAACCTCCTCCTTTTTTTGAAGTCGGTTAAAAATCGAAATACCTGAGTAAAAATTGAGTTTGTAAATACCACGTTTACATCTGTATGAAATAAAATAGCACTTGAAAAGTTGTAATGTAAGATCGAGAGCGTTTTCTTTAGAAACAGGTTTATTGACTTGTGCGGCGAACATTCGAACGGCTGACAAGATCACTGAATGTCTACTTCTTTAACTTTGGTCTTCGGACTTGTTTTTAATGTTTGTTGGCATGTTTAAGCGTCTCTCTCTCTCTTTTTGATTATTGCAACTCAGACATTTTAAACTATTCATTTAGCGACGCCTACTTTTATTATAGAATTGAAAAAATGAATTGAAATAAAATTAATGAACAAATAAATAATAACATCCTTGATGAATCTACATCAACACTAGTTTACACTTCGATAGTAATATTATAAAGAAAAAAGATTTGATTTTTTGTTTGTTTGTTTGAATTGAATAGACTCCGTAACTTCTAGACCGATTTGAAAACTTATTTTGTCGTTGGAATCCTACATTATCCCTTATGATGGTCATCATATAGGCTATATTTAATAAGAGAAGAAAGGGGAACCGATTAACGAGAAAAAACACTTCTAGAAACCTCCTTACATAGCTGAAGTCTGACTGCCAATAGAAAACTTTTTCAAAGAACTTAATAATCGTATTAAGCTGCATCAGGATCAGAAATTTTAAACAAAACAAAACGTAGCCTTTGTTACTCTCCATTCTTTCAACTAAATCCACTTAAAAAAAATCACGTCGATATCTAGCTCCGTTCCGTTATAAAGACGGGCAAACAAACAGACACACAAATAAATAATATTAAGTATAGATTTCTATGTTATCGGACATTCTTTTGACAAGTGAGTTTCATATCAATATGGATCATTGACAATTTATTTTTTTGTCTTCATGTTATAATATCAAGGTATGCAAAGAGGCTGAAAACCAATATAATTCCTCAAAAACTCTAATATAGGTAGGTCTTTACTATGAAAGTTTGCCGGTCTCAGTTCAAATAGGTTTAAAAAATAAATAAACAATATAAAAATATAATTATTTTGCTGTAAACATTGCTTTTTTAGCTTACTCTCTCATAAACTTTATAAAAAACTAAAAAGGGCCTTATAAGTGGACGGTACTGGTAACATTTATTTACACAAAGTATGTATTGACAAGGTCCATAGATGGTGTCATAAATTACATGTATTATAGATACATATTATGTAGGTGCACAAAGGCTAAACGCAGCATTGAGGCAAAACACCTAATATTGTTTTCAATAACCACTACTAACCTTGACACCCTATAGTACTCTTAACAACGTCTTCAAGTACTTCATTATATTGATATAAATTAGCTATAAAATATAGACCTCAGTTTCTAAATCTGAATAGAACTTAAGCACATGTTTACAGATATATGTGTAAGAATCCAATAGATTAATAAAACTTTGCATGGCAGTGGATGTGCATCCACTTATACCAAATTTTATTAGCTTCGTTGTTATGTGTATAGAGTTTACTTTCAAATTCTAAGCGATCTAGAGTTATTTAGTGTGCTAATTCTTAAAAGTTAAGATCAATAATAATGCTTGCAGCCTCTGGACGTTGAAGGTTTGATTATTATAATAATAATAAATGGTTATCAGTATGATAACTTGTTATTGAAATAGAACATTTCAAGGTAAAAATCGGCTACATCTCAAGTAAAAAAGCTTACAATCCTGGTGTTCGATCGATCTCGTCCGTTTCAAATATATAAAAACTATAAAATATGGTGTGACTTACGCAATTATTAAATTATTATCATTTACTTGTAAAAACTGTGAGAATAGGAGATACGCGTTAAAATATAAAAGAATAAATATCCAGTTTTATTTACGTAACTATAGACTGTGGACTAATAGGCTCATCCTATCACAGAAAATTCAAAGGATGTTGCTTGCTGCCCACTCCCTGGTGGCTGGTCGTGGCTTGGAATTGTTTTTTTTTTTTTATACAGTCGTATTTTTGTATATTCCCTTAATATAAATATATAAATATTGTTAAATACTATGACTGAAAATTCATAATTGCCACTTTTCAGTAACTTGGAAAGATTTTTTTGCTCGTATTAGTAAGAGATTGGACATATCGTACTAGACCTTCGCATCACAGACCAACGAAGCAAGGCATTTATCTTATTACGGAAGCAACAATATTATTTGATGTGGGCGCACAGCCTTCTGTTTAATAATCTAATACATATATTATTCAATCAATATTTCAATAATCATGAGTTTCTCGTTAACTAGAATTAGTTTCATGTTGTTTTACTTGTTGGTCCACACCCTGAAGATTAAGATTAATATTAAGATAAGATACATTAAGATTTTTATAAAATAAAACAACCAAATTACTTCTCGCGGTTTATTATATGGAAAAGAGTTAAGAGAGTGAACGTAACGACTAACGAAAGTGAAAGAGTCATTTTACAATATCGATCACCGAGCGAACTTATCAGCACACGTCAACCGATATGGGCACACGCTCAAAGTGTATTAAGCCTTACGTCATAAACGAAGTTGCAAGCCGTCATGTGGGTTCGTGTACTTCGCGTGTACGAATGTGGTATCAAATCGGGCGTAAAATGCGTCCGCGAGCCCGCGCGAGCCCGCTTGCGCCATTCACTTTCACGTAGCGCTCGCCGTCACAGCGCCAACGTACGAGCCGGGTACTTCGTATACTGAAAGTGGGCTGACAACGAACAATGCCTCTACGCAATTTCTCTCCTCGCAAACAATTCCATATCTGATTCCTGATGCATCTTGTTTTTAATTTACCTCACTAGCTATTACTGAACAACTAGATGTCATAACACAAAAAGTCTATTTTTTAGACGGGAGTTGAGTAATAACTTGTTGTACTAAACTATAATAATAAGTATTTAAGTACGACGTTGTTTTTATAGGGTAACATTATTTATTTATTTATTTATTAAACATAATAATAAGTAACTCTTCATACAATATTACATACATTTATTACATGTAATTTCTCAGTTCTGCACCTCGAAGTTGTACAGTACAAAGTACTTAATTTTAAATGTTGAAATACAAGTTATCTCAAGTCTACTTCATAGCTAAGTAAAAAAGACAATTGACGTGCTTAATTCAAAAACCTGATTGTTTTTTGTTTAACGTACATTTTCAGTTGAGCGTTCATTCTCACTATATGCGAAGATGATATACAAGTGATTGCAGTATACTGTGTACTATTTCTCACAGAATTAACACCATTATTTCCCTAGAATAAAGTACTTTCTCGATCAAATCGCGGCCAGTGGGTGTTAATTCAAACGTCTCATTTTATTTTATAGCCATGACCAGCATTTTCTAGTATAATCGTTTAGGAATATAAGAAATCTTAGTGACAACAGTGTATCATTAATTACAAGCACCCGGCATTCAAATTAGTTTTTGTATATTTTTAACATTTTAAATATATTTTTGTAACTTAGTTTGTAGTGTAGTGGTCGTGGTGGCCCGGAGATTTAAGACGCCCGCTTCTCATGCTTGAGGGTCCGGGTTCGAAACCTACCAACGGCAAGTACCA